ATAGAGCATAAAAAAAATAATTGCAATTTTATTGACATTATGTCATTATAATTGACATTATATTATCGAACTAGGGTATCGAATTTCAGAGGTCAGTAGGGGACGCAAAAATTAAACAGCCTATGGCGGCAAATTTGTAAATCCGCCACTGGATAGTACCTATATTATAACATTGTCTTTAGTTATTAAGGCATTGGACGCAGACAAAATTATTTTTATGTTTACCCTGTTAAAGCTACGCAGCACCTCTGCGGCTACACAGAAGACTGGCCTGAAGTGGAAGTATAATACTTTCATGTTTCTATTGATGAGCGATGTAACTATGCGTGTGTCGAGGGCAATGCCTATTCACACGGTATCGGCCCTAAATTCAGCCACATGAATTGCACTGACAGCAGCATTCATCTCGTCCTCCTGCATGCAGTTAGTTGGGCACGCAGGGCACGACGTCAAATGTTCCATGGTTTGGGGAATTTGCACTCCAAGCTGGAAGAGCCACCTGAACAGGTTCTCTTGGCCAACTTTCGTCAGAAGTCTATTTAATGACTTCCAAGTCAGCCATGGCAACTCATGTCCAGGCGGTAGTTTCTCAGACAGTGGGACAAAGGGACTTTCTTGCCACAGCCTGCATTTCTCCTTCGTAATTAATGTAACACATCGTCAGGAAACGTGCTTATTTTCAAAGTAATAAAAAAGTAAATTTTAAAGTTTTTATAGTGCTAATCTCTGCACTTAAGATTGAACATTAAAACATGTAGAAAAAGTACGAAAAGATTGTCGCCGCTGTGGGAATCGAACCCACGTCTTCGGCATTTGCGGCCTGACGCTCTAGCCACTGAGCTAAACGGCTGATAGCCACAGCGACGAAAATCTTAACGCCTTCTTTCTACATTGTTATTTAGCATTTGAAGCAATGCTTGGCGCATCTATTGTTACATCCTTTCCAGCATACAAACAATTTCGAATATCGTTTTACAACGATAATTCGAACGAGAGATGTCGCCATTGCTTTTATAAATTTTAAAGTTTTTATAGTGCTAATCTCTGCACTTAAGATTGAACATTAAAACATGTAGAAAAAGTACGAAAAGGTTCGATTCCCACAGCGGCGACAATCTTTTCGTACTTTTTCTACATGTTTTAATTAATAAAAAAGTAGTTCGAAAATGTGTAAGGTTCGCCAATCTGCGGTGGGGTCGCGGGAAATAACATGCCCTAATAACCTCTGTACATAGGAGGCCCTTATACACGAGTGGGACATATATAGGCTTACTTTTTATATTTCACTTTATGTCTATGTTGTATCTGAAGTTAGCGCTTTCAGTCCGTAGACTATTAAAGCTTATTTTAATGAACGCAGAACCAGTAGGCTAGTCAGAACCCATAGGTTTGAGGCTATCCACACTGGGTAGAGCCGCGCATTTGCCCATGCATGTGTTAACTAAACGGAGGAGTGTCGTCTACGTGCCATGGAAATTCGGTACGGAACGAGATCTCCAATGGCCGTTGACTGTATTTGATTATTTGATGGCTGGGGGCGGTGAGAAAAACGCCCTGGAACGAGGGTGTACCTAGTGTTCACATTGTGTTGGTTTCGCCGTGCTTTAGGTGAGGACGAACTATGGTGTTTGTGTACTGTATGTGTAATAGTGTATAGTGTCCGGTGGATCCGACATACACTTTCCTCGACCTTGTCGATGAAGACGTTGCGCGGACGCCGCTTATTAACGTTCGTTTTGATGTGGGGTTGGTAATATACTGCGCTTATCAACAGAGGGTTAGGATGATGTTCGGCTCTATCGAAGAACCGTTTAGTAAGATCTTTTAAATGTTCGCGAATCGTCGGGAGTCTGCAGTCACTATACACGACGTTACGTTGATACCACTGCGCACCGGTTGTGCGGCGGATGAACTTATTTTATACTATTGCAACTTGTACAAGCGAGTCATAATAATAAGTCGAGAGACATAACAGGTCGTACGCAGGCCTTATATAATAATAATTTGTACCTTAAGGGCATTTTACTGGACGCGTTGGTTAGGTGAGGTTAGGTTACCCGGCCGGAGACGAACGCGGCTCCGTTTCTAATGACAAATATGTGAGTTGCGATTCGACAGGAAGGCTCGGGTTGAGATTAAGGTACTAAAAATAACTGTAAACGCTATATCATCTTGCACCACGACAATGCTAGTTCCCACGCGGCCAGACAGACAAATTTTTGAAGATGAAAAACGTAGAACGTATGAGCTATCCTGCATACAGTTCCGACCTATCTATCACCTTGTGACTTTTTTCTCTTTCTTCCAATTACGCGGTGAACGATTTTCATCACTAGAAGAGACTGTCGAAGAGTATGAAAAACACGTTTGTGAGGTTACTACGGAGGAGTGGCACAAAAATATTTTAAAAATTGGTTTAATCGTATGAAAAAGTGCATTATCGCAAAGGGAAAATATTTTGGGAAACAATAAATAAAAATTTTGACCTTTAATGGTACTTTTCTTATTCATTCCGGAAATTTTTAGTACATACAACATAAGTTTACCACGTGTCACTTAGCTCTGAAAATCCCAGTAAGACTTTTTATTTTGATAATATTTGAGATAAAAAACTTCTCGACATATCATAAAACATAAGTCGTAGTATCTAGTGCAAACAACAAACTTTAACAAAGCAATAATAAAGTTTTGAAACTTTGTTAGATAACACGTTCATAGATAATCAGCATTAATTGCTCATTTCACGAGTAAAATCGAATTTCATGATACGGGGCTTCAACGCCGGGCTTGTTCAAAAGGTTGTTTATAGTTCATCGATATTTAACCTACTTTCTTGCATTTATAGCCACTTTGGCTTTTACACAACCGTATCAGACAAAATAAGGTCAACGGAATAATATAGGTAATGTTTAAGCGCCCGTCAACGTGAGAGCAAGTAAAACATAACATAAAGTGAACTGGTGGTGTGAGGTAGGTACACGATGTGAAATAATCAGGAACAAAATTATTAAGTCTATCCCAAACAAAAACAAAAGAGAAAACTTATTTTCATTGTTTTCCATTAATTTTACATTATTATGTACCTAATTATTTTTATTTAATTGTTCCTAAAGATCGAATGCAAGACTTTAAATGTTACTTTGAGAGATATTGCCGATTATTTCAAACAAGGCTACGAGTATATTGGTATAAATATATTACATTTCTGCGTTGTCAGAATCATAGTTTCTCAAGATTTTCAATAGTACATATATACAGCGTGTCTTTACAATCGCGACAATAGATGAACACACATATAGAGGATAACTTTTTAAAATTGTATTAAACATTTACATTCTTTAAATATCAATATTTACAGAGTTATTAAATTTTCCAAAACAGAGAATTTTAGAACACCCTTACGTATAAAACTGTAACGTAGATTAATTTGTAAAGGTCACAAGGCATATCATTCACATGATTCTATGAATTTAAAAGAGAGAAACTGCTGTTGAAACATTAGGTCCGTGGGGTCCCCGCACATCAAATTTTTTTAAAAGTTTATGTCCTAGGCTTAACGCCGCGGCTGGTGACAAGAGAGCTGGTTCTTTTCTCGCTCAAAGGTTAAGCATAACTATTCAGCGAGGAAATGCAGCTAGCGTTCTTGGCACCATGCCGCGTGGATTATGCTTATTAGATAATATGTAATTTTAGATTTAATCTTGTAAATATTAGATCAATAAAGATATATAAAAAAAAATAAAAAAAAGAGAGAGAAAACATACTGTAACAAGGAGAGACTTGTAATGCGACGCTGTGGCAACGAATGAAAAAGTCTCGGTCAAAAGTTGCATACGTAAAATGTATGAATCGGTCAGTTGTAGTTGTATAGGATGTAACAAATTTTGTTTCTTTTTTACTTAATTAGTTTGTTTGAAAAATATTTAGTTTTAATTATGGATTTTTTAACGTTAATATTTTTTTATGATTATTGGCAAGTAGCGTTAGACGTGTGTTCATTTATTGTCGCGATGGTAAATGTACACACATAGAGAGGTAACTTTTTAAAATTGTATTAAACAATCTTTAAACATCAATATTCATGATATATGTGTGTTGATTAATTGTCGCGGTAGTAACGACACGCTGTATAAACATCCATATAAATACTTAAACAAAAGTCGTTAAAGAAAGGTCGTAAATAAAGTTCTTCATTAGAGTTGATATATTTTTATTTAACCAGAAAAATAAATTCCATGTAAAATATAGCAACAAACACATAATTTATATAATTTGCTCTGTTCAAATCAAATACAAAAAAAATATAGCATTAGCAAACACAAGTTGATGTTTAATGGCTCTTTATAATTATGTCACATTGTCCTATATACTGCGCCAACAAAAAGGCGAACTCGAGCCTGTGTAATCTCAATAAAATCCCAAATTTTGGGCAACGAAATCACTAATAAAGCTATTTTTTTAATTTATCAAAAAACAACTAATTAACATCGGGGTATAAAAACCTTGACCTTGAATATTATAATAGATCATCCTTTCAGCCTATTCCGAGTCCGAAGACAGGCTTCTCCCAGAGGTTGCCCCGCGAAGCACAATCCTTAGCCACCGGAGATCGTGGGTTCGATTTCCACATCGGACAAGAATTTGTGTGACACGCAGATAATTGTTTCTGATCTGGGTGTTTGTCCGCGTGAAATTTATGCATGCAAAACGTCCTTACAACACAGGATAATTTCATCCTACAGTAAGGGCTATGCTTTTATTAAAGAAAATCTGCATCCATCGATGATGACGGCGACGATAATCATGATGTTGTTAATGATGATGTTGATGATGACGATGATTTTTTTTTTAATGTGATAAGTTGCCAAACGAGCAGACGGTTCACCTGTTGTTAAGTGAATACCGCCGCCCATGAACATCTGCTACACCAGAGGGTTACAGATGCGTTGACAACCTTTTGGAAATTGGGTCGAAAAATGATCGAATATTCTAATAGATCAGTGTCTCAATTCGTCGTCCGTCTCCACGGCCTCGCAGCTGTGGTATTTGGAGGAGGTGTCCGGGCAGCTGTCCGCTGCGGAGAGGTCGTCCGACGAGGCGGCTGGCGCTTCGTGCTCCGCCAGCGGTATCAGCTCGTCCTCTTCCACATACGCGGCACCGGGCACGCCGTTCCGTTTCACCGCGTTCGCGTTGTCGGTGCCGCGCGCCCAGCAATCTGGGAAACGGCATGGTGCACATAAAACGTGTAGAGGGACGCCAGGATTCGAACCGGCTGCATCCGCGCGCGGGGAAATTTTACGACTGTTTTTTAGAAGGTGGCAAACGAGCGATAACCACCGCCCGTTGACATTTGCAACACCCGTAAAGTGGACACCGGTTACCTCACTTACCAGACGAAACGCAGAAGTGTAACACTTCCACTTCACGCCAGTCCTCTGCGAGATCGTGGTACCTACCCTGAGGAACCTGCCCATTCTTGCAACAGATTAGACTGTTGTCATATTGCATATGCATATTGCGTACCAGTTAGTTATCTACGCATTTTTAGTTTTGTCACCAGCACAAAGCTGCACTGAAATAAAATGTTGCAGAATGAATTCAATTATTTCATAATACTATATGTAACACAATGCTGGGGGTAAAGATGTTAAAATACATAATATAAAGTTAAAATACATATTCTTTGCTAAGCCTCTGAGGAAAAAGTCTAAATGTCTAAGTGGTAATCCACGTTCTGTATGGGATTGATTCATTTACATCATCTCATAAAACCATTATCAGACCATACCATATCAGACTCTTCGTGTGTGGCATAAAATAGATCATCTGTATCGCAAGCGTAAAGTCTCTTCAATATAATGACCAGCTCAATATTTAAAACATCTCAAATGAATTTCTTGTTTTTACGCGAATATTTAACATGGTTAAATGAAAATATTTTATGAATTTTATCGCGTTTCAATTCGATTTTTCAACTTAAAATTACACTTTCCAGCGTTCATGGTCACAGCCCCCTATCCTGCGGTGCGGAAACGTAAGAGATTTGAAAATCAAAGTAAAATGGTTTCATTTAACCACAGCTTAAATCGTTAAAGTAATATTGAGATTTACTGCTGAATAACGACATATTTGTTTTTAATACGAATACTAGTAATAAGTAGACAAACTACTTTGAGTAGTTTGTATTACACAATGTTATGAGTACATGATGGTTTTGATGATATGTTTTTATATCACCTACTTGGCCTTTTCTCCGGCGGAACCGGTTGCACGGTGGTCGGCGGTGGTGGTTTATTCGCGGAGCGCAACCTGCGCGGACTCTTCGCCAAGGCGTGCGAAATGCTCGGCAGCCTAATGTCCAAGTGTGATCCTCGTTCGGTGACAATTTTGTTGTTCATAGCGTACAGCTTCGTCGTTATATCACGAGCTATTAGGGTTGTCACCACGCAAGCAAGGTAAGGCTCTTTAACGAATAGGTACTCGAGTGAAGTTCGCTGCCAGTAAACGTAGCGGCATGACGATGCGGCCACAATCGATACCTGTTGCGAAGTGAAAACGAGTCATATGATGATAATAATATATGGTATTTTTGAAATTCTTGTATGTTGAATGTACAATAACGCATTGTACCGATTGTTGTCCTTGATTTACGCGAGTACTACATACTGCGAATAAATATATTTTACATATTTTATCGCACAGGGTCATAATGAAAGTCATCATCATTTCAACCTGTTTGAGTCCACTGCTGAACATAGGCGTCTCCCATAGATCTCCACTTAATGAAATGAAAAATGTATTATTAACGCTAATAAAATTTTTAGTAAAAAAAGCTAACTTTTTTAAAAATTGCCCTTACTGTAGGATAACATTATCCTGTGTTGTAAGGCTGTTTTATACACAAATTTCACACGGACCACCACTCAGATGCGAAATAAGTCACACAAATATTTGTCCTGTCTGAGCATCAAACCCACGAACATCGACACCGAAGCTAATAACTTGCCACAGAGTATCCGTAATGCAATAACAATGAAATTAAAATGTTGACTAGATGGGAGCTAAACCGAACCCAATGCAAAAATTTTTCAAGATCGGTAAATAAATGACGGAGTTCTGATTTCAGTTATTTTATTTTGTTTCTTCAATTTGTTTAAGGAGTGAACGTAAAAAGAAGCTCTCGGTTTATATAATTTCGTATCAAAAGCATGAAAACCTGAAACTATAAAGCGCAGGTCTCATTAAGAGAGGCTAACGGAGCGTACTCAGCACTTGCTGCTCACTATGGAAAGTGAAGGGCCTAACGTGTAGCACGAATGCATATTAGGGTGGCCCAAAAAACATGAACACTTATACAATATGAATAAAATTAGGTGATATTTTATATTTTTTTAAACCGCCTAACAAAGATATTAAAGAAAAAGATAGATTAATATCAGACAGATTAACATATGTCATATTATTTTTTCTATGATGAGATTTAGCTAGAGGTTACATGGATTTGTAGGTACCTATTGCTCTATATTTTTTATTTTTGCCCACGATTTTTCGACGTTTATATTTTTAAGAATGAAGTGTTCTTTCCCTCACATTCCTTAAGCCACTATTGGAGTTACAATTAATAAAAAAACCATAAGTATGGATATCGTTGTAGTTATCACAAGGCTTGTATTTTGAGCATTAAATGTGTTATTGGTAGGTAAACTGTTTGTTTTTATAATAAATCCTTAGCTGATAGTTATTTTTCACAAGCACTCAATTCAGAATCTAACGATTAAAAACATCACATCTACAATAGTTTATAACACCGTATTGTATTTGCAGAGAGCAATCGTATAGTTATTACGTAAATAAGAATATTAGAACGTTGCGTTCGTAGAATATGTTATTGGTAACAAAATCCCAATTATATCCTTTACTTTACTGATTCTTAAAACAATCTTATGTGAAAATATTGGAGCATTTCATTCCTAGTAGGGTTGCGCTAAAATTTTTAACCGTCCGTTCCAACTCGCCGTAGTTAGACGAGGTTAGGTACATGCTTCCTCACCCTAAATAATGAAGCCATCAGTCCGCCGCCCGGGCGCGTTAGTTAGCCCCATTACCTTATTTAACAAGCTGACACCGCCATTAAAAGGCGACTGTTTACGCGCCACGTGGGCGATTTAATTAAATATACATGACGTTACTCAAATCAACGTTTTTGATGAGCTAACAATGTACGAGTTATAATGTTGTAACATCAAATTATTACGACTCATGAAACGTTGCACGATACGGTCTCATTGCAAATTCATGTCATGTAAAGTAAAACAACAGCATAGAATCCTAACGTTAACAGAATAAAAACAAACCCTTAATTTTTCAACAGTTCTAAGAAACTATTTATAATTTTTAAAACTATTTATAAGACAAAATCGGTAAGTATAAAGTATCTAATACATTTTTGCTAACAAAAAACAATAACGACCTCAAATATATCCATCACTATACTATAAAATCAAATAGAAACATTCTGACGAATTGCCTGATGTATTTCCGAAGCCCAAGGTCCTACAACAATGAAATTAATATTAGGAATCACATGGGAACTACACCGAACACAATTCAAAACGAAATTTTAAAATACGAAATCATAAATAACGGATCTCTGTGGTAAGAACATGAAAAATGATACAACCGAATTGAGAACCTCGGTTGAAAATCACCACAGCCTTGTAGAAGGGCACAAAAAATGTTTATGATTTTCTTCTTCATTACAGTGTTATTAAAAAGAGAAATGGACGCACAGCACAAAAAATACAAAGACTTTTTTTTAATCTCCAACGCCTACGGTGCTAAAAAATAGCTAAGATATAAAATGCAAAGAAACGTTGAATAGAAATCTACGGGCGGACGGAGCACTATTGCATTCATAACGGCGTCATACTAACTTTCATTCTATTAATAGATAATTTTTAAAACAGAACACATCTTTTATACGTGTTTGAAAACGTTTGTGTTAAAACGAATATCTTGTGTACATGTTTGTAACATTTGTTTCGAAGGATTTTTTCTTATCAAGAAAAACTTATCTCACCTTAAATTTTTCGTCGATTGTCGCCCGGCTGGATTCGAATTCCGGCGAGTCTAAGAACTCGCAAGGCAGTATTGGGTGCAGAAATTGATGTCCGCTCATAACGTTTACCTGTTGGGGGATGGTTATTCGATACTGACGAAAGTTTATCCAGATATTGATACAAATTACCTGTTATGCTTTATTATTAGTTAATATCGACAATTTTCGGTTGTGTAGTGGACATTCATAGTGCCACAACTGTAAAATTTTTAAAAAACTGTAAAATTTTGCAAAAGCATTGCCCTTATTTAAAATAATTTCGAAGTGCAGCCGCGATCGATACTATTTGTTATAACATTCCCGCAGTAAAAATCTATAGACCATTTAAATAAAATTAATTTTTAGTACGTTTCTTATTCTCAGTGTTTATAAAAGAATCGCGTGTAGCCGGCTTTGGCTTTAGGTTGTAATTGAATGGATTGACTGTTTATATACGATTTTTTTACATACGAATATAATTTTTTTGTACAAATTTCAAGATCCAGCTCCTTTCAATTATATACTGTTAATCTCTGCACTTAAGATGACACACAAAATTTTTTATCAAAAGGGATGAAAAGAAATCTTTTACAAATTTTAATGCTTTATTAATTTAAAATTGAAATACTCAACGAGACCCTCATCATACTATTCTCTGTGTATTCATCAAATCTCGATTTTGACACGGTGGCGCTATTTTAAAAATCGAATAATGTAAACCAGTGTAAGTACCACAGAGTAACCAATCGTATTACTGTGGTAAGCTGTTGCACTCTATGTGCGCACTATGCGCCGTTACACAGCGGCCCTCATTCGCAACATCTTTCTGGCAAACATTGGCACATGTACAAGGAAAAATTGTATCAAACTTCAACGCGGTGTCACGAGTCGCCGACTACAAATTGCAATTTAAATAATTCGCAAACGTTGAGGATAAACTGCCACATTTCTCGAGTGAATTTACCCACTAGATTATTCACAGGCCACCGAAGGTAAGGGCCGCCAGGAATGCTAATGAACAGGGGATTTTCCTCTAAGCAGTTAATCGATCTTTTCGCGTGTAATCACGCTAATATGAGATACAATAATATAGAGTAATATCGGTCTGGCAGCACTGGTACGAAAACTACTTTTTACTTTACATTTTTATCAATTTTTTTACGAATTTAAACGAAAATTTAACAGAAGTTTCGAAAATAAACGAGTGTTAGTAGCGGTTGTTTTATTTCATTTTGTTGCAAAATAAAAAGTTTACTGTAGTTAACGTTTGACGTACGCGAATTTCACATGGAAAAACACCCAGATCTGGACCTTATATGTAGATTACACGAATATTTGTCCCATGTGAGAATCGAGCTCACGATCCGCAGCGCCCCAGTCAAAAGCTTAGAAATGGCGCCAAGAGCGACATCAATAGCATTTTTTTTTTTTAGGTTTCAAATTTTTACTTTTATCAAACAAAGAAACCGTGAAGCCGGGAAGTCTGATATTGTTACTGGTATTGTTACCAGTTTTGATATTCTTGACAAGATAAGGACAATCAACTAATTGATATATTAAGGAAAAGTCCTAACTAGTTATGGACCTCAATCTTAATCCTCGCGTTACATGTTGCGGTTGCATAAACAGATGTACGACGAGGGACATGAATTTTACTATTTTATTATTCTGTGATTCTACAACTCCTGGAAAATCCACAGAAGTAAAAAATACGAATTAAATGATGCCATTCGATCATTCGATTGCGATTATGTAAAAAAAGAAAATTTGTTTCACATGTTACATGAAGAAATTGAATATTATAATAATTAGATAGCTTTCATGGAGCCGACTACATGTTATCACTAAAATCATTATGTAAATTGAAATTCTCCAATAGGCTATAGTTGCGTTTATGTTTAAAAAGATGACCTAATGACTCCGTGCGTCATGGACACAAGCCATAGACAGGCCGTATCGCTTGCTTTAGTAACAAAAATATTGTCTAAAACGAATGCGAAACCCAAAGTAAAACATTATGACATGATACTGTCAAATAAGCATAATAAACTAATTTAGCTGTTACCTCGGTTGTTAGCTGCTTGATCTTGTGTATGGCAGTAACTGTGGTAGGGCCACGCAACAGCTTTCACTGTTGCACGAATGGGCAGGTCCGTCCGGGTAAGTACCACGACCTCACAGAAGACCGGCGTGAAGTAGAAGTGTGACACTTCTGCGTTTCGTCTGGTAAGTAAGGTAGCCGGAGCCCACTTTATTTTAAGGTGGCATCGCATTGGCAACCCTGTGGGTGTTGCAAATGTACATGGGCGGTGAATATTGCTTAACATCAGGTGAAAAGCCCAGCTCGCTTGCCACTTTTTCACATAAAAAAATGGCAAATGTGGCACCGCACAAGTTCTTTGCTATTTTTTTCTATTTGAACTCCCCATTGCAATTTTGAATCAATACATATTTGTCTCCTGGTCTATCACTTCGTTAACGCACTGAGTGAACATTCTCTGTGAGTCGTTGTCGAAGGCTGTTAGTCAAGGCAATTCGCAGTCCGCAATTCTCTTATTGTCAATTGTCGTGTCAACGATCTGCTCATGCCATTATCTATGGATACGCAGACAATAGTAGTCGAGAACTATCAACCGACTACTCGCGCCAATTGAGATTAAATTAAGTTCCAAAGAGAGGCAATGTTGGAGCGTTTGAATTTGAACCTTACATTGCAGACAGTCTCTAAATGGAACGACGACAGTCTTGTGAAATTAATTGTAACCGAAATTCAAGCGTGGCCTGCACAGCAAAGAGGAGCTCGTTTACGCTCATTCCAACTTTCCAGAATGTGACCTTAGAATGTACCGACTGCCTTCAGTTGCCGGGTGTAGTTTTTCAAATGTCAACTTTGAGCGGCTCATCAAGTCTAAGACCTAAGACCAAGAATAGGCTTTTACTGAGCTGGTGTGTTCGCCATTTTCGGCTGCATGGACATTTATCGCTTGTTTATGAGAAGGTGGCAAGCGAGCTTTCGGTTCACCTAATGTTAAGTGATAACCGCCACCCATGGACATTTTCAACACCCGTAGGTTTGCAGATGCGTTGCTTTTACTAAAGTGGCCCCGTCTATTATACACTAACCAGACGAATCACAGAAGTATGACACTTCCACTTCACGCCGGTCTCTGTAAAGTCGTGGTACTTTCCCGGACGGATCAGCCCAATCGTGCAAGCTGTTGCGGGGTCTTACCACAGTTAAAATAAGGTGAGATAGCAGTCATACACTATTATTACATTATAAATAAAAAAAATACAGTAATTATCATAATGATTCATTAATAAATATGCATTTTCGCGGACACAATTTCGGTGTCCACTAGAAAGTGATAATATTTGTTGATGGTTTTCAAAAGAAAAATTATTTCGGACGTTTATGATTTCACCAAGCCTTTATTTGCCAGGAAATCTATCGTGTATTTAAAAGTGGGAATATAAATAAAGGGAATATAAATAAGGGGAATATAAATAAAGAAATATTATTTTTAAATACTCACTTTTCCTGATAGAAGCAGCCCTAGCCGATCGGTCTTTGTCAGATTCTGCATGGCGTAAGCTTCGCCTGCGTGAAGCGACATGATGTGTGCGAAGTCCGGAGACACCATACGCTTAAACTGCAATCTGGTTACCTATTCCAACAACAAACCCATCACCTTGCAGCAAATTGATTACAATTTGAAATTTAATTTAATTATTTATGATTTAAAACCAATTTACCTTGAATGGCTCAAAGAGAGTATGGTAAACTTCTTCCAGTTCAGGGTCAAACTTCACAGGTCTCATTTCGTAGACCAAGTAAACAACTTGAGCCAGGTTTAGGAAAACAAATCCGAAGTTCCATGAAAACGCGTCGGGCGAACATATAACGTGCCAAGCCCATATCGAATACAACATGAAACCTTCAAAATAAGACTCAATTATTTAACGCATCATTTAAGTTCAGTCATCAAAATGGCACTATGGTTTCACAAAAGTAAACCCTCGTATAACTATAAAAATAACTCACCAAAGATCAATATCGTATGCATCCATAATTGACCCTTCTTTGTACTGGGAGCACAGTAGGAAGCCACGAAGAGCATGTTGGACAGCTGCCATTGGAATGGTAGGGCCGTGATTACGTTCACAATAAATGACATACTCATAACAAATATAAGTATTAAGTAAAAGAACTAGTGAGAAACGAAGTCATTTATTTTACCTGAAACAATGGATGTTGAGGCACTCTCCACAGTGGACACCATGGCCAGTACCATGGTCCTAAAAGGAAATATACATCATAATCTATATGTGACGACCTCTTATTTAAACTCGTGTGCAAACAATAACTCAACTTAATGGCACATCATTCTGGTTTCTTTTTCGAAAGTGATTTTCTTTTCGGTTTGAGACTTACTTAGCGGTTTCTAAAGTTTCGACTTCAGTCCACTACGATGTTTATTTCTTATTAAATTGAGTACATTATAATGACGGCACTGTTATAATTTATTAGCGCCCCGCCCCGGCTTCACACGGGTGCAATGTATTATACATATTATAAACCTTCCTCTTGAATCACTCTATCTAGTAAAAAAAAACCGCATCAAGATCCTTTGCATATTTTAAAATACCTAAGCATATATAGAGACAAACAGAAAGCGGGATGACTTTATTTTATACTATGTAGTAATCCAAATATTTACCTGAGGGCATTGTATAATTAATGGACCCAAAATCTTGATAAGTTCCATTTTCTCCTGGCCAAGAAAAATTGTATTCACTGATTTCTAAATACTCTGATTTGATGCCTAGCAATGCACTCTGGGGCATTTTTTTTAATAATTAATTATTAATTGCAAATATTTTTAAAAACCTTGTAACTTTGATCCACAAAATGAAGTAAGTAACAAGAATTTTTTTGATGGTTTTGATTTATAAATTAAAAATGGTATAAATAAAAATTGTACTTTTTAGTTAAAATATATAAAGACTGCATAAGTACATAATTACTGTAATTGGCGCCAAAGAAATCAATAACAGTGTCACAGAGTGAACGTGCACACTTAGGCGTAACGCCATCTATTGCAGCTAAATAATTAAAATTTTCTCTTTGTGACCTGTCAAGTCTATGGTTTACATTGACAAAATAAATTTTACATAATTTACTTACTATAAAATAAAGTAGTTAAAACTATAAATTTCGTATGCCGTTTTAGTATTTCAATTCAAAATGAAATATCAATACGAAAATAAGGAATGAACATACAATATTACAAACAGAAGTTACAAGTATATGTATCTAAAAGTGACCCTATCGAGAATGGAGAGTAGAGATCAGGATAACAGAGTACATTATACATATATACTGACTGACTGATGACAGACATAAAGGAGTAACCCTAATGCAAGATGGTTCTTATTTACCTCTACTCTCCATACTCTATAGTAAAATCACACAGTTCCGTGCCCACGTTGATAAGTTGTAACCTAAGAAGTAGTATTTTGAGTTGCACCTTAAACAGGTAAAAGATGGATTTTGAGTCACATACTTTTTGCTTAATTTTTTATTATTAATTAATTGTTGTAAGTTGTTTTTTTTAAGATATTTAGGAAGCCAAGTCATATAATAGAAGAAGAAACGGCAGATGATCTAATTTTTAATAGTGATAGATTCATTTTTACTTCTTAAAATTATTAAAAAAACTAATAATGTAAAAAATAACCAATACACAAAAATTCAATAGGTTGCTGAAATTTTTGAAATTATACTTTTAAAGTTATGTTCTTTTAACACCGTTTATAAAAATTATGAGAGTCAAAGTAATGAAGTGATGAAATTGATTGCAAAACGACCACCTTCGATCAATTTCATGGTATGACCATGGCATATATCATAACATCTTTTTCACATTCACCTATAATTCCAAGTTATTTATTAATTAAATTGTTATCAATTGCATTAAATGTCTTTTTCACAAACAAAGAGTATAAAGTTTTAGTTATTTTTCTTTGTTACACTAAAGAAGTATAAATTCTTAGGTGCGTAAAAAGGTTTTCATTGCCAATCGATGCATAACTCTTCTGTGTACATTTGTCTATGAAATGAACACCTCTATTACAGGTTGTCAATAAATTGCTTGAAAAGATTTAATTTGACATGTAGGTAGTTCTATGTGTCTGTGGTTTCATGCAACCTTTTTAAAAGGTGTGTGATGTGAGATTGATTGCATTTAATGGAATCCAATACAATATTCTGCAATGAGGTAGTACCGAATAGATAAAAGTAACATCAAAATATTATGCCTTAAGTTTTTGTGTTACTAAAAATATATCAGGAATGCCGAACATGAATAATGCCTCCGTAGCCAGTGGTGAGTTAAAAAATTAATATATTAAATAGAATTAAAGTTAAATATATTTAGAGACATTTATGGATAATATGTAAATATTTATTATTTTACACATATATTTGTTGTTCGTTTTAAATTTAAAAATAATTTAGATATAATTTTTAGTCAATGACATATACATTGTGTAAATAACAAGTTTTGTTATATATACACATAAATGCTATTCAACAATAAAGATCAAAACTATAATATTAAATTTTGAATTTTGACAATATAAATTGTATAGTCTTACAGTGATCCAAAAATCTTGTGTAATTTTATATCTGATAAGTCATCTAAAAATTTTGATTAATTTAATATGAATATGCAACTAAAGCAATGATCATTATGATCATGTAAAAATTTAAACTATATTGTGGTGGCTTAGTATTTTCCATTAATTGATCATTAAGTAATATTTTATATATAAATATATGAAACATATTTCTAAAAAAGGTTTCTTATACCGAATTTTAAATAACTCTTTTTAATAATAAAATAAATAAAAATAAAAATACTGTAAGGCTTATACTACCATGTTGCATGTGTTAAACTTAACCTTTGTTAACTTCAATTAGGTTCAACTGGTATTAATAAAGGACAGTTCTCTATGGTAGTTTATTGATGCCCTTATATTACTGTTTCAAATTTTCTACCTACCAGTTAAACAGTCAATCATTTAGTGATCATAATAATAAATTGCATCTTTGCAAATGATTTTAATAATGTACTAATTGATAAAATATGTAAAAATGCAGTATCCATATGTTTGGATTACAGCCTTTGAAGCTAATTTACATTATTAATTCTACAGGAATTATGCGGTGCTGGTATAAACCTAAAACATATTAAAGATGTTAACTCTGATGTTACTGTATTTATATGAACATTTTACTATATTTTATGGGTTTTAAACTGAATCACATTTCCTAGCATATGGAATATTATATTATATTTATTATTAATTAATATTACATTTTCTATTTGTATGGAAAACATTTTTGTCATATTGACTTTAAATTATTGGTACTAGTACCAAATTGAAATTGTTTGTTCATATTTCTTTAGAATTCTTTTCAATAGATTTTTGTTTCTGAACATTTATTTACTAAGTTGTACTATTTATAATTTTGGTTAGTTCTTGTTCTTTTTATGTCTGTCTTTAAAATTCAAATAACATACTATATAACCAGTAACCATACCTTTGTAACTTAAATCTTATCATTGAGAGACTCAGAGATCTAATCATGACATGAATAGTGTTTGAGAAATGTTTTGTCCCCAATTTTACTTGCAACAGTGTTAGTTTTAAGATTATGTTATTTTGGTTTCAGATGAATATGAGGTTATTGGAGATCCTCAATTCCAAATTTTTGAAACTGCAGAAGATCAAGTTTTCAAGATACGTGGTTACCAGTATTCTAGATGGCGAACAATTTTATTTCATTCATTTTGTTTTGCATTATGTGGTTTGCCATATTTTGCTTTGCATAATTATCCAAAGTACTACAAATTAAAATATGTTAAATCCAGTTTAAAAAATGCCAATTATATTTGTGGTAAGTTTTAAAAAAGTCTTGGTATAAAGTTAAACGAGAGAGCTGTGATAGCTCAGTGTCCGGGTGCTCGCCTTAATTCAATTTACTCGAATGACCTGAGTTCGATCCCCGGTTCCACCACCAATGAAATTGTTAATTTTAAATGATGACTGATCACATGCTCAGCACTGAACGAAAACATTGGGAGGAAACCTGCATGTTTTCAAAATAATAACAAAAAAATATTTTGAAAATATGTTAAGTCCCCCAATCTGCAGTGGCGTCGCTAGGTGGACTATGCCCTGATACCCTCTTTGCAGAGGAGGAGACCTTTGCCCAGCAGTGGGCCGTTTATAGGCTGTCACTTTCCTACTTTTTTATAATGTTAAAAAAATAAAATGTTAAATTATTTTTGTTATAGCGACGGACTCAGATGGAGATTTTGTAATGGAACCAATCCATGAACATGAATTTAGCCTTTCAAATCACCGAGGCAACAAGTTACGTTACTTCATTTATCAACAGAATCGTTACATTTGGGTCAATGACCATGACTTGTTTATTAATGTTCAAGCCCTAAATGAAAGAGTGACTATAAATATGTTGATGGAAAACACCGTAGGCATTAATAAACGACACCAGAATGAATTGTAAGTTGAGATAAGTAAATGTTATTGTAGGCACTATTTTAGCTAACAGTAGTATTTACTTGTAATATTTTTCTTCCTACAATTCTTCTTTTTCTTTTGCTATTATTACACCCGTTATTACACCCAGTTGGGATCGGTGGATATGTTGTTAATGTTAATGACCAGGTTTTGGCGACCCACTACCTGTCTGGCGTCAACTTTCCTTTTTTCTACAATTATTATTATGATAGAAAAAAATATCTTTTGACATCTTAAGTAATATGTAACATGCATTTGCATCAAGCGCATTTAAAACTCTTTCCTATTTGTAATTTTAAATTGCTTGAGTACATACTTTTCATGTTCTCAAGTCCTAGTCTAATGTTTTTTAAATCTGGTTGTAGGATAAAGCTGTATGGGGACAATTCTGTGGAGGTTGAAGTGAAGAGCTACTGGGCACTGTTTACCAATGAAGTTTTTAATCCATTCTATTTATTCCAAATCTTCTCAATAGTGTTGTGGTCATTGGACGAGTACTATCAGTATGCGACTTGCGTGTTTTTTTTATCCGTGGGGTCCTGCGTCATGGCTCTGTATCAAACGAAACAGGTAAGGTATCAAACAATTTCTACTTATCAATAAATTGTCTTATATGTTAGCACTAAGCTGTGACAATGTAGTTTCAGGGTTATAAATTGAGAATATTGTGCTTTTAGTAAGCCAGTCAGTAATTTACTTAAGTCATTTGCCACAGTTGTTTTTGGTTAGGTTAGCATTATCTATTACAGGGGTGAGCAACCTTTTTAATCAATGGGCCAATTTAAATTTCAAATTTTTTTGGCGGGCCGCACATAATAATTTACGAATCTTTATTTATAATAAATATTAGAATAAAAAAATATAAAATTAAAAAAGTAAAGAATTGATATACAAATTTTAATGCAATGTAAAAACAAACAAGAAAAGAACAGAAAAACGAACAAAAAATATCTCGGTTCAGTGTGTACTACCATTTAATTATAATTAATTTTATAACAATATATTGATGGGAGAAATTCGATAAAATATATTCAATTTTAGAAATGCTTGGCGGGCCGCATAAACAAGTTTAAGGGGCCGCAAGCGGCCCGCGGGCCGCGCGTTGCTCATCCTCGATCTATTATATTAGTTATCTTTGGCAGCGATTTTCATAAATTGAACAGACATAACTTATTTCAGTGATTTAAAGTAAATTATATAGTTCACTGAAACTCGAACACCAGACATAAAATATTAAATAAACAGAAAAACCAAAGCCAATAAAAATACTAAATACCTTCAAATGATTTTATTTGCGGCCTCACACTCCCACAACTGAGACGAATCAGGCTGCAGAGCGTGTCAAAGAATTAGACATGCATAATTACACAAATGCTTGAAAAACATCACGATGACCATGCAACTGCGCCATGGGGTCATCGAAATTATACAAATTGCTCGAAATTTATGAGTGCAATGTTTCGCAGATGAGTCTCAGGCTGCACGAAATGGCGGGCTCGACGAGCTCGCTGACGGTGACGGTGTTGCGGCCGACCCGCTGCAGCCGCGAGGAGTGCGTGGTGACCGGCACGCGGCTGGTGCCTGGCGACGTGCTGGTGCTGCCGCCCGACGGCTGCCTCATGTCCTGCGACGCGATGCTGCTGAGCGGCAACTGCATCGTGAACGAGAGCATGCTCACAGGTGACCGAACCCGCCTATAAGTACAAGCAAATGCGAGTCGGCGCGAAGGGTTCCGTATCATTGTCTATAAAAACATGTCTGTTGTATGGAAATGAATGTATGTTTTTAAAAATAGTATAATTTAAGAAAGTTGTTATTTGTAGGTGATAGTTAACTTATTCATTTTGGCTGATATACATATACAATGTGTCTTTACAATCGCGACAAGAAATGAACACACATATCGAGGATAACTTTTTAAAATTGTATTAAACATTTACATTCTTTAAACATCATTATTTACCGAGTTATTAAATTATCCAAAACAAAGAAGTTTAGAATACCCTTACTTATAAAACTGTAAGGTAAAGTTCATTTGTAAAGGTCACAAAGCATATGAATGGGTTGAATGAATTCAAAAGAGATAAAACATACTGTTAGAGAGACTTGTAATGATGTATGAATCAGTCTGTTGTAGTTGTATAAGATGTTACAAATTTTGTTTCTTTTTTATTTAATTAGTTTGTTTGAAAAATATATTTTTTTAAATTTGTTATGATTTGCGTTTGTAACGACACGCTGTATATGTACGTATGTGCGCACGTAAATGGTTATACTTCTTTAGTGTAACAAAAGAGAAATTACTAAAAATTTTATCCCCTGTGCCGGTTTTCTTTGTTTGTGAAAAACACATTGAATGCAGTTGATAACGGTTTAATTAAATAACTTGGAATTATTGGCGAATGTCAAAAAGTTCGTATTGTTGTTGTAATACATTGAAACTGATCGCTTCGCAACGAACTTTTTTGTGTCGCTTTTTGGCTGTAGGAGTGCGCGCGTATCGTAAAAATTTTACTCTCATAATTTATTACAAACGTGCCAAATGAAGAAAAACTTCAAAAAAGTAAACAGCCTGACTCGAGAGCTATTTGTGTGATCCACGGATGATTGTTTCAGTGGACGTTTGCCTATATATGTCCCACTGTTAGGCAAAGGGCTTCTCTGTACAGAGGATATAGGGGCATAGACCACCACACGACCTCACTGCGGATTGGCGGACTTTTCACATATCTTGAATTATATACAGAATAGAATTTGTTTATATAGTAATCAATAGCCCCGCCACTATTGCTTTTAATAAAATACAACAATTGATAATAAATACGGATCATATTTAATCTGGTTACGTTAATATTTCATTTACCATTAACTTGATTACTGCTTCCTACGAATAACCTTGAGCACCCATTATGGGTGGTGCATTGGTACTTGAACTGTCTCTGTATATAGTCGATAAAAATGTAATTGTTTAAAATTAAAACTGTAATTTTTAATATAAATAGCCTTACATTGGGGAATGCTTGAAATCTTAAGGAAAAAATCTTTGAAATCCAGATTTGTAATATTATTTTATTATGATTTGTATATTCTGTTGCCGATCGCGAGGAAATCTACATATAATTGTCGTCAGTGTGAAGATAGTGGCTAAAGCGTCGTGAACGAATTCCGTAGGACGCAGTTTCAAATCCTCGCAGTGGCAAAAAAACTCGTCCCTTTTACTGCATTTTTTTTTAAATAAAATTAAAAAATAAAATGTGCCACTGCAGTTCACAGTATTTTTTAGCTGTTAAGCTTTATATATATATATATATATATATATATATATATATATATATATATATAATTTTATAGATTAAGTCAATCATCGTTTTATTCACACCTTAAACGGTTTATAATATTATACATATACCTATAAGTAATAAATAGTTATAAGAGTTTGTCTAGCTGTTTCAATTATATAAGCCGTGAGTTCAGTTCTAGTTTATATGCTTAATAAAAATGTTATCAATATCGTTAACTTTAGTATTAGCTTGGCTGCTATTCAATTTAACTAGCGCGTGTTGGCACTTTCCATAAAATGAAACTTTTTTATTTGTGTTATTTTTAACTGATCTTTTGCAAATTTAAGCATTTTCTCGCTTTACGCATTTCTCCTGAACAAGATTTTTATATGGTGATACTTTTGTTATACACTGTTCAATTGAAACGTTAGCCACCCACAGGAAAACATGTTCGCCTTTATTTTAACATATACGTAAAATTATGTTCCAGGCGAAAGTGTACCCGTCATGAAGGGGCCACCATGTATCACTGGCGAAAAATACTCTATCGAAACCCATAAAAGGCACACCCTATTTGCAGGAACGCATGTCATACAAACACGATTCTATGGCAATAACCAGGTATATAATGTAATATCTCATATCCTCAATAACCATATTTACATCACAATAACTGTTAGTTATAGAATAGCTCCAACTAAAATAATTGTTCATATTTATTCCAAAACGTAAATGGTACTGTATTATCTATCATACACGTATGTCAATATTTATGTTGGTTACACATGAATTTCAACATTTTTTTTCAGGTTTTAGCTAAAGTGGTACGCACGGGTTTCTACACGGCGAAAGGGGAACTCATCAAAAGCATTCTGTTCCCGAAGCCGTTCGTTTTCGAATTCTATAAGGACGCTGTAAAATTCGTCATATTCATGTTTTGCATTGCTGCTATAGGAATGACTTACTCTGTTTGGCTTACATTTTGCGAGGGGTAAGTCGTTTCGATATCAAAGATATTTCATAGCCCATTTTTTTGTGATTTCTCTAGAGCAGTTAATTACATAATAGGATAATGTTATCCTTACATACATACATTTTAAGTAGACAAACACAGATTTGAAAAGATTATGTGTGGGGTCTCACATAATCTACCGTCAATATAATGTCAAGCTATTGGCCCTAACTTATTTAAAAATTAAATTACTGAAGACTCGAAACTGTTTTTTGTCCTATGTATAGAGTTCACCGGGCACGATAATCCTCCGCACACTGGACATCATAACGATCGTGGTGCCGCCCGCTCTGCCCGCCGCCATGACGGCCGGCATAGTGTACAGTCAGCAGCGGCTGCGCAGGAACCAAATATTCTGCGTCTCGCCGCCTCGCATCATCATCTGCGGCAAGCTGCAAGTCATGTGCTTCGACAAGGTAAATGAACGACTATGTCCACACAGTGTCAGTTTTGATTCGACAACCCATGTGAATACAAACTCAATTCGGTTGTATTTTTTTTTATGTTTTTACGTCAGAACTGTCATTTATGAAATGATTTTAAAAATACATTTTTCATTAGGTTCGTTTTAGCCGCCGTGTGGTCCCATATTAATTTACTACTTCTTGGAACTCAAAATCCAAAAGGAAATAAATATGAGATATTTGAAGTCTGTATTGCTTTTTGTTAATAAAAAAGTTTGTACCATTTACCTGTATACAGCGTGTCGTTACCATCGCGACAATAAATGAACACACGTCTAACGCTACTTGTCAATAATCATAAAAAAATGTTAACGTTAAACAAAATCCATAATAAAAAAAAAAAATATTTTTCAAACAAACTAATTAAGTAAAAAAGAAACAAAATTTGTAACATCCTATACAACTCGCGCCACAGCGTCGTATTACAAGCCTCTCCTTCTAACAGTATGTTTTGTCTCTTTGAAATTCATTCAACCCATTCATACGCTTTGTGACCTTTACAAATGAACTTTACGTTACAGTTTTATACGTAAGGGTGTTCTAAAATTCTTTGTTTTGGAAAATTTAATAACTCTGTAAATATTGATGTTTAAAGAATGTAAATTTTTGATACAATTTTAAAAAATTGTCCTCTCTATGTGTGTTCATTTATTGTCGCGATGGTAACGTCACGCTGTATAAAAGAGGTCCTGTTAAACAATAATTTCAGATGCAAGCCACTTTTTTTACTCCAGTATTTTGTACTGCTGACTACTAGTTTAGTTATAAACAAGTTGATCATTTTTAACCGACTTCAAAAAAGAAGGTTTCTCAATTCGACCGTATAAATTTTTATTTCTTTTTTTTTGTGTGTTCGCGGATAACTTCGTTGTTAATGCACCGATTTTGATGATTCTGTTTTGTTGGAAAGGACATATCCCAAGGGTGGTACCATGATAAAGAAACCCGGATCTGATGATGGCATCCCAGAGAAATTGAGGGCAATCCTCAAATGTTATAGCTAATAACAATGGTTTTAGTCTCCGGTTTGAAGTCGTTTTTTTTTTTTGTTAAAAATTATATAATTTGATGGCCCTTTTTGAAAAATTACTTATTTGAATAGATATTTTCAGGGGGTCGTTACTGAGGGAATGTGTGGAGCGTTTGTTATTTTCAATGTACATTGAAAGACAGTACACTACAGAAAATCTTATTCTAAAGCGGTATAACTAATTTGGTATAAAACTGTTCACTTCAGGACACATCTCACATCTCGATTATTTTTTCAATGTATCAAACATTATCATCATCAGCCAGAGAATGTCCACTGTTGAACAAAGTCCTTAGAACGCCACAACGAGCGGCACTGCTATTTGCATTAAATATAATATTGTACTAATCCCCAGTAGACCAAAGGTAACCGACATAGCTCAAAGGCTTAGCAAGCTAAAGTGGCAATGGGCCGGCCATATAGCTCGAAGAACCGATATCCGATGGGGAAGAAAGATTCTCGAATGGGGCGGCCTCGTATTGCCCAGTGTATTGTAGCACGATCCCCTACTAGATGGAGTGACAACTTGTGCAAGCGTGCGGTAAGACGTTCGATGCAGTTGGCTCAGGATTGTGCTTAGTGGTGGTCTGTGCGGAAGCCTATGTTTAGCAGTAGACTCGAGCAGGACATAATGATGATCATTATGATGCCATTGCAATATATTTCCAGACGGGCACTCTAACAGAGGACGGCCTGGATCTGTACGCGGTGATACCGTCCTACGTCGGCGAGAAGTTTGGCCGGTGCGTCGTGGAGATAGCCGGCCTCTCGATCTCCAGCCCCCTCGTACAAGCTCTAGCTTCCTGCCACTCCCTCACCAGCATTCAGGGGCAGTTGAAAGGTGACCCGTTGGACCTGAAAATGTTCGAATTCACCCAATGGGTGAGTGTTGTGCCTTTTTCTCTTTTCTAATCTGTAAGATCTGGATAAATATGTATAATATAAAAAAATCGTTATTCTAATTGTAGTGTAATAAGCTGCTTCAATTTAACTATTTTTAAGTTTAAATTAAAATTTGTAGGAAAAGTACGAAAAGATTGTCGCCGCCGTGGGAATCGAACCCACTTATTGTCATACAAAAAAGGTCTAATTGCTTAAATGAAACGAAGCAAAGAATTATTTTATTTCGTAAATAAATATAAAAAGTGATATTACAGATTCTTGAGGAGCCCGGACCAGAAAACACCCGCTATGACAACCTAACCCCAGCTATTGTCAAACCATCAACAGCCCACAGTGAAAACTTGCAGAACTTGGATAACTATGACACTCTTACAATGGAAATGCCTTACGAGGTAAATATGTCTAAATTACCATTTCATGAAAAAAAATAAAGAGATTTGTAAATTATAAATCAGCATTTTTCTTCATCTTTCCTGTATGCTAAAATTTTATAAACATGTATTTTTACTAATCTAATTTATTAACAGATTGGTCTGTTGAGACGGTTCCATTTCTCTTCATCACAACAGTCAATGGGTGTTATTGCAAGAGTCCTTGGCCAGCCACAAATGGTCTATTTTGTAAAAGGTGCACCAGAGAAGGTAAACCAAACAAATCCAATTTGCATGTATTGTATCTTAAAAAGTGTGGGTATTTTCAAACGTTAAAAATCAAAAATTTTGGATAAATACTAAGAAGCATGTTGGGCCATTCACCTGTTCTGTGCGGAAGGTGTTGGGCAGTAAGTCACTAAGACTCGATCAATTGTGGTCTCATCGGAGTGCAGCATATATGAGCTTTTCCTCAGATCGCGGGCATGTGCGATCCCGAAACGCTGCCGGACAACTTCAGCTCGGTGCTGCACGAGTACACCTCCAACGGCTTCCGCGTGATCGGGCTGGCTCACAAGAAGCTGGACCGCAAGATGAAGTGGGTGGACGCTCAGAGGATCAAGAGGGACAGCCTCGAGTGCAACATGGCCTTCCTGGGCTTCCTGGTCATGCAGAACAGCCTGAAGCCCGAAACCGCCGAAGTGATCAAGGAGCTCCACGACGCGCAGATGAGGCAGATCATGGTGACAGGTAATTGACAGTCTTTGTCGTGATGACTTCGTGGCGTAGTGGCCAAGGTGTTGGCTTCGGCGCCCGGGGTAGTGGGTCCAATTCCCGCAGGACGTAACTATTTGTGTGACCCACAGATAATTGTTGCTTCGCGTGCTATTTGTGTATCTAAAACGTCATTACAACAAATTAATTGTAAGATTAACTGTTTTCGAAGAGAAGACTACAATATATCTTCTGGGTCACCGTAGTTATTGGGACTTACTTTCCTTTCTGCACAAATACTCTGTAACGACGACTCCTGCTTTTTGGGTTATTAAATAATTTATCGAGTCGAAGGAAGTTTCGGAATTCGGAATTTACTATACTTTTTATCCTTATTCATAAGGATAAAAAGTATAGTAAAACAACAGTGTGTTTTTGTATGATATTTGGTATTTATTTAATGTGAATAATCCCAGAATTAACAATTGTCCTTTTGTATCATGCTATGACACATGAAAATAGTTGACTCATCTTCGTGATCTTATCTTTGCTCTTTTTTCATTATAATGAATTGCTGTTATCATATATGTGACTTAATTCTATTTATATACCCTTGCAATGAGGTCATCAAATTTCTAGAAAGTCCCAACTTGTGATTCATAATTTTTCTTTAGTTATTTGATTTTTACCTAATTTGTAAATATTTGATTTATACCTATTTTGTTGATTATGGAATTCACATATACAAAGTATATTCAATGAAATCTTTTAAATTTTAGGTGACAACATTGTGACCGCAATGTCTGTAGCAAGGGGGTGTAGTATGTTGCAATCACATCAGAAATTAGTGTTGATATCTGTTGGTCAGCAACAACTCGAAGACTCTAGACCTCCTCTTAACATGGAAGTAAGTAAATTATTACATGTATTCCTGAAAATCGACAATATCCTGTGTTTGTATAAACACGAAATTATCCCTGTATGATAATTTTGTATGATAAGATAACTCTCGTCCCCGCAATGATGTTTCAATAAAGATAGCGCATGTCCATACTGCGTGGCGTTTAAAAATTTTTCCGCTTTACGTTATATGAGATCTTTATGTGAATGTGACAGATGATATAGAACGTATAATATGGAAAGAGATAGCAGTCTATAGAATTACAATCTAGTTACACAAATTGGCGTAATTAGATTGAATTTGAGGCACTCAGTTGCGGTGTACTAGTGTCATATGTACCTTTTTTTTCGTGGGAAAACACCTGTCTCTGTCGTATCCGCGACACGGGAATACTTCGACGCAAGTGTCATATTTACCTCGTATTTGTATACAAGGTGGCTTTTCAGAAGGTGCCCAAATTCACACAAGAGGTACAGACTCGGTATAATCGTTTATAAAAATAAAAACCTCCTTTAAAAAAAAATTGCCATTCCATTACTTAGAAAACAGAACTTGTTGACAATGCGGTAGTCATTCATAAATGCGTTGTATACTTTTGAAACGAACTTGTGTGTTAGTTATGAATGATCGCGCTTAAAATAAATGAGTTGCCCATAAATCTCGCACTTTTTGAGATAAGTTCAAATGAATGTATTTCATTAATTACGAATGATTTTAAATATTTATCATTTTTTTATATAACATCATTATGTCTAGAATTTAATAAAAAAAATGGATACACTTAAAAAAGCCTCCATATATAATATCATTGTGTTCCCGCGCAAATCTCCACGTATCTACGCTTTAACAGACGCGACGGCCCACGCGTCACCTCACCAATCCTCCGCGTACACCTTTGCACCACTTGTCACTTCGCCTCACTGTCCACTCACTTTTTCACTTTTCTCTTCCTCTTCCTCCTTACTAGAGTTCCTCAACAGAACTGCCCATTTAGCTTTTTTTGCACTTTTGGATCAAGCACTGTCTGCCTTGAGGTGCATTACAAGGGCACGATAGCCCAAGCCGGGCAACTCGTCTGTTACTCAATACTCGTTTTGTACTCAGAATCGAGAGTGCCTGAGAGGGCCTGTCCTACACTCGGTTGCGCAGTTTCTAACAGGCTTACGATTCGAATACCTTCTTCCCATTGAAACGCTTCCGCGCACATAAAACAGACGCGCGGAGCTTGTAGTCAGCGTTCTCTTTCGGCGTATTATTATCGGTGCGAACCAAATCCTCGAATGTTGAACCCTACCTTGACATGTATGCGGGAGCGAGACGACAGTCGCGGAACGGCGGTGCTCGAGTGCAGGGTTGCACATAAATAGCTTTCAACTCGACCCGCGTCGAGATCGCTCTATCAGTAGCTCTTATCTTACTATGTCCCTTTTAACCCCTTAGTCGATATTTCGATCGTCCTTGCGGCTAAACAATCTAGAAACGATTTTCATTTCGTTCGTCCTTTTCATAGATTCTGGAATCAGGGTACGAGTCTCTTTAATGGAAAGTACGAAGAATACGATCCTTCTTTCACTCTTGAAGAGTAATCATTTAAAATTAAATTACTTACGGCATTAGAAACTGTCATCACTAATAAAAACTACAACAATACTTATGTATATGTATGAATATGAAAAGTCTATGTATGTTGTGAATTATAATTTTATACGACGATAACATTATAAATAATATATATGAACACATATCTAAATAAGGTTTACATTTGTTCACAGGTAGTTGGTGAGGATGGTCCGCCACTGTTGTCTATGGATTCGTATGTGTTAGCTTTAGAAGGGAAAACATGGGACCATAATACGTACATATTATCCAGAAATGATTCCAACTGTACTTAAAAAAGGTAGGTGGTAATCATATAATACATATCGACTCGGTAGTATGAGCTTAAAACAAGCTATATAAAAAAAAACTTTGTGCGAGCGTGACGACAATATATTTGCACGGGAGCAGAGACAGCCAATAACACATTAAATTCTACTATCTCCGCGACCGGACCAGTCCATTTTATTTCTTTTACTAACTGCTGCCCGCGACTTCATCTGCGTAAAATAGACTGAAGGCGTAACATACAGACAGAAAACAGATATACATAAAAATATCCATATAAATTATAGCCTATGTGTTATTCTGATATATAAGCTATATTAATGTAAAGTTTCATTAAAATCCATTCAGTAGTATTTGCGTGAAAGAGTAACAAACATCCATCCAAACACACAAACTTTCGCGTTTATAATATTAGTAAGGAAGTAAGGATGTGATTAGATGGAAGCCATCTGGCGGATCACCTGATGTAAAGTGATAACCGCAGCCCATGGACATTTGCAACACCTGCACATGCGTTGCCTGTTAATAAGTTACCTGTTAATAAATTGTGATCCGTTTATCTCACTCACCAGACAAAACTTCCACTTCACGCCGGTCTTCTGTGAGGTCATTGTACTTACCGTGGGACCTGCCCACAGTTAAAGACTGCCACCACGGCTAAGGTTAATACTTAGGAAAGTTTGAGGTTAACAAATCTATCGTGAACGTGAATTTATGAAAAATGCTCCCCCTCTCAAACTTACAAACCGACCACGAGGACAATTGTGTGGCCCTAGCAGTTGTTATAATTTGAACTAGCCGCTATCCCATTATCCTGTCCAATCAACGAGCCGCGATAGCTCAGTGTCCGGGTGCTCGCCTTTAATTCAATTCACTCTAGCAACCTGAGTTCGATCCCCGGTGCCGGCACCAATAACATTGTTAATTTTAAGTGCTGCATTATCATGTGCTCAGCGGTGAGAAGAATATCGTGAGGAAACCTGCATATTTTCGAAATATCAACAAAAAATAATATATCGAACATATTTGAAGTCCGCCAATCCGCAGTGGGGTCGCGTGGTGGACTATGCCCTGATACCCTCAGTATAGAGGAAGCCTGTTTTTATTTATAGGCTCTTACTTTACTTTTTTGTCCAATCATATGGTGATCTTCGCAGGCATGGTCTTCGGCCGTTTCGGGCCGGAGCAGAAGACTCAGCTGATCACCGCGCTGCAAATGGAGGGCCTAATTGTTGGCATGTGCGGGGACGGCGCCAACGACTGTGGCGCCCTCAAAGCGGCACACGTTGGCATTTCCCTCTCTGAATCCGACGCCTCAGGTACGTTATATGACCCTATTGGGCTATATCGACGGTAAATTATTGACGAAACAACTGTTGTAGGGCGCACAACTGTTGTAGGGCAACAGGCTTAGTCGCAAGCTGTATGTTTTATAAAAATATATGACATATTAAAAATAATTAAATGAACGATATCTTGAAATCAGTGAGAAAAAACTATTCATTGCGTTGTGTATGAAAATTTTAAAGTGAAATACAAATAATTGTAACCGCATACGTTTGTAACCGACATCAAATTATTAGAAAACATAATTATATTGCATCTGTATATTAAAAGTAAAAGAAAATGTGAGCTGAATTTTTATACTTTTGTGAGACACTATTAACGAAATAATAAGACGGCTGGACTCACGAGAACTTCTTATTATTTCGTTGAGCTTCACATGTTTAGTTTTTTTTTTTTTCATTAAAGTCATTCTTAATATTTACAGTGGCGGCACCATTCACTTCCAAAGAGCAAAACATAAGATGCGTGAAGCTTCTCGCCTTAGAAGGGAGATGCGCCCTCAGCACTTCCTTCGCGATCTTCAAGTACATGGCTCTCTATTCGCTCATCCAGTTCTTCTCTATTCTATACTATACAATGTAAGTGAAGTTTGTTTACCTTTTTTTTCTTCATAAAACATTCCGTAGGATAAGGTGTTGTAGAGCCGTATAGGCTCTATTATAATATTATTAGTATAAATTGTACAATGACTTATAGCTAGAACAGAAAAAAATGTTCTCAGTTGATGCAAATGTTATTTTGGACTCGAACATACGACCTACGGCGCCAGGCCAGCTCAGTGCCTAATCGAATCATCAGTTCTGTCATTGCCCTTACTATATTAATCCTATAGGATAATATTATCGTGTGTAATATATACAATAAGGAATAAATTAACAGAAACTACAAATACTTCTCCCGTGTAGGATTTAGTGAATCGAACTCAAGAACCGCAGCGTCGAAGCCAATGCATTAGTAAACAATTATTATATTATTATATAACATTTATCGACAAAAGTTACCTAAGTCTTATACTACCGTTAAATTATTCTATGTCTATATTATAAAATTTTATTAGTTTTTTCCCTGTGTGGACACAATCTGTCACGCATTGACTCGCTCTGTCATAATATTTAAAATTTTCTCTGTCCTGTTCACCTTCACTCGACGATCGGATAGCTGCAGACTATTCTGACCGGTCTAACATCTAGGAACATGCATGTGATTGCGATTAATATCGATTAATAGTCTATTTTTAGTCTCTACGGGGTATCAGAGCCGGTCAGGGAATATTGTCTTTTTTAAGAAACATTGCGCTTACTTTAGGATAACATTATCCTGTGTAGTAAGGACGTTTTACAAACATAAATTTCACGCGGACAAACACGCAGATGCGAAACAACTGCCTGTGGGTCACACAAATAGTTTTCTTGTGTGGGAATCGAACCCACGACCCCCGACGTCGGAGCCAATACGTTGACAACTGCGCCACGGATTCATTAAATCTATTTCTTATATTATCTCTTTCTCCTATCTCTTTGGGTGGTCAGCACGTATGAATCATAATAGCTTCTGCGAAATATATTTTGTAATCATTCCTTTGTATTTATGCAGTTACACATTACTAAATGTAACTATTGTTACGGATTTATCGCGCTAGTCTTTTTTGTTCTATTTCCGCTTTTTTTGTTCATGAACGCTTAAAAAAGGGTTCGAAACTTCGGGAAATAAAACTAAAAATACACGTCACAAATCCGTAAACATACAGTTTCTAATTATGTAAATTTTACCAAACTAATGAGTTAATGAATTCATCTAAAGAGATATGATAGTAGTAGTAGTAAGTAATAACAGCTTGTAATTACATTATACGGACCACTGTTGCACAAAGCCCACCTCCTTAGTACCATAGTACGCTACGCGACCCCACTGCATAATGGCAGACTTCACAAGTGGAAATGTGCGAAATATGTATATTTTGTAGAGGTTAATTTGTCCTTGGTTTGGTTCAATCAAATCAAAACAAATCATCTTTATTTGCAGAAATATGGTAAATAAATATTTCCGATAAAAAGTACAGACATATTTCGCCTCATGGGCATGTAAAATATAATATTAGTAAATGTAAAAGTAATAGCAAAAGAAGTAAAATCGTCGCAATGTTTAACAATAATAATTACTAACAATCACAAAAATAAAAAATATAAAAAGTAGAATATAATGTCATAACAATATTAATGACAATCATTGAGAAAGGAGCCTATTACTATGTCGTATTTTTATGTATCTTGTTTAATAATAACATAACTAAATATCCCATAGCAGATTCATAGTCACATAGTGAATTTAAAGACACAGCCATAACTATATAAGCCAATGTCTGAGGGCATTTCTAAAAATATCTAATTTTAGTCAAGTGGTAATTTGGTATTTAGATACATATTTTAATACACATGACGTCAATTTTGTTTAAACCTCGTTGTCATGCACTTGGTATTCTTGGGAGAGTATATCTCTCAACAGCGACCCGCTCGGGCTTGGCGCGGGTGCAACGTATTATACATATAAACCTTCCTCTTGAATCACTCTATCTAGTAAAAAAACCCGCATGAAGACAGCGGGACGACTTTGTTTTATGCCGTGTAGTGGTGTGAAGTGTAAACGGCCACCCCCGCCCGCAGTACTTCTCGATCCTGGGCAACAACCAGTTCCTGTACATCGACCTGGTGCTGACCACGCTGCTGGCGCTGTCGCTGGGCCGCGCGGCGCCGGGGCCCACGCTCACCAGGCAGCCGCCGCCCGTCTCGCTCGTCTCGCTCGCCAGCATATTGCCGCTCACGGCGCAGGTGCTGCTCGTGCTGGTGCTGCAGGTCTCCTCGGTCTACCTGCTGCACTCGCAGTCCTGGTCAGTGCCACCCGACTCACACGCTCTTTTTTTACGTGACATACGCCCGGTTCCTATATTCAACGAACGGCCGTTAGTTACATAGCTTCGTAACTTTCATAACGAATACAAGGCGTGTGCGCCCGGTTCCGATATTAACAAAACGAGGCGTTTTGTTTACAAGCCGTCGCATTACCTACAGAAAGTGAGTTACTAGCGTTCGTTTGATCCTCACGTCGTTATGAAAGTAAAGAAGCTACGTGACTAACGGTTCGTTGAATATAGGAACGGGGCAAAAGTGACACGCGGGCTTAGCGGCTCAACCTGATGTCAAGTGAACTGCCGCCTATAGACATTTGCAACGACCGTAGAGTTACTGTTAGATGCCGCCGTTACTTGCCGCCTCTTAAGTAACTAACGGCCGTTCGTAGAATATAGAAACCGGGCATTAATAAAGTGGGCACCGGTCTTCTGAGAGGTCGTGGTACTTACCCGGACGGATACGCCCGTTCGTGTAACAGCCGAAGCTGTTGCGTGGCCCGTGCCCCGCTTTTATCGTGTCCGGTCACGTTCTCCTCGCCACCACAGTCTAGTCTGGGGTCCCTGCTTATAAGAGCCAAAAAACTGAACCTCCTTCATTTTAGGAAAGCCCACACCAAGAAGTTGATAGATAATCTTTGAGTAAATTTTTTGCATTACCTCACGGTGCGAAAATTCCGACATCTATCTACGTTCTTTCCATTTAATTTTTGGCAGTCATGATTTTTTCACCGTTTTTATAGATAATGGTACGGAACCCTTCGTGCGCGAGTGCGACTAGCACTTTTTGGTGTTAGTGCATTCAGAGCACTTCAAGATCAAGATGAAACTTTTAAACTACTACATATTGTTAAGTTTCCAGTTTCATATTGCCAATATCAATTTTCACGTGTATTCCTTAGATACAATTATCAGAAGGTTATTGCGATTCGGATCTTAGATACTCGGTGCAAAAACCACTGGAATGGCCAATGTGCACACCGGATTCGCCTGTCTAATAACAAAACGTTCCAGGTATCGTCCGGTGACCGGAGGTCCAGATGTGGAACTGGTCCTGTGCTGGGAGAACACGGTCATCTTTATCGTCACCTCCTTCCAATATTTGGTGTTGGCCTGCGTGTATGCCAAAGGTTGGCCGTTCCGCCAACCTTTCTGCAGCAACTGTGAGTAGCTAGTAAAGTTTTACCATAATTTATGTTGTAATTTCTTGTGTTCACGCGAATTTTCACGTAATTTAAAATATTTTTACTGATTTATCGCGTTTCAGGCGTTCATGGTCATGGAATCTGTCCCGTGAACATGAACGCCCGGAACGCGATAAATCCATAAAAACATTTTCATCATTTAGCACATTGCAGTGAAATATTGGATATACATGTAAAAATGTGAAGGGCACTGACTTTTGTAACATAGGGTAACCTAACCTAGCATAAGTGTCAGAGTTCAAAAATATTGTATCTTATCTCTTCCAATTTTATAAATATGATTATAATAAGTGCTTTCTTTTTGTATTGGTTGCATAGTTAAATTATTATTATTATTTACGTTATTTATATACTTTCCATATTGGTGACTCTAATAACTTGTTTTTATTTTCCCGACTTTGTGTCCTAAAAGTATAATTTTCATGTAATTACTTTAGGCCATATTTTTACATAAGGCTATCTATCTAGTACCAAACAAAGGAAAGCTTTTATCTACACTACTGGCTTTACTTAGTACTATATAATATACAGAGTGGCTTTTCTAAAGGTGCCCAGATTCACACAGGAGGTTTAGACTCGGTAATATAATCTATTGCAATAAAAACAAACTTTTTCCCAAAAAATTTCCATTCTAATCTCTAAAAAAGGGAACTTGTTGACAATGCGGTAGTCATTCTATATTTTTTTTCGGAGACTGAACCCACACCCTCTGGCGAAGCCCACCATCCACTACGCTAATCGCCTCGTCAGTTATATATTATGATAATAATTTATCGTTTCCCGTTTTCTTTCAGACTACATGGTACTAACTTTGGTGACCCAGTCCATATTCGTGACTGTGCTGCTTCTGTGCCCCTGGCCTTGGCTGGCAAAAGTGATGGAGATCAAACCGATGAACATCACGGATACTGAGCAGAACATTTTCCGCATTTATTTACTGGTCATACCAGTGCTACATTTGTTACTGGCAATTGCTATTGAGGTATGTTTTAGTTATCTATCTATTTATGTATATGTAGAAGACGATTTGTGTATGTAATTATGTATTTTCCCTATCAACTCCAAAATGGCTGCACAGATTTTGATGAAATATTGCGGGGATCTATAAAACAGCCCAGCGGGTTGTTTTATAGATCTCAACAAAGTGGATATTCGCTTAGCGGTTCAAACGTCTGCGCGCGATTCCGGAAGCGTCTTCCGGTTTCGATTCCCGCGATGGCGATAATCTTCGTCAAATTTTCTACAAATTTTAATGAAATCTGTTTTGTTTACTGTTTATAAAACTGTACTTGCGTTTTAAAGACATGAGGCTCACGACCTTAGATATTTATTCCTTTATTTTTGTTTCCCAGGCAACACTTTCGGAGGTGGATCGCTTCGGGCCAATGTTCCGCGTGCTACGGCGGCGATGCTCCAACAAAGAGGAGGTCGCAACTGAAGCCGCGTTCCCACTATGGCTGCCCCATTCGACCGCCCAAGTGTGCTGACTCACCGAACCATCGACGAAACAACCAAACTTGCAATGTCCATCCGACTTGTGCTAGTATAAGAGTAATGTAAGAAAGCGCCATACAATATTAAGAATGTCGTTCAAAACGGGTATAATTCGGCCTCCATTCAATTTGAGAGATCGCCGTTTTGTTTTTAACTCGTGGCGCAGCTTTCCACACACCGAACGAACCTTGTCGTAGATATCGGAAACTTTTTTCGTAAAATATCATGCTTTAATCAAAGATACAAGTAACATTGTAATTTTTACAACACCGAAGCTAGCGAGCGGAAAAGATACATATTATTAATTAAACAACGTTAATATTACATAATGGCATCAACGTTAACTAAGTAATAATACTTACCCATATCATAAAAAACAAAGAAAATTGTTCCCTAAGGAGATGTTTCATTTTGGGCCACCACTATGTACAATACATAGAAAATTGGGAAAATAATAGAGAAGTTGATAAATAAAAATAATATTCAAATTGACTGTAGGAACTGTTATTTAGGACAGTTGGACAAGAATTATTATTCGGGGTGTTTTATAAAATGGCCGTCCCTTTTTCAAGGTTGCCATTACATTATTTTTAGTTTGGCTATTGTTCAAATAGCAATATAACCAAGGTACTTTAGGCACACAATGTGAATACACCAAATGTCACTTGTCAAAATGAGATATCAATTATTTTATTATTTATCTTGATAGAAAAAAAAAAGTAAGTAAAATTGTATGTTACTTTTTATGTAAGCAGTGGCATGCGAGCTGACAGTTCACCTGATGTTAAGTGATAATCGCCGCCCATTGACATAATTATGTAACACCCATAGGGTCCCAGGTGCATTTCCAAAAGGTGGAAATGCATCTGCGTGGTATGCAATTGAGTGGGTAAAACTAAAAATAGTCTTAAATGGTTGCTATAGTGTATACAGCGTGTCGTTACCATCGCGACAGTAAATTAACACACCTCTAACGCTACTTGCCAATAATCAAAAAAAATATTAACGTTAAACAAAATCCATAATTAAAACAAATATTTTTCAAACAAACTAATTAAGTAAAAAAGAAACAAAATTTGTAACATCCTATACAACTCGCGCCACAGCGTCGTATTACAAGCCTCTCCTTCTAACAGTATGTTTTGTCTCTTTTAAATTCATTCAACCCATTCATATGCTTTGGGACCTTTACAAATGAACTTTACGTTTTAGTTTTATACGTAAGGGTGTTCTAAAATTGTTTGTTTTGGAAAATTTAATAACTCGGTAAACATTGATGTTTGAAGAATGTAAATGTTTAATACAATTTTAAAAAGTTATCCCCTATATGTGTGTTCATTTATTGTCGAGTTTGTAAAGACACGCTGTATATGGTTATAGAGTACATGGTGCTAGTTCATACAATTATGAAACATCTCCTTAAATTAATTTTATACTCTTCTAATACATTTCCGACGGTTAGTAAAGTTGACACTCGGAGACTTAAATACACTAATATCGAAACAGAACAGATTCCACAACTGATATCGTGGTTTTGGAAACTGTGCGTGAATCATATATACACTCGAATTTTTAATGACAAAGAAAACTCAACTCTGATCACTGCTTCATAAATCATACAAAAGTACGAATTTCTCTACGTACCAGTAATGTGGATTAACATTATTTTGAAGTGCTTACAATCTTACAATTACAAACCGAATAAACTAACAATTTCCCAGGTCTGCCATTCATTCAAAATACTAATATCTATTTATCTTTAATAATTAAGCCATTTAGCCACTATTGGCGATTAGCGCCAGTGGCATAATCTTACGTAATTTATTGCATGTACTCATAATGGAATAGTTTCCAACGTAGATCATTCGTGTATTTGATAAATTAGTGCTAAACCAAAATATTACTACAATAATATATTCAAATTCGTAAGTAGTTATGTCATAAGGCATTGTAATCGATAGCTATTAAGCGTACCTTCCTTTCTATGGCCGGGATAAATTAAACTATTTTTATTTACAATACTAATTCAATACAAGCGTAAAGTACCATCGTTTTATTTATTCGATAGATAAACGCCTAATGTTCTTTAACTGCTCAGCTCTCATTCTCTCTTTTCTTTACACGCATTTGTTTAAGTGATATTAGCAAAGCCAACACTATTTTGTTTTAAAAGTAGTCATATTTATTTAATTTTTATTGAGAATATTATTTAAGGTTTGTTAAGAGCTAATAAAATAGTAGGTTATACTTTAGAACTATTTGCTTTTCGCTTTAAATCATGTACTTATAATTTGATTCAACTTAATTTTTTCCACTGTCTATATTTGTCTTATGTTCGATGCATTATTGTGTTTTAGGCATAAAGTTTATTTGTTACTTCACTTATTATTTTATTAAATTAGCTTCAAATCATTTTATTGGCCGTACAAAATTTAAATGGTGCCTCTTGAATTTCTTCTATGTCTTAATTCGAGACTGCGGGATAAGGGGGCATCGCCATTTTATTCGCTTTACCATCGGAATTGCTTTCCCACTAAATTTTGGTCAATAGTTGAGAACGACGTGGCTTGCCAACTGCGCTCAGTTGCATTTAAATTTTGAATGTCTGTAAGGTGTTTTGAACATCAATATGCAATTACTTAATATTCCTCATACATATAGTGATTTTAATCCAATTAGTTGGTTTTTTAAAGAAAACCAATGCTTATGATTACATAATCTTGCCTCGTTTTTTATTGAAATAATCCAATAAAAAAGATATCCTTAACTGTGGATAGTGGCGACAATCTTCATGTAGTTGTGTATGTAGTCAGATTGTCTAGTGGAACTCGATTCATATACATTATAAAGTATTTAACAATTACATAAATTGTATTTTCAACGAAAATATTTTTTTAAATTTCCATCTCAAAACTGGGATTAATTGTTACACATATCTCCATTGATACATACATATTTGTATTAATTATTAAATACATGAATTATAGTACTTACACAACTTAGATGAATTTTATTATTATTTATTTTAATTACATTTAAAGTATATAAATGACATGAAATTTAATTTTGTCACTCTTAATTTAGGTACTTAAAGTTGATTGGGGGTGTATAGAACATCTCAGATTCTTTACAGTTAAACTACAAACAAAAAATAGCAATATCATAAACAATAAAGACCATTTCTGCCTTAAAAATGTCCTTTAAATTCATAATTTTTCATTTAAGTAGCCCCTGTTTATTAAAGTTTGATTTTTTGTTATTGTGTAGAATTAAAGTTGCAGTTTGTAATTGAAAAAAAAAAACGAATATTTCATTTAAATAAAAGTATATGTACGGAATGTGTAGACTTTTACTCTGTTTTTTATGTTAGTAAATTATGTCAGATTTCTATTGACATATAGACATTTACATTAAAATAATAGGTTTTTGGAAGGAAAGCATTATTTTTGTCATGGAATATACAAAAATCTGAAGCATTCAAAGTTTTAAAAATATATAAATTCTAGTTCTATACCTTGTTTTTTTAAATATCTAGTTTTTGGACATTTTAAGGGCATGCCCCAGTACAAAGTGGTCATCACCCTTTAACTTAAGATTAATACGTAGAAAAATGCAATAAAGATGGAAACAATTTTGTGATTACAATTTCATATGTACATAAGTCGCCCATCCTGTACCGTCGTAAATTTTATATTGAATTACAACTTAACTCTTTTATAAGTATGTTTTATTCATATGCAGCTTTTTATTCATGTTTTGTATTTAGTACCCAAGAAGCCAAACTGAAAAATACATTTGTATTTTAATACGTATGTTTAAATGTACATGTACTATAATTTTGATGAAACTTTTACATAAGTACTCTGAAATGAAAACTTGTCTTTATCTGTCATTTAGAAAATTACTTCTACATGTCTCAAAATTATATATAATACATACATGCATATTGATTCGTTATTAAGTAGTTGCGACTTAAATGATTGTTTTACGCATGAAATTATTATTTTTATAAGATATGCAATGTTCTTAATGCCCAATAGTAAAATATTAAGTATTATGAAGGCTATGCACCATTCCTAATGAACTAGTACTTAGATTTTGTGTTTGCGTTTTAGGTCGCGTAATAGTAATTGGAATTCATAGAATGCGCACATACTCGTGGTGGGAGAACTATTCAAGAAAATTTATTATTGATTGAACTGCATTATTATGGTATTTTGAAGCATGTTATTTTTACGTATCGTTATCCTCGAATATTTTGGAACTTGTTGACTGTTTGTGTCCAATTTATTTTATAGTAATGTAGTTCGAATCGATGTTTTACTATTTGCGACATTTTTAGATGGATGTGACCAAAAACTGAAATAAATTTGATTATTTAAACGTTTTGTTTCTTTTTATCTTGATTTTTTCCTTATTACTTTTTGTTACACACCATGTAACAAGCTTTTATATTCAATCTCTTTTAAAATAATGTCACTAGAGAAACAACTTACCCAACTTACCCAAAATCAAAAAGTACCTAATGGAATCAATTTTAATTATTATTTCAATCACGGAAACATTATCGTAAAAGAAAAACGTTTTGGTTTTCTTTGGGTACATCTGGACAGTAAAGTGGTTGTGGACAGATAGTGACGTTTTTTGTGGCCAAGAACAGGCACTCGAACAGGGAGAAAGGGCTGCGGAAGTGTGCGAAAGAATTCCCGTGGCCATGCCGATATGCACCTGGGTGGAACATCGTGGGGGTATTAGTCGGTGCGAGGCCGACATAAGCCATCCTTGCCTCCGGGAGGCTCATAGGGGGAAGTACCATAGCCTCGCAGAAAACCAGAGTTGTGGAAGAATTATATTTTTGCGTTTCGTCTGACGAGTACCCACAATTTTAAAGGTGTGGTGAAATATCCATGGTCGGTGCTAATCACTTCAGGTGCTTAACGAGAGTCGGACTCGCGCACGAAAGGTTCATCATGTGTGTTGATGGGAACCCCACTTAAATATTTTTTTATTCTGTTTTTTAGTATTTATTGCTATAGCGGCAACAGAAATATATCTTCTGTGAAAATTTCAACTGTCTAACTATCACGGTTCATGGGATGGCTGGCTGGTGCAGACGGACGCACTGACAGACAGACAACGGAGTCTTAGTAATAGGGCAATTTTTTACCATTTGGGTACGGAAACTTAAAAATAGAGTAGTGTAGCATGACGCTTTGCCGATTTTTTAGTCTTTTTCTGCATATCCCAAAACTTGGTAAAACGGAGTATAATATTCGGAGTTTACAGTGGTGGTTCCTGTTGCAATGAACTCTAATCTCATTGTGCCTTCACTATAAAAAAATATATGTGCAGGACCTATTCATTCGACGTTGACTGACGTGCCTACAGTTGCTCGTTTTTAAAAATATTATTTCTTTTTAATTATTAATATAATGGTACAGGTATAAGTCTTATTTTAGCCTACGAGACTATCAACAGTATTAACTTCACACATTGGCGACGTCAAGATATTCCGCAATGGTATAATATGCCTTAGCCATAAGTTTACTTTTAATTTTGCGTTTTAATTGATCAAGTGGCAGACTTAAAACCGACTGTGGGATTTTATTATACATGCGTACACTTTCTAACCTTCCTAATCTCAAAAACCGCGGAGCTTAGACTACTTTCAAGAGATGATAGATGGGGACTCCGCTGGAGCTTTTAATCTACTGTAATCCCAAGAAAAAAGGATTAAAGGATACGTTATTCAATAATGAACTAAAACTATGCCTTCTTATACTAGAAAGAGTAAATAGAATACATTTAATTTGTTGGCATTTAATACCACATTAGTGTAAACAGACATGCTTTAGTTAAGTCACTGTTAGCTGATTATATTAAAGGAAAGAGACTGAATATCACTAACTGACGACAGTCTTTCATGGTGGAAAGTAAACGCAAAATATTTTGAACTTTATGGAGTAGTAGGTACGTCAGCCTCTCCATCAAGTGTTCCCAGTGAACGCCTTTTTAGTGGTGCTGGGTTGGTTTACGAGGAGCTATGAAACCGTTTATCAGGAGTAAAGGGAATGAATAATAATGAATTTAATGAATAATAATTTACTGTTAAATCAGGAGATTTAACAGTAAATTATTATTCATTAAATTAAATTTACCAGAAATTAATTTTCAAAATTAATTTTTATTTGTTTTTAGCACTAATTTTAACAAAAAATAATAAATAAAAACTTTTCCCATAAAAGTTATTTGTTCTTATATTAAAAAAATACGAAGGTTAGAAAATAAAGAGAAGGTTTTGTTTTAATTGTAAAATCTTAATAATATATATTTTGCCCAAAAAGAATATTTTTATTATGTTATCACTCATTTTTCCTCCTCTTCCTCTTCCTTATAGCAGATCCTCATCCTCATCCGCATCCTCAATTTTTTTTCTTAAAATATCCTCTTCCTTATAAATACATCCTCATCAACCCATACTACATATTATAAAACAAAGTCATCCCGCCTCTTTTGTCTGTCTGTATGAACGCTTTAAACTCAAAAACTACTTGAGTGTTTTTGATTCAGATATCAACAATTGACAGTGATTTGCAATGTGTAAATTGGCTGAAATATGATGTCGAGGAGTTCATGCCACACGGATAAAATTCGGTGAGGAAGTGAAGAAAATGTTGGCGCATATGCTTTGCTACCGATGCAAAAGCGGGGCGGTTATAAAAATAATTTTGATCCTACCTTATTAGGACCTAATGAGGCAATTGATAAGAGTATTTCCACAAATTTATTAAGGACTATAGATAATCTGCATACCAACGTTTATAACAACGGAATAGGGAACAGAACTTTTTTCTTTTCCGTGTTTATACCCACATACCACTTTCTTCAAAGTAAAAACTTATAAGTACAAAAGATAATGAAATACCGATTTTAATTTATTTTTATTTTTATACGTAAACAATTTTACACGTTGTTTGTTTTTAATGTTTTTAAATATTACATGTCTCGGTACACCGTTTTATCATAAACTAATATTAGACATATCTATGGCAAATACTCTGTGTATCCAGGTGGCGGAGAATACTGTGGTGGCCGCATGTCTCTCACGTTCACTTTAATTGGACGGACGTCATTTGTTTCCGGGGGTTTTATCCACCTAATGAAAAAGTGAAAAACACCTGTTTAGTTGTCCGAAGTTTATTGCAGCTTAAAATTGTAGTCGTAAGCCAATATAGGTTCATAGAGAGGTCGCGTTGTACGTTATATGAAACCAAAGCGTCAAACGCTTTGATTTCATATGACAATGATATTTTAAAGATTAACTGAAAACACAAAAACTTACTTTTTAAATTTGGAGAAGTCAATGAAGATATATAACTTGAGTAATATAGAAACAAGCTAAGAAGGACGGTGTTCAAATAATATAAATCCTTAGATCCGATATCTAGGATAAAGCTTAGGAAGGATATTATAACTTTTTAAAACTTATTTCATTATTACTTCCGATTGGAAAAAAAACACCAACACAATCACTTTCAAAAATTGCACTCTGATTAATCAAAAGTGTAAAAAATTGGAAACATTTAGAATGAATAAAGGGGAGATAGCTTTCATAATATTTATAAATTAATAAACGAATATACCAAGGCACAAGACTAAGATTGTAGGGTGGCTTGGGCCGCGAGAGCCTTTCTGCGCGTTCACGGCGCAGCATATCAGCGTCGCGCCACACCGAACACCAAGCTCGAAGCGTGAAATAGTACACCAACTCCACACCAGACAGAAGTGAGAATCCGAGGAAGAGGCCCGCAATGCCGCCGAAAGAAACTGTATAAATTGTAACACAAACACTACACTTCTACACTTCTAACATATCTTGATTGTGGAGTTCAACGGTAGCCGTTTTATCAATTGCCGCTGTTACAGAATCCAATCCCATCAATTGTTTTTTATTGTTATAGCATCTATGCGTATCTTTTTAAACTATAATAACTGCATATTTTCAAAATAATAACAAAAAGAATTCTCGAAGCTACGTGAAATCTACCAGTCTGTACACAGTAGACTTCCCCAACATTACTTTTTTTACTTATACTAAACTAGCGATAATTGTTTTATTGTTTGTGTTAATAATTGTAAAACGAAAGAAATATATGAATATTAATCAATTGCTTGTAACTTAAAAGTGGACTCAAACAGGCTGAAATGATGAACTTAAAAGTTCATATTTATATTACCTTGTCCAATTTTTAGTACATCATATTTATAATAAAGTTCAGCAAATCAACTTACCCAACAAATCAACCCAACCAAAGAGCACTTCGCGTTTGTAACGCACCATAGGCCACGATACAAACTCGGTTTCTAATGAATTGGACGCTTCTGGACCTTTGGTACTGCAAAAAAAAATATTAGAGCATAAATTTTAGGAACATCGGCAATAATATTATATTTAATAAACAAAAGATATATACTCAATCTCTGTTAGTTTCTCTACTTCATAAACAGTGTGCGTGCAACCAAGCTCGCAGGAACACCTGGTCACATCGGTTATTTCGGCAGCATACTTTGCGATACATTGCAGTTCCTTTACAGTGCACTGCCTATAACCATCTGTTATAAAATACAATTACTTCAAGTTTTAAATCAGTGGTTCAACTATTTTTTTCATTACAGTGGAGTGTGGACTTTTTACAAGACCTTGAAGTGACCATGATAATGTCGAGCTTTTTGTCATTTTTGAAATTTTGTTATCATAGATATTTAAAAGAAATTTTAATATCCAGCTATTTTGAGTCGTTTAGACACAGCTTAAAGTTTTTTAAAATTAGACATATGTAATTATTAAAAAAACTGAAATTGAATATTTAAAATTTTCTACATTATTAAGACGCTCATTATTCTAAGGTGACTAAAAGTTACAGGATTACCTAACCAGAAGTACCTAAATGTCATGAATTTATAATGAGTCTATTTAATCTTGTAAATAAAAAGCACATGAAGAACACATGTTATTGTTCATTCTGACGTTTTTTAAATACAATATAAAATCATTTCAATAAATCGAAACATTCAATTACACGAACTTGTTTTTGGGTAGAAATGCGGAACACATTTACAATACGAGCGGCATCTTCGCATGCGACACTGCCGCATGCAAGCTGAATACGTATAAATCGATGACGTCTCCAAATTTACTTCGTCGGCGAAAACGCATCGCCTTTGCCGTATTGAGAGCTGTCGAGCGTCCTCTGTTGTATAAGTGTGTTTGACCGAGAACGACAGTTTCTCGACGCGGTGATCCCAGGAAAGTTGAGCGCTTTGCTCTAAGCCTGCCATTTCTTCCGTCGAATGAATGTAGATCTGGAAGTAATTTCGTCACTATTAGATACTGCAACATTTTTAAGATTATCGAATTGGACCACTCATTGTTGATTTAAAGTCGTGAGAAAAATCGTGCATTTTTTGAGGAAGGAAAAGATACACGTCCCAGTTGTGGAAATCGCTATCTGATCGTGGAGATCCTTCGATATAAATGACTGTATAAGAAAAGTTAATATAGCCAGCGGATTATTTTCTATGAACGAAACGCGACTATGTATAGTCGTCCGTTTAATAATTTATGTCTCTTTAAATGTCATTCAGTTTTAACACATATTAACTTACATCCACTATCGATGTATTCCGAAAGGAGTTAAACATAAAAGACCACTTAGAATCCGTCTCGTGAATGTAAGCCTCCGTAAACTGCTCGGTCTGCGCTTGGGATTGCCTAAAATAATAACCAAAAACCTGGTTATATAAGGGTCAAAATTAGTATCCCTTTTGTAGTTGCAATTACAATGCTATAGACGCACCACGGCCAAGATCTCTCCGCGTGCTTTGAATTAAAAGAGTAGCAAAAACCCATTTCAGTGAACACTGGAGCTAATAGATCGCAACATTCTTCCGAGTCACCTTTCCATTCACAATCGAAAAATGCACTCTCACATCGTTGGACAATCTAGAATAAATTATTACGTATTTATTGTAATATTATATATATTACGTATTTATGTAGATATAATTTTTGTGTACTTTTAAAAGCTTTGCGGTGTCGACAGTGTAAGATATTAATAAATTAAAATTTTAATCTTAATTGAGCCCTAGTGCATATTGCATATCATGAATGCACATCTAAATGCAGAGGTTTTACGTCAATAACTTTTTAAAATTATGTAAGCTCTATATTCGATTCTATTAACTTTATTAAATTTTTTTATTAAATTCATGTAGGTATATATCAGTCTCTCTTTATATATAAGTATACATATCTGTCTTTCTGTCTGAATGTTACGCCTTCAGCCTATTCTACGGTAGCAACTAGTGTGCCATAAATATACTTTCCGTTTGTTCAGGCTGACGTACGGAACCCCAAAAATAAAGTCAAACAGTTTCGTACTTTTTGACGGTTTAAAATGATATCCAGTTGTACCCACACTAAACACAGCTTCTTTAGGGTCCATTGCTGGGACTGGCGCATCCATAACACTATGTCCAACTAGGTCAGGCTGTACGACAAACTTTGAGGTACTTTCGACAATAGAACGATAGCTCAACGTTGAAAGCCACCGCAACATGTCACTTGCATTCTCCGGTGCTTTAGACGGCCACACTCTATTGGATAAGTGAATCGAGATTATTTACAATCGTTATTTTATTCTAATTGATACCAAACCTTTCTTGGGCTAAGGTTAAGGAAATAAATTTAATCAGTTTCACATGCATGGTGAACCAGCATTCTATATGAATGAGTGAATAGCAAATAAATGCAAGTTTATGCGAATGTTAGGTATTAAACATAAGCAACGCAATGCAAATAGTATATTAAAATTATAATTTAATTAATTTATTACAGTATAATTATTCTTGAATCCGAATTTGATTAACAAAGTATAACACACCACCGTAATGCAAGTTGCGAAACGTTTTAAAAGATAACGTTCCAAATTTATAGTATTAATTTCAAATCTTTTTTGTCATTGTACATCTAAAATCTACAATAATAAAAATATTTAGCATACTTGTTCATGTATTCCCTTAATAAATCATCGTCCACTGGATTCATGTCGCATATCGTGACCGCGGGAAAAGGCACGTCCCAGTTGTGGAAATCGGTATCTAAGCCTGTCATCAATATAAATGTCTATGTAAGTTAACTTATTTGGCGTAACCCGCAAAATTATTTAAAAGTGACTACTACTCATAAATAGGATGTAATCACCGAACCTTTGTATAAAGCTAAAGCCTATAAATTTTTCAAAATTCCTACAATCTACAATTTTAAATTGTGACTTTTTTTAATATTCACTTAAGTTTTTTAACCAGATTAAAGTCCTTATATTGCAGAAAAATAAATAATTATTATCACGTCGACATACGTAAAACGTATGAACTTGGCCAATTTTATACAGTGGTATATCATTAAAATATACCTGTAATTGTCGGGTTCGTCTGGAACTTCTCCCATAGACTCACTATAATAATGCAAGTGGCAACAGCACCTATTGCTGTAAAGCTAAACCACATAAACCTAAAAATGTTAACAATTAAAAAGTTGTAAATTGCTAAAAATATTATAAAATTTATATTATAAATGAAGCTTAATCATTAACTGCATAACAAATGTAGAGAGAAATAATATGTTGAGAACATATGTATTAACTGTATTAATGTAACTATTTAAATATATTCATTAACACACTTTTCACAAAACGGTCGATCTTTCTCCGCAATGTAACAGACGCCGTGCAACGTAGAGTTGCTGAAAAATTCGGTTGTCTGGTGACGTAAACTAGTCGCAAATAATGATAATAATCCATCGTCGACATCTTTATTAGAGTTATTATGTTTTTTCCGTTTTCTAGTCCTCTGATTATTATTTCGTGGGATATTATGTGGGTAAACCTTCATGATTCCTTCTTCATTTGCCGCCACAAAATAAATAGTCACACATTTCCCATCATGGACAAAGGAGAACTAAATCACGCGAAGCACGATTTATCGACCATCCGTTGCGTGTTCTACTAATTACCCAGTACAGAGCCATAACAATCAGAAAACTTAAAAATATCTAATATGTAGGTAATCTCTTTATAAATATACAAATACAAATACAAATACAAATACAAATACAAAAATGTTTATTTCATTAACATATTTCTTTTACAGTTAATAAATATTTGGAGCTACCTTTTAAGCAACAGTTTTACTTGTGTTAGGCAGCACCGCTCTTCCATAGCATACTTATAATAAACTTAACTAAGTGCAGTACAAATTTTAAAACTAATTTCAAAAATAAAATAAAATAAAAACATTTTCTCTCCGTGTGAGTGTATGTTAGTGTGTGTTAGTATGTGTGTTAGTGTGTATGTTAGTGTGTGTGTTAGTGTGTGTGTTTGTGTTAACTCAACATCAACTCAATTTCAGCGTAATTTTTAGCTTTTAGCCATTCCATAACTGCAATTTTGCATTTTGTGTATGTCATTTCATAAATATTTAGTTCTTTATTAATTTTATTGTATAAGACAATAGCTCTTGTGACATATTGCCTCTTAGCAAAAACTGAATTTGCTCGTGTATGTTGCACCACGTTACATTTTCTTCTAGAATTATTATCTACATGTTGGTAAGGAAGCGATTTGTGTTTACTCAGCACAGTGTTCAAAATATATAATTTTCTAACAGTTAATAAATCAGTAGAAGGGTAAAGTAAGTCTGTTGAGAATTCTCTTGGCTTTAAATAGATAACCTACAGCAATGATCTCTGAGCTCTCTCCAAGTCTAGAAATCTAGTTTTGACTGCCCCACCCCACACAGTTATGCAATACGTCAAGACAGATTGTGCTAGAGATATATATGTTAGACGGGATAGGTGTTCAGAAGCCACATGCCGTAATGTTTTAAAAGTCCATATAAGTTTTCTTATTCTAATCAAAAGAAGTTCAATGTGACCATGCCATGACAGTCGCTGATCAAGTATAACACCTAAGTATTTTGTACTAGTTACTCTTTTAAGTTCGGCACAGGAGCAAGAGAATGTAGAATCTTTATCACATTGGTGGACAACTATTCGAAAATCAAGCGAGGGTTGGCCGCATTTGTTCTTGGTGAAACAAATATAGTTACTTTTTTGAACATTAAGTGACAAAAGATTTGTGTTCAGCCAAGTGGCAATATTAGCCAATCCCGTTTCAGTCCGTGATTTTAGACGTTCCCAATCCTTAGCTGCAAAAACATTAGCTGTGTCATCCGCATACGAAAAAATGTGATCTCTATCAATTTGCATATTACAGAGCTTATTTATGTAAACAAGAAACAAAGTAGGACCCAGCACACTGCCCTGAGGCACCCCATAATTAACAGTACACTCAGAACTTAATCTTAACCCTATTCTGACTCGCGAATTACGATTAGTTAGGTAACTCTGAAATAATAATAAATATGAAACTTTGATTTTGTTGTCATAATTTTAGAGAGAAATATACATGGGAGAAAACTTGATTCCTTTTCATATTTAATAACGTAAGGCGTTGCTCCTACAAAAAAAGAGATACAATGATATTAGAATGCATCGTCAGCGGGTTGCATTAAAATTCATTTATTCAAAGATGTTTGTTTTACCCAGCCGACACTCTCTTTCTAGGCTCGCTTTAACACAACGAAGAATACCATGGCGAGGAAATCTGCATATGATCGAAATAATGAAATCACATATGACCACGTACCACACTTCAATACTCAAGTGAAATGGTTGACGATACGTCCTCACAAAGACTCGTATCTACTCTGTTTTCAACCCTTTATGACCCCCTCCTCACCTTTTTATCTAAAAGAAAGGTTGCAGTTCATCATCGGGGACTCGCATTACCATAATCTTCGCTTTTCACATAACTCATTACTGTCTATACCAGTTCCGCCTTTGCCATAAGAGCACGTGGAGCTCGTGCCCAGGGCCACTTGTGTGTCGTCAGGGGGGCCCCGCATGACCTACATATTCGTTTAAATTATAATTTTCTTTCTATTTTTGGTAGATAGATTCCGGCAGAAGTTAATAGAATAAATAAAAAATATAAGATAATAGCAGAAAAATTATTTTGTCATTCACTTTTTTTACTTTCCATTAGGGCCCCAAATTTTTTGTGCCCTAGGGCTCCGACGGCATTGTCTGTACCCTCATATAATTTACTAGGATAGTTTAAAAAGTTTGCATACACTTCTGTCATTAGGTTAATTTTTTTGGTTGACATAGTGCGAACTTTTCTTGCATTCCCATTTACGGTTCTTTAATTAAAACGAGTTTTGTGATATAATTTTTTTTGATTTCACATCATTTATTGATTCATATTTGATTTCATATACGAAGATGAGACTACATACTCGTAGTATAAAACAAAATCCCGCTGTCTGTATGTTCCTATGTATGCTTAAATCTTAAAAACTACGCAACGGATCTTGATGTGGTTGTTTTTACTAGATAGAGTGATTTAAGAGGAATCTTTGAAAATACATGCATAATATAGTAGAGAAACATAACAGAGTATATTTAGAAACAGCATTGCACCCCTACAAGGTCGGGACAGGAAGCGTCCCGTCCCTCCCTTTTATCAATTACTAGCGAGTAATTGATAAAATTGAGCAACATGGAGAGGTCTGCGATGACATGAAAACATTTTGAATATCTGCTCTGTATAAAAGTGAGTGGCAGAATTCATACGTGGACGAGAACGTGACGTTACCTGGAGTCCTTTCTGCTCGACGAATGAATTCTGCCGCCTAAATGAGCACCGACTTTAAGAAATGTGACCGATGTTTTTATATGTACCTTTAGCACCTGGTACCTGTGAATTGGCCGCCGGCCCAAGCAAGCACTGTATGTATGTATATGTTCAGATTATACTTTAACACTATTCTGTACGATACATTTTGTTACTCAGAAAATAAGTAACATCTGGCGGCCCTTGGCTCTTGCTCTTTAAGATTTTACGCGCCGTAAGGTGAGGCCGCTTAGCTTAGTTGTTAAAGCGTCTGAGCACGCACTGGAAGACGCAGGTTCGAATCCCACAGCGTTGAGTTTTTGTTCATTTATCTACAAAAAATCATAATTTAAAGTGCGCTTTAGTGTTAAAAATTGCACTGTAAGTAGACAGACATACCAGTTCTTAAGCAGAATTGAGCATTGGGCATTTCGTGTAGTTTTAATGTGTTTCTCTAAATGTCTATCAAACAAGCCATCCAGCATTTTATTATTATAATTTATGGAAATAATATTCACTGTTAGTTGTATAGGTTCTGTAATTTAAGAATTCCAAACCTTTGAATTTAATTTTTAATGAATACAGTTAAAAATATTTAAAACTCAAACATTGTGAACACCACAGTTTAAGTTTGACTTTTTATAACTGTGGTAAATACACTTAATGTAAAATGCAAAATTAAAATGCACTCATGCTGTCAATTTTTTTTTAGACGTAGACGCCCCATCAGCATCGAAGTCGTCATCCGGTGGTAGCAATGGTTCTATTTTAATATCCAAATCTTTCCAAGCTTCGTCGAGCATTTTGATTTTTCCCAGTAATTTCTCCGCTTTTAAATTATATCCTGGCTCCAGCATCTTGCCGGTGGGATTGAGTTTAAATAAATATTCTGCCTGTAAGATATTTGAAATTTTAAGGATTTAAAAAATTATTTACGACAACCTAGACTGTGAAAATTTGGAGCTTGTATGCAGATAATATTTAATTAGAGCTTTAAATGTGTTAGTACGCTGTTAATATATCTAAACATAACTTTATCATATAAAAGAATATTAGAAGCTATTACTAATTTTTCCATGTAAAGAATCGCTTTAAACGGAAAGCTCATTTCATCAAAACATAAAATAATACTGGGATACAAATGGAAAATTTTTTTAGTGCTATTCTCTGCACTTAAGCTTAAAATTTTGCAGAAAAATGTACGAAAAGTTATTTGCCGCTGCGAGGATTTGACCTACGTCCTCTGGTTTACGCGTTCGACGCCCGACGAAAATCTCAACGAATTTATTATTTTATTTTTATATATTTTGGATTATATGTTTTATATATATATATATATATATATATATATATATAAAGCGTGTGGTTACCATCGCGACAATAAATGAACACACGTCTAACGCTACTTGCCAATAATCATAAAAAAATATCAACGTTAAACAAAATCCATAATTAAAAAAAATATTTTTCAAACAAACTAATTAAGTAAAAGAAACAAAATTTGTAACATCCTATACAACTCGCGCAACAGCGTCGTATTACAAGCCTCTCCTTCTAACAGTATGTTTTGTCTCTTTTAAGTTCATTCAACCCATTCATATGCTTTGTGACCTTTACAAATGAACTTTACGTTACGATTTTATAGGTAAGGATGTTCTAAAATTGTTTGTTTTGGAAAATTTAATAACTCTGTAAATATTGGTGTTTAAAGAATTTAAATGTTTAATACAACTTTAAAAAGTTATCCCCTATATGAGTGTTTATTTATTGTCGCGATGGTAACGACACGCTGTATATATAATATATATATAATATATATTGGAAAGGGTTCGAAACGTCGGGAATTTCAAATCAAAATAAAAACGCGATAAAATCCGTAAACTAGTTTCATTTAATATGTACCTTTACTTATATTATGAAGGCAAAAGTTTGTATGGATGTATAGATGTTTGTTACTCTTTCACGCTAATACTTCTAAATGGATTTTAATAAAACTTTACAAATAAAATAGCCTATACATCACAATAAGACATAGGCTATAATTTATATACATATTTAATGTGTATCTGTCTTTGTTTTATTCTACGCAAGCGTAGTCGCGGGCAGCAGCTAGTAGATAATATTTGCGTAAGATCATCTACCATCTACTTCGCTTTTATTCCATTTTAAGCAATAAATGGCCCCATACCGCTGGGTTTGAAATCCGTGACGCCCATGTAAGAAACTAATCAAATCAAAACTTACAAGAAAGTCTATGGGGTCATCGGGTCTCAGCTTGGCGACCTCGAGCAAGCCCGCCGTAAGCGTTGGAAAGATGTATTGCACAAGATAGTTTCGCATTGGTTCACCAGCTGCGGCAAGGCACAGTTCCTCCTCCTCGCGCATCAAAGCGTAAAGTTCCGACTGGAAAAATCATTACAATATGCTATTTTACATTTAGGGGTGCAAAATAATTAATGAAGGTTAATAAAATTACTATGGAATGAACTTAGTAAGCCTAAAAAACTGAATTGCATGACTTTGCTATAGTCCGTTGTTTTTTTTTATATTTCCATTGTCTTAGTAAAATAAATACATATTATATTAATAACTAACCCAATATTCCATTTCCTCTTCATACTCTTCTTTCATTTTGGCCTTCATTTCTTCTAAAGCCTTTTCTTGCTTGGCTTCCATCAGTTTTCTTTCCGCTTTCTCTTTTTTCTCCGCCTCCTCAATTATTTCTTAAAATATTTATAATCAATTATTACTACAGAACATTCAAATATTTCTGCAGTACCTTAATCATTTTACTCGGTTTGTTGTTTTTATTCTTTAATAAAGAGCTATGGCTTGATAATTCGTATAAGGCCGGAATAGTATTTGATACTACAACTTTGGTTATTTAAGAACACTTACATTTACAGATCATTAAAAATCGGAATCAAACTGCAAAATATAATTGTTGCAAGAGGGCCAGTAACAGGCTCGTACGATTTCCGTATTATTGACGCTATTTATTATATTTTAAAAGTTTACCGATAAGCTTCCCATAACGGCATGGACGACCCATACGCAGCGAGACCTCGGCATATGGACCTCTCATGGAATAGTCCTTATGGTCATTGACTGCCACCACGAGAGGGTGTATGTCCAACTCGTCGAAAAAGTTAAGAGGGGTGACATCAGGCGCGTCTGCGGCTCTGAACTCATTCAATCGCTTGAGAACAATCTCCTCGTCGAGATGGGATTCATCTTCCGGCTGGCGCATTGCCTTTTCGCAGATGAATTCATCCGTAACTTCCAATGACACTACAATGTCTAAACGAAAAAAAATTTGTCAGTTGTCGGACTGCACATCAGAAGTTAAAACTTTTTACCTCCAAAAACTTGTGAAAATTATTTTTGAGTTGTAAAGATTTTGTCGAAAGGATGTTTAAATAGAAATTATTTTTATCAACTTTTTCACTTTACTACTACTACCGCGCCAGACGTTGCTTAACTTTATTGATCGGACGACAACTGGTGTATGCGTGACGCTTTACTTTTTACATTAGCATTTACTTTTTACCATATAATAATTCATTCCATATAAGAAGATGAAGCTTTTTAAGTCTAAGAACTGAAATAGTAACATCAGTTATACAAAAAAACAAAAAAAAAATGTTTCGATGTTACTTGGTTTTCGACTTTTCTTTTTTGGATTTTATTTTGATTTGCACTATTTCGATATATCCTTGATAGTACCAAACAACACAGAACAATAATACCATACACCCAGCAATTCATTAGTTAGGATTCAACATTTCACAACTTCAACTTTTTGCGAATTCAACATTTTAGGAATTCAACATTGTGACCCGGGTGGGAAATTCAACTTTTTACGACTTCAACATTTTGGGAATCAACATTTTGCGAATTCAACAATTTAGGAATTCAACATTGTGGTCCTGAAGGTCACTGACGCAAACTTATACTTTTTTCCTCATCCAATATTGCCCAACGTGCCTAGAGGTCTCACTTCAAAAATAAATAAACACCTTATCTTCTCCTAGACGTTCTTCTGGGAGTAATTGAGTGGAGTAACAAGTACTTATCTCTAGTTCACAGAAATAGTTGTCCCGAGTGGGAATCGAACCCACGACTCCCGGTGTCAAAACAAATACCTTCGCAACTGCCCCACGGAGTCATCTCTATAAAAGCATCAAACTTATCAGGCAGTAGCTTTTTACCATTCATTGACCCTTAGTAACAAGGATTTTATCACCTGGGAAATCGGAATAGCACAACTTCATCAGAGCTGTTAAAAAAAAAACTGCGATAAGATTCGGATGCAAGTTCATAGAGCATTTTCAATGTCCTGCTTTTTTGCTAACTCAGTAATTCTGTTTAGAAGTATTCATGTGCATACGTTACATTATTAAGATTAATGTGTTAGAAACAAGTTAGCTATGATCCTATGTTAATGGAATATACGTACGACACACATTTCATATAACATTGAGCATCATTAAATCAATATCTTACTGTTTAATAGTTCATACCAAATAAATTTCACGTCTAATTTAATTTTGTTTTGATTCGGTAATTTATCAAGTATGTTATATAAGTATATAGTATAAGCAACGCACCCGGTAACAGTTTTCGTAAGACGTTACTATATAAATCAGCATCTTCATCAAAATAATCAGTATCCATTATGTCGCTTCCTTCGTTATCTTGCTCCTCGCCTTTTTCGAAGACTGTTAATAATATTATTAGAGTTTAATGTTTAAACATCCAAAACTTGCGGTGGGACTTCCTTCAATGAGAAAAATTTCCAATTGTCGAGCGCTGGTTTTAAATTGGTTGATACTCTAAACAAATTAAATTTAAAAAGTACGTGTAAAGTAATAACTGTAAGTTAGAATCCGTTACTTGTATAGTGGTAATAATTCGATTTTTTTAAATTATGATAAGCTCTAAAGAAATGTGTTTTACTTGAAAAGACCACAAGACGATAGGACAATATTTCTAATGAAATTCAATAAAAGTTTAAAGATTTGGTTCAACAACGATAGGATCCATAATAACGTAACCGTTGAACGGGATCCTTACGCGTAGAGCATTGTGCCAGGTTGTTTGGGAAGCCATCCAGTACCCAGCCTTTATTTTCTGCTTCGTGACTGAGAAGTTTTTTTCGTATATATCTGCAAATCCAAGGGGGATGGGAAATGGTAAAGATGCATTGGCTTCGCACTAAACGCAAAAACCAAATAAATAATTATATGATTATTAAAAATTAGCAAGGATTTTAGAAAGTACATACATTAACATACCCAACTCAGTATAAAATTTGTTTAACCAAAACCATATTTTCAATTAATTTTAAGGCATTAAAATAAAATAAATTTTTTTAACGCAAAAGTTTGCATGTATGATGTATGGACGTTTGTTACTCTTTCACGAAAAAACTACTGGATGGACTTTAATGAAAATTTATAATAATATAATTCATACATCAGAATAATATATAAGCTTTAATTTATAAAGATACTAGCTGACCCGGCAAACGTTGTTTTGCCAATTAAATTATTTGTAGGGTAGAAAAAAATGTTTGGGATGGACCACCCTTAACATTTAGGGGGATGAAAAATAGATGTTGTCCGATTCTCCACCCTGGCCGATATGCACACAAAATTTCACGAAAATCGGTCGAACCGTTTCGGAGGAGTTCAATTACAAACACCGTAACACGAGAATTTTATATCATAGATTGTGTGAATTATACAAAATATAACGATAATAAGTGGAAAAGTAGGAATAAAAAAAAAAATTTCTGCGTTAAAGAATGAAAAAAACCTTTGTTCATTACACAAAATTATTTCCCTTTGACCCCCACGTATAGGGCGAAGCTGGCAAGGGGTTAACGGCTAGTTTGTTAATAAAAATGAAACAAACGGTCTACCTTTGTGGCCTTGCCCGTTTTGTGGCTTTGCCTTGGTCTTAACACGGTTAAAATGGTCGTCCATATTTCCATATACACCTAATTAAAGTTTCAACAACAAGAAAAAAGTTTAAGTTCCGAAAGCACACCCAATAATTTCTTCCTCGCTAAGCGAGCGACCAGACCGCAGCATGGCAATCGTGACTCGCGCTGCCTCTCGCTCTGCCTCGTCATCCTCTAGGTCATCCTCATCTTCGAATACATTGTCACCATCTTCAATACTTGGAGCTTTTAGGGCAGCTGTCTCGCCTTCTTTCCAATGACTCACGCGCAGTTCCTAAACATAGCGTAGAAAATAGTATCCAAACACTTTTTCCAATTTTATGAAAGCTAAAACATACCAATTTACACATTGAGACCTGTTAACCTAATAACTAGTTATAATTTATAAAATATTTTAGGTTTTTTAAATTGACTGATACTGTCGGAAATGCACCGTTGTTATGTTGTTGGGTAATATCAATACATATTTATACATTCTGTACTTTACTAGCGCTTGAGAACTGCACAGAATAATACGTCACAGCGATTTTTTGAGATGTACCCAGGCCGTACGTACCGTATGTACCGTTTATGCACTTTTAAGTATCAGCAATTTTATTTTATGTGCCTAATATGGAAAAGGAGTTCTTTCATGGAGGTGGTACTTCATCGGGCATCGCTGGTGGGATCGCCGATGTATGTGAAGAGATTCCCGGAGCCCTGCCGATATACGCTGTTGGTGGAATGTCAGTGGGTCAGTCTGTATGAATCATGGCGTATGGATTAAGTAGTGGACTAGGTAGAGGTTCAATTGCAGATTACATTCTGTAGAGTCCATAAATGCTCTTATACTAAAAATTAAGGGTTAAAATTAAGGTAAAAATTAAGTCTCACACTTTTTACATCTCACCTTTAAGTAGTAAATCATTACTTAAGGATTACCTTAGATGCGACCTGTTCTGTTCTATTTTATGTACAAAGTCCAAGATAGTAGCACGAAATAGCATTGACTTAAATGTGAGGTAATTTTGTCGACGCTTCCTTGCATAACCTGACTTCTGACGCCCTCAGCATGTATTCAATTCCTAAATTCAATTACTCAAATCAAATGTTCTATTATGACTATTTAGTATTTACCAAATCTTTTAAGGTGTCTTCAACAATTGTGTCCGGTGAAACGTAAACTAGTCCATAAGCTTGGCAGATTAACTTCGACAAAGTTGTTTTTCCAACAAGAAATGGTCCGTACACGATCACCTATGAGATTGAAAAGTTAAAATAGACACAACTCGCAGTTGAAAGTCAATTGTACCGACAGTAAGCCCAACCTTGAACGGTTTGAGACCTCTTTCCTTTTTGAATTGCTTCATAAGTGTTGGTATATTCTCGGCGAAACTCAATTCAGATGTCCATTGCAGTCCCATTGTTTCGACGATAAAAGTGGGCTCCATGTTCAAGTGTAGCGTCATCAGTTCGTATGTCTTTTGCTGAAATTGCGTGATTGCAAATATTATCAAGACATATTAAATCTTAGTATAAACATTAAATATGCTTACGTTTAATTCGGGAATCAAGAAAGCATCTTCGGGAGGTATGCATTTAAACATCCCAGATCCAATAATGCGCCCTAATGGTTTAATAATCTGAAATCAAGCCAGGAATCTATATATTAGATTAGATGATAAAAAAACATTCACACGATGATTTAGTCTGAAATAATACTTCGTGAATATTACAATTGTTATAAACATTAAATTTTATTATTAAAAACACATTTGACAATAATTATTCAGCAAACCTCTCTTTGTTTGCTTATGTTTTGTTCAACGGCTAAAATATAAAGCTTTTTTGGGAAGGCCGTTATTAAGTTATAAGTTATTCTGAAACAAACAAAAAGTTAAGCAAAAATCTGACGGCGGCTAAATATCGCACAAGTTTTTATAATAGAAACACACTCTGCCAAATCCAAAACGTTAATAAGCGGGATAACGTTTCCACCGCGACCCAAGATAGGTAATAGGGGTTCGCATTCCCATGCCTTTTGGAACCAATAAAACAATGCTTCCTCTCGCCCCCCGTAACTCAGCCCAGAGGCTACCACCAAAGCACTAGAATAAAAAATTTTCTTTATACCAAACTTACAAACATATAGTTATAATAAATTAGTTATTTTTATGAGAAAAGATGGTAAGCGAGCTGGTGGTACACTTGATGTTCAGTGAAAACGGCCGCTCATCGGCATTTACAACGCCCATGGGGTTGCAAATCCGTTGCCATCCACTTCCCACTTTAATATAGTGGATCCTACGCCGGTCTCCTGTGAGGCCGTAATACTTGACCAAAAGCGCTTGCCCATTCATGCAACAATATGAAGACTGCTGCATGCCTACCACAGAAATGTATTTTTATGACCACAGCTCTGTTACAATGGCTACAATTTGGAATAGTTACTCATAATAATGCAAATTCGTACTACTGTAAACTCATATAAATGACTTGGAATGATTTTTAGGTTAAAATATATTTATTATATAATTTATTTAGTTTACATATTAGAACATCATTTACGTAAAGGTATTTTACCCGATCCGAGACTTATATTTCTTAGCAATAGCAATGACCTCATTCTCAATAGCGTAGTGTGATTTATAATTTGGATGCGGTTTCCTTTTCCGAAAGTCCGTCTCTACGAAAGGCATATCTGGAGTTTCCTGAAGTATTAATTGATAAATCTTGAATGGCACTATAGTTCGTTAAAGGTGTTTGAAAGTTATAACATTATACAAATGTGATATGTATGCATTTTTTTATTTCAAGAATCTTTCACAAGTATATTTATGTACTTTTTGTAGTTAATTAATACTAATCTTCTGCTAGTCTAGTCTAGTCTACTCTACTCTACAAGTCAGTTAATAATAATATACATTCTAAGGGTATATTGAGTAGCAACTCATAGATTACAAAAACATTTGTCAAAATAAATATTTTTCTAAATATTATATCTATGCGTACTGGATCCAATGGTTTTGTAAGTGCCCATGTCATTACAGTCGATATAAGAATAAGATAACGTTTCCTGGAGTCCAAAATATCACCATCATCGCTTGTGGCACTTTGATATCTTTCATTTGCTTCTTCTTTTTCTAGTAGATCTTTTAATACTGAGAGAAAATAACAAAAAAAATTTTTTTATAAATATTAACAATTGTTAAACTAACTTTTCTTTGAGAATTTCCTTTTTGTTACAAATTATACATTTCTGAAAAACAGTATTGACCTTGGAAAGACAAGCAATACCAGACCAGTAAATGTATTACCAAGACCCATTTTTGTATCAGCCATATGAAATGATGTAGTAGAAATTATTTCATAGTGATATAACCATGTAAGACTTAATTATAAATTAGTAAAAATGTTATACATACAAAATGAAAATTTATTTTACTAAGAGTTAAGTTCAGTTGGATTCGGCGATCGACTCTTCATTTTATTTGTATGAACATAAATATTACCTGAACTTTAAAACTAATGCCATAACTTTTACTTATCAATTTTACTATCCTAGGTGATTCTAAACTAATATTAATTATAAGGCTTCAGCACCGGCGGTCAAGGATTCGACATCTACAAGGCACATTTTTCGTGTGACCCACTGAGTGTTTATTCCCAAGGCGGATTGACTTAAACAGTAGCCGGTCATCTCAAAATCTCGCCAATACCATAAACCACATGATCCACATGTTTTGCTAATCCCACAAAGGTGTGATTAGGACAGGAAAAAGAAGAAATAACTTTACTGTCCTTACGTTTCAGGTAATCCGATACAAGTATGACTTCATCGTTAGAGTTGCTTATGTCTAAAATGACGGTACCGCAAGTAAGCATTTGTGATAAACATTCGTTAGGTGGTATAATTGCGGTAACATGATCCAATGTCTTTATTGTAGAGTCCATAACAGATCCTAAAAGAAAAGTATATATTTTGATCTATTTTTTCTATACATATTATTTGTCATCATGAAACAGGTTGTGCAAGGCGTTTGACCTTTGGATCCAAGCATTTGAATTGCAAATCATTCTTAGCTTCATCTACGGCTTAATCTAGGTAAATACATTTATTTTGGTGAAAGGTATTTAATCCTATTTAACGGTTGTATTTTTTAACTGTTGCAGGGCCACGTAGTTCTGCTTTTGCACGAATCAGCCTCGTAGAAAATCAGCCGAAAGTAGAAGTTAGTAGTATTCTACTTGTGCATTACTTCTGGAAAGTGAGGTACCTGGAACCCGAACTGCGTTGTAACTCAAAAAGTCACCCAGGGGAACCCCCTCCAGGGTCGAGGAAGGTTGCGCCTTTGTGTTCCCATATCACGGGCAGATGCGACAAAGACAGGTGCAGTGGGATTTTTTATTGGGTACGCATTTTGACCGGGACTCCGGGTCGCTGCCCCAAACCGGTGGTATCCACAAAGGATTTTCATCGATAGCTATAAATCAGTGGTTAGGTTACCTAACCTTTAAATTAGGCAAAATAACCTATTTTGCCTAATTTTTCCAATAATTGTAAAGTTACCTATAATTTCATAAGAGTTACTGAGCTTCGGAGATTCTAACACTTCTCTGTTTATATGTTCACCATCCACTGATGTCGATGACGTAACACTTGACGGAGCTGGTTTCTCCGTAATTTTAGCGACTTTCAACAGAATTTGTTCCCCGTGGTACGAATCCAAGTTGTTTATAAAATATCTTTTGTATGAAAAAACATTGTTCAACGTTGTTGATTCATTTTTACTGCTATAATTCTTTGGACCAGACATTGTACAAAGTTATAAACTGTGATGTTAAGTCGCCTTCTGAGTTTATCGTTTTTTATTTAGTATTTATCACGTTGCTTCTAACACTGTCAAAAATCTCTTTAGTTACAATTTGACAAGCTCCATTTTTCTTAATTACATCAACATTTAAGAGGTGTTAAAAAGGTTTTTTATAACAATAAAACCATTACCTTAAAGTAAAACTAGTGGTCGCCCATTGGTCTAAATTCGTCCTCTCCTTGTAACAGTGTTTTGTCTCTTTTAAATTCATTCAACCCACTCATATGCTTTGTGACCTTTACAAATGAACTTTACGTTACAGTTTTATACGTAAGGTGTTCTAAAATTATTTGTTTTGGAAAATTTTATAACTCTGTAAATACTGATGTAAATGTTTAATACAATTTTAAAATGTTAGCCTCTATATGTGTGTTCATTTATTGTCGCGATTGTAAAGACACGCTGTATATCGAACACGTTAAATTTTTATTAAAGAATATAAAATTAGATTTACATAATTGCAATACTAGAGCAAGCTTTTATTTGATCATTGTCATTGCAGCCTGCAACTATTACTCCACTCTTCTCTTGCGTTCAAGATTGAATACAAGCCGAAGAGGTGCCAGCCGTTAATCGTCGTGAGATGGACCGACGATGTACGAGTTTTCTCACACGGAGTTAGGAGTTCGACTGCGTAGAGCCACACGGCGTCAGCATCTGTAGCATCAACTAGCCTAGGCTAGTCAGAGGAAGTAAAACGGCCGGACATAAGACTGGCGTAAAAGCATTTAATTTAAACGTTTGCATTTTATACGGTGAATTCTATCAATCTCGGACATCCGGAAGCCCTCGGATGATATGTGATGGTCAAATAAATAAAAGTTTCCTAAAATAAACAAAACCCCAGTGAACACTCATATCTGAAATTTTGCAGGCGTAACACTAATAGTGGGCCTCGTCATTATGTATTACAATAATTATATACGTCAGAATATAACGTGAGTCTTCAGGGCCAGGCTGAATAGGCTTTTTCAGAGCCATTTCAGCCGACACCTGCTGCTGATTGACAATCATTTACGATAGCTTCACCACATACCACCAGGTGGGATGTCGGTCAAACACTAGCCAGTCAAACTTAAAAAAAAAACAATTTCACTGAATAAAACAATTTATTTATAACTTTTGATTACATACGATAAAATTCATTAGTAATAAAAAATATATATTAGGTAAACAGTAAACTATAACATACACGAGCTTACGCGAGTAAAAGTACAATTACAAGTCGTGTCCACACATTAATTACACAAATTAAGTAAACGGTAGGTTCAAAACAAAATTTGTGACTAAATAGCATTATGTTTTTTTTACAATGTATGGACACGACTATAAGATATCTAAGTATAGATAAAAATGGAAAGAATACGAATTTTGGACGGTATTAATGAAGAACCAAGCATAAGTAGTATTTTTTTGCTCCCGTTAATAAATGTATTGGGAGTAAGTAGTTGTTAAATACAATTTTTTTAAAACATAAATCATTAGTCTTTACGACTTAGAATTTGAGATCGAATATAATTGAACAGTTATCAGTTTTATCCTATTTATAACGCCATGAATTCATTCTGTGTAAGTTTAATTATTTGATCGTAATGCAATTTTATCCATGAATTTATTAAATATTATTACAGGATATCAATAAACTATTATTATTCTTTATATACTATACACTATTAAAAAGATTAAAATTGATTGTTCCCAAGCACCGTCGCTTAAACACTAGTAAAATTAAATCTACAGTCATCTTGTATAATATAACTAACTGAAATACTTAGTTGCAATATATTGCTTCATATCTTAAAACAATTAATATCTCAGCTCACGCATCATAAACATGTTTTTAAGTACATGTACGTAGGGCGTACGCCCTAACATGAGTTTATGCGTGCTTTTAAAAAGTAAATTTATTGTAACACCCAAATTCACTGTAAACGCATGGGTCAAGTCTGTTATAAACTTATAAAAGTTCATGTCAATAACTCGGTAAGTTTCGGACTATGGCACAATAGTTGTTTGATGTTAATACTGTTCATCACTTGTACTATACTAATTATTGATTGACGTAAGTCTATTCGATGTGGAAAGAGGACGGCTTTCTTAAGTCTTTTTAGGTAAATTATCCTTAAGTACATAAGATTTAAGTAACTTAGCCATAACCGTTAAATGCTTTTTTAACTGTCGCATATTTTGCGTAAACATTGTCATAATATGCAGTATATAATAACAGACCTCTAAGAATTAAATTTGAATATATGCAAGTGGTAGTGTTAGTACAAATGTAATTTATATAATTTGGAATACACGCAATACGCATTAGGAATCTTTATTTATAACTTAATGAGTATTGTCTTATTAATTTTAACACATTGTATAAATGTCTATAACATAGCATTAATCGTATATAACAAATTAGATACACAATTAAACAATTCGACCAAGGATATTTGATTTTCAAAGAATATTTTTTTCTGACTGACTAGAGATCGAAACTGAAGAAAGGAGTTTTAAAACACACTGACATTACACTTCAGTGAATTTATGGTACTGGGATGAAGGCTCTGAAACATTAATGACTTTTTTTCGAAAACATACAGACTCAAATACAGTATCCATCCAGATAGATTTTAAACATGCCCTGTGTATCTATCTTCTTATACAAGATTAACATTCGAGTATCTCCTTTTGATATTTTTATGGACACAATTGAATGAAAATAAAAGTTACTCACATTTTTCATATGAATAATATCTAGCACTAGGAATGTATCCATTATTTGAACAAGTTATAAAATAGATAAAATTGTAAAAAAAAATCAAATAACACAATAGTTAAAATAATTAAAACATTATATTCTAAGTGTATTTCAAAGTACCTTACACGTTCCTATGTAATTTTTATCTTATATATTCGAAAATACTCACATTTGTGAAGAGATAAGGCACATTAAAAAAAAATTTGGAAGCAAATTCGGAGTTTTATCTAAAATACAATGAAAATGCTCATTTGTCTACAGAAATTCTCCCAATGACATGGTTGTAGACCATAGCGTAAAAGGTTAGCGACTAAATTAGCAAATCACAAAAATTCGCAATCAAATGTTGCAACCTCTTGAATTTGCAACCAAAATAACGCTTTAAAGATTAGTAAATGGAATGCAACAAAATTATGACGTCAATAAATTTTTAATAACCAGTAGTTTAGAAACGCAACTTGATAGGATTGAAAGTAAAATGTTATTATCTCACTTTAGGTTTCCTTCGAAACTTCAAAAGTGAAATAATATTTAGTTTATGAAAAAAGGCACTAGTTGTTTTTGTGTACATATCACTGACAACTGAAATTACTCAATAATTTCAGAGCACCTTTAGATTAACATTTAGTTTAAAATTTGGGTGTCATAATTAGAGCACCAAATCGCATATAGATTCTCCATAATTGCGTCATCCTAAAGAGTTAAGTACAATGCGAAAAACTTGTTGTGTATAACCTACAACTGCGTAGTTATAACGGACTTGCGATGGATAATTGTTATTTCTTTTTCACCAATCCCAGAAGGAGAGCTTGGCTCGGAAGTAACGAGCCAAGGGGAAAGTGACGAAATCGGTTGTGATTTAGGGATAACTTCTTCTTTTCTTTCTAATGACGCAGCAATCTTTGATTGAGCTCGCGGCGGCTCGACAACTACTATCGATACGTACTGCGAATTATTAGCCAATGGTGAACTAGGTTCGTTTAAAATTTTCGGGGATGGGGTAGACGGCATAGACAAATTCATGTTTGATGACTCATTGATAATTTTAATTTCGTTTTCTCTTGCTTTTAGAATGTTATTGCATTTTAACTGCCCCGGGGGCAGATTTTTGATGGACGATAAATAGCACTTTGCTTGATTATTAGGTACTTCTTTATCGGACAACGCATCAAGTTGATCTTTCTTAGCTTCGTTTTTGGAATCATCGTTATTCAATTTCTCTTTAACCAAACTCATGAGGAGATCATTAAGTGGATTAAATTCAGCCACAGGAGAACAATTACACGATGGTTTATTAATTACAAGCTGAGTCAGATTATTTTTCTTCTCGTCTGCGTTGGCTTTATCAATTTTGAACAAAACCTTACTACTTATAGCATCATCTTTAGATATTTTTACTTCTTCAGTTGGTTCATCATTCATAAGATTCTTTGTAGAAGATTCTCCTATTTCTACCTGTTTGCTTTCAATGTCAATAAGAGACGATTTTTGTGATTTAGCACTACTCTTCCTTGATAAGGTGTCAAGCCCCGAATCTGGTACAAGAGGTGTGGTATCTGTAGAGGTACTGGGCAGATCAGTATTTACTTCAGACTGGGATGGAGTTTCATGTTTTGTAGGCACGTTTTGTTTTTCCCTCTCTCTCAGTACGTGACTCTGGCGCCGTGCGAAGCGTTGACTTGGACGTCTTTCAAACTGGACGGTGCGACGAGCTCTATTTTGTTGTGTTGTTTGATATTCAGTTTTGCCTGAGTACTGAAATCTCGATCCCATCCTAAAGAAGTTTTGCCTAGCGGAAGGACCCTTAACCGGAGCGCGTAAGCGGAAAAAAGTGTGGTGTTCAACAGCACATTTCCATAAGTGTTTACATGCCTTTTCGTTGTGTAGCCGGAAAACAAACGTGTGCTCTTGTTCACGTCCCTGATCATCATCTTCCACAACAACCAATGTTAACTTTTTTTTCTTGAAATCTAATTTACTTATTTTAGGCCAAAAGAACAATCCAATTTTTTGTGGTCCTTCAAAGACCAAAATACCTGTGGGCGTCAATCCTAGGTGATATTCGCATCCATCTTTTCCTAACACTATGTGCATATCAACACCATACATTTCAAGCCACTTTGCTTTGTTTAGGTAGTTCACTTCAGCTTGAGCTGGTGTGAGACCTTTGTACTTTTTATACTCTTCTAATATTTCTATTTCCATTTCTTCTGTCTGATTTGGAACAAACCTGAACTCGGAAACTGTAGCAGGAGTGTGTACAGTTTCATCAAAATCTCCTAGTTCTGACTGCAAAGCTAAAGCTGCTAGTTCTACTGCAGTAGAATGTGGACATTCTAGTTTACTTTCCAAAATGTCTTTCTTTAACTGCAGAAAGAATTGATACCTTGTCAATTCCTCTCTTAAATTATTTGGTTCTGATGAATAAAATTTGACTTTGAGGCGTAAAGTATATGGAGGTCCAATTTTCACTTGCTTTTTTATTGTTTTAGTTGGATCTAACCAATGTTTGACATTATTTGTGTCAGTAAATTGAAGACCAAAATAATCCTTTTCAATTAAATCCAAAGAATAAAATACTTGTTCATAGAGATCTGCAGCACTAGCTTTCTTAGAGAGATTAATTGACAAGTCAGTTTCATCAAGTAGCATTACCTTGCATTGTATCAGATTTTTGTTGCTGGAAGTTTTCTGAGCTTGCTTATGACGGTTCTGGCTAGATGAGCGCCCTCTTCTACTGAGGAAACGCAACATTTTATTTCAGTGAATCTGAAACAAATACAATTATATTTCTTGTAATCAAAAGAAAGATTATAATTTAAAGATAAAATTCATTCACTAAGATGACACAAAAAATGTTTATTATATAATGCATTTAAGTTTAATACTTATGATTCTGTTCTTTTGTAAAATATTGAAAATTTCTTTTTATTTTGATTTATTTTACAACAAGTGAACCACTCACTTGTTGTAAAATTTTTAATATTGTACAAAAGTACAGAATCATAAGTATTAATAAACTTTAATATTCATACACAACCATATACTGTAACAAAAATATAATTTCAAAATCACTTTTAGGATGCCATAACCAATCCAAATCTAAAAAAGCTTAAAACTAACACATTTACTATTGTAATATGGTATAAAGGAAAATAGATTAAATTCACATAACAAATTTTAAAAAAATCCATTTATCTTAATATCATTTACACCTAAAATAATGTGTTAAAAAGATACATCAGCCTAATTGACCCCTTCATAAGATAAGAAGTGAATGTAATTAGATTACTTCAGATTATAATTAGTGTACATAAGCATTTACATAATTTATTTGTATATTTTTTCGTGTTATTATTTATAAGACAGCGTTATGTATAATACATCTATAAACTGTAATAAAACACAATTTAACAACATTTTTTAACACACTTTTTAAATCTGCTCTTATACAACTACAAATTTAATGCTCTTATGGCTATAATATTAAATCATTAAACGAAGTGACATAGGCGACCCAGATGCTACAAGCTCACTGGGCACATAGGTCATTACAGAATTGCGATTGAGCATTATGGGTATTTATGTGGGCGTTATTCATGAGCCTAGAGCAATCGTAAGTTGTCTTTAATACAATCCATGACTTAAGTGACATAGAACAATATTTAACTGGAACTATTTTATCTTTTTTTGCCGTTCACAAATATAAAAACAGTTTTGTTTAACAACATACCGATTTGTTATCGATGTGCAACGCCTGTAGAATCGTAATCTCCTTTGGAAATACTTTCTTGACTGACACCATAGATAAGACATACACTGACTGACAACTGACACAGAACAGAAACAGGTCACAGACTCACAGACAGCACAGGATTACATAGAAAATAAATAACTAAAAAACACCATACACAGATTATCAAGTCACGAGTTGCTATTTGAACTCATGGACTCTAGCTACTTTATTATAAACTCGTTCTCACTCTTTTAACGTTAGTGTATCAGGCTTGCATTTTAGTCTAAGCTCACATAAAGTTGATAGCCAAATCGGCAACCGAGCAAAGTAAGAGTAGACGGAGAAAACAATGTTGTGTCGTTTAGGAGAGTAAGCGATCTCTCGAATATCGATAGCGATTTCAGTATATATGGCAATCTCTGTGAGTGATCTTTTGATGATAGAGAAAGATATACACGAATCTGTAGGACTCGATTTCGACGAATCATGACACTCGGTAAGCTTGGTATATAAGATCGAAGCCATTTGCCGACTCCCTATTTGTTTACATTTTTAATGTAATAGAGCCACGCAAAGTATTAATTAATATGTAGATGCTTATGATTTATGTAACTATGTAGATGCTCGAACCTTAAGTTGGAAGGCAATCTTGTATAGTCAGTAATAGAGTCCCATCACAATTGCATAATCAGAACAAATAATGATAATAATCACATTAAATCATAAAAACTGTTTACTACTAATAAGTAGTAAAGACGTAATGTATCATCCGTTCATTACATTCTTATGTCCGCATATACAATCTGAGAAGTTGTACATGTACATACCGAAAGCTTTTACCATATATGGACTTGAATGACTATTTCTTTGTTTCATATATTTCACTGACGCTTTTATAAACAATATAGACGATTTTAAAGTCCTGATACAATCTGCATTTCACGAGGCGATAGCTGTACGACCATCGAAGGAAGCGATTTTGAATTACTTAAGGTACTTTCAAGAACTAACAAAAATGAAAAAAACAAAGCAAAATGCATAATAAATATAATTAATGAAATTTTAGTTAATATTATGTATTTTTTTAAAATTACTTCAACTATTTGTAATGAAAAGTAAAAAGTTATATTTATTTTCCATAACATAATTTGAAACTCATATAAACAATATTTTTTTATACATAACACAGGGATTTTTTGGGGCTTTGAAAAATTGTTTTTTTTTTTTTTGGCTATGTCATCTTGATTTTAGGGCTATTTTTTAAAATTACTTGGCAACACTGTCAGGTAGTGTTGCACAACCATCGATAGCTTGACAATCGATAGTTGACCTCGAAAACTATTCAGGATATCGATTGTACTACCGATAATATCGTCTAAGTCAATACTGTACATACTACCGATAGTATCGATAGTAATGCATGCGATAGTATCGATAGTAATGCATGCGATAGTATCGATAGTATTGCAAAAACCTTTACCAAAAACTATCGATACTATCGATGATTTTGTACTATCAATAGCCCTTTACTGGCTATCGATAGTACAAACCTATCGAGGCTATCGATAGTATCGATAGGTTTTGTCCAAAACTAATGGAAATTTTAATACTATCGATACCATCGATACTATCGCATGCATTACTATCGATAGTATTGCTGCCATCGATACTATCGTACTATCGGTAGTATCGACAGTATTTACACGTGACAATACTATCGGTAGACTACCGATAAGTAAAAGCAATATTTTACTTTAACTATCGATAGACAATCGATTGTGTATCGATCGGAGAGTATCGATATGCAACACTACTGTTAAGTCTCTATTTTTGACTTTTCCTGAAAGAAGGTGACGGTGCGTGGCTTCTCATTCTAGGAAGTAAAACATTCCCATAAACGAAAAGGTAATTTAATTACTTTTAAATTGCATATTGAAGGGGAAATTAAGTGATTATTTCTTTATTGTTTATTTAATCTTGTAATTTAAGTTATCTAAGTAATGAGAATTTTCCAGATATTGTCGGTAGTTTCACACTTAAAAATATTTTTGTTTAAATTCATATTGCTGATCATTATTAACTAAATGGAATGATATCACTTGTTTTGTTAATGCATTGTTAAGGTAGTTTGTTTGTATAAATATTCTTAATCTACCTACTCATTTACAGAAGGAATACTTTTTGATACCTTGCTCTTTTTCATTCTTTGGTGCCAATTTGTTGCTTTATACACTGACATTTATTTACCAAAATATCGATGTTAGCAGTCCAATTTTAATAAAGTTCTATTTGCAGATGCCAGTAGCAGATGACATTCAATCCTCTTGGGCTGATGAAGTTGAAATAGATCAGGGTGCCTTGCCACCACCTTCAGAAGTAGTAGAAAATGGCTTGAAGATAGTAACAGAATATAAATATGACAATGATAACAAGAAAGTCAAAATTGTACGAACCTATAAAATTGAAAAACGTGTTGTGTCCAAGGTAAAACTATTTTACTAATATTATGACTACAATTTTATATGCATATACATCTAATAATACTTAAAATTGGTGTAATTCTATATAAGTTTTGTTAATTTATTTTTATTTTGAAGTTTTTAAAAATATTATGATATATTTACAATCATGTTCTAGTTAAAAAAAATAACTTTAAATGTGAAAATCTGCTAATGATAAATGAAACTAATTTTACGGATTTATCGCGTTTATTTTTAATTTTAATTCCCGACGTTTCGAACCCTTTACAGCGTTCATGGTCACGGGACAGACTGAGGTGTTAGACGTCTGATTGCCATAGTTAACCCGGGCTACCGTCAGTTTTTGAATTATTAATTTTGTGTCCGATCTATGCAGAGGGAGCTAATTGTATCTTGTCTTGCAGTAGTGGTTCGTTTGGGCCTAGATTTAATTTTATTGATGACAGGATCCCAAGCGGTTGGGCCTATTCAAAATGTGCTCACAGTTTGTGAGCACATTTTGAATAGGCCCAACCACTACATCAGGTTTGACAAACCACAGATCCTTGCAAAAGAACACCGATTCCTCCCAAGGATGATTCGCGAGGCTATTGAAATTAAAAAAAAACACCCTAATTTCAATAGAGAAGAAGGTTGGGTACTACCATCAGCTTGGGATCCTGTCATCAATAAAATTAAATCTAGGCCCAAACGAACCACTACTGCAAGACAAGATACAATTAGCTCCCTCTGCATAGATCGGACACAAAATTAATAATTCAAAAACTGACGGTAGCCCGGGTTAACTATGGCAATCAGACGTCTAACACCTCAGTCTGTCCCGTGACCATGAACGCTGTAAAGGGTTCGAAACGTCGGGAATTAAAATTAAAAATAAACGCGATAAATCCGTAAAATTAGTTTCATTTATAATGTGTAATCGCGTAAATACAAGAAATTATTATCTGCTAATGAACCCAGAATGCTGTCCAAATTTTATAAATAAATATATTTATGGATTTGGTTATAAATACTTGGATTAGTAAATTGTTTCTTGGATGACGAATAATTACTCAAATACAAAACTTATGGACACAATGTACACTTAGGTTTGAAACAAATACAAACATTATATTTAAATGATATAACCAATGGTTAAAATTTGAATGAAGCTGTTTCCAGTTTTTTTATGTTACAGCTTTAATTTGCAACTTTTTTTTATTTACAGAGTATTGCTAAGCGTAAGACTTGGAGTAAGTTTGGTGACTCTGCTAATGATAAACCAGGACCAAATCCAGCAACCACCAATGTTTCTGAGGATGTTTTCATGCAATTTATCACTAGTAAAGAGGAGAGTCAGCGGACTGATGATGGAGAACTAGATGGTCTTAAGGTATACATGTTCTTTTTATGTAAAATATAATTGATTTTCTTGGAAAGAAGTCCCTTAATTCAGTTTGAGGGAGGTAGGAATTGGTGGCAAATGTTGAAAATGTAAAAGAGGTACTTGCTCTCTATGTTTCATTCTAACTCATTTAATTTGTTTAAAAACTAAAACTTTTTTGCTGATATTAAATTAATTGATTGCAATTGATTGAGTTTTATACTATCTATACTTTCTATACTTCATTTATGAATATATGGAAGTTGGGAATGATGTGAGCATGTAAGGCTGTATATGAACATTATTAGTTACTATGGAGTTTTGTTTTTGAAAGGTTTCCCATGTTAATTTTTAAATATTCTGTACTTCATATATACATTTACTAGCTAAACCTGGTCAGTTTACGCTGTGGCTCAGAATTACATCAATTTAATGGTAGAAAAAGAAATACTTTAGGGAACAATTATTATATAAATGATCAACAGTTAAAAAAACTGAAAAATCAATTAAATTAAATGCAATAATTGAAAGGAGTATAATTATATTTACACATTTTTATAAATATATGTTTACATATTTGTGTGTAGAGTTGTAGAATTTGTGCATTGAAAACAAATGTAATAATGGTTTTTACAAACTCTTATAACACTTGTTTTCAATGCACTGTTAACTACTTTTATTCAAATATTAATTGTTTAAGTAACAGAAATCATTATAAAAAAATAATAATTTGGAATTTTTCTGACAATTTCAGCCCCAAACAAGCAGTGTCATCTACAAATGCCGTACATGCCAGGGAGAACATTGGACCCTGAGTTGTCCATTTAAGAACAGTGACATTGCACTGGCTAAAGCTAATGAAGCAGCTAAAGCATCAGGTAATTGACTAAACATATTTCTAAAGATAACTAAATATTTTATACAGTAGTATTTTATAGCCTCTCATTATTTATATATTCAGGGTGCTTTTATTAATAAGGTAATACAGTCTTTATTATAAAACAATAACATAAGGCTTTGAAGAAAAATAGTTTACAGGCTTTTTTGGGCAGTGAAGGTCATTGATTTGATGAAACATCATTAATTTGTGCAATACTTTTAACTTTTGCTATTACAGAGGTGAAAACAATAACAACTACTACTAATAAGTATATAGCACCCAATCTACGTGAAAATGCCTCTCGTAACTTAAGTCGTGATCTACCGGGCCCAAGGCGTGATGATGTAGCTGCCATTCGCATATCAAACCTCAGCAACTTTGCTGTTGAAGCTGACCTTGATGATTTGGTTCATGGATTCGGTCCTGTGCAGAAACTGTACCTTGCGAAAGAGAAGGTATTAAACCATAAATATTCATACTTAATCTTGCCTTTCAGATCAATTATATAAGTTATTTAGAGCTGTCTTTTATTTCTATCTTTATTTGATTATTACATCAAATGAACTATATAAATTTTATTTCAGAGTACTGGTCAATGCAAAGGTTTTGCATATGTACACTTCAAATTCCGAGCTGACGCTGCTAAAGCTATTGCAAACTCTGAATGGTTATGGTTATGATCATTTGATTTTGAATGTGGAATGGTCAAAGCCACCTCAAAATAATTAATTTTCAATAATATCAATAATTGGAAATAAATCTGGTAACAATTATAATTTGTTTTTTATTGCTGTCAAAATGACATGAATCTTTTTATCAAACATAGTGAATACATTCCCTTATTCCTGTATTCTCCTAGTTGAAATATTTGTTTATAAGTTTTGTTTGTTGTTACTAGGGGATCTTGGGATGGAGTAAACTCTCTTAAAACTGCTACTACAATAATGGATTTCCTTTGTATTAAACACCAAATTAATTTTTAAGTACTATGATCACAAAATTAATTAACATCACTGATTGCAATCATAAGTATACCAATGTGCAAAGTTCAATAAATGTAAATTTGCAATGCACAAACATAAACTAAATGATGGCTGTAAATGAAATTGCAAGTGCAGCCTTGCAGAGATAGTCAACTTGGCTATTGTAAAGTAGTCATACGCAGATAATAGAGTAATCTATTTATCCACCAAAGTAAAATATACAGCGTGTCGTTACAACCGCGACAACTTTTTAAAATTGTATTAAGCATTTACATTCTTTAAGTATTATTTACAGAGTTATTAGATTTTATAGACATATTAAACTGCAACGTAAAGTTCATTTCTAAAGGTCACAATGCATATGAATGGGTTGAATGAATTTAAAAGAGATAAAACATACTGTTAGAAGGAGAGACTTGTAATGCGACGTTGTGGCAACAAATGAAAAAGTCTGAATGTATTCAGTCAGTTGTAGTTGTATAGGATCTTACCAATTGTTCCTTTTTTATTTAATTAGTTTCTTTGAAAAATATATTCTTTTAATTATGGATTTTTTAAACTTTTTATATTTGTTAAATGATCATTACATTCTGCTAACATATCTCCTCCAGTGGCTTGTTGGTTTCAGAGTTATGTTAGTGGCCGACGGCAGCGTATGCGTATTCATGGTATTTTTCCATCATGGCGTGAATTACGAGCTCTGGAGTGCCTCAAGGTTGTGTGTTGTCTCCATTACTCTTTGCTTTATTAATTCAATCTCCACAATATTACTTCTCTCTATCATATGTATGCAGACCATTTTCAACTGTACACACAGTCAAACCTTGAAAACTTGCCCACTGCTATTACTACCATCAACAGTGACCTGGCAGCTATCAGCGAGTGCAGAGCAAGCGAGCAGCGAGCAAGAGCTATGGACTTAAGATTAATCCTTGTAAATGCCAGACCATCATTGATGGCGGAGCTAGCATGATTTCAAGAGTTGATTGGGACAACTTTCCTTCGATAACATTAAATGGTTTTGTTCTGCCATACAGCAAGACTGTTAAAAAGACTTTTAAACTTTCTTAAAAACTTTAAGAAAGGTTAAAATTGACGTTAAAAATTACTATCTATTACTGTTTTGACACAGATTGTCACTGATGACATTTGTATATATTTTTGTAAGTTATAGTATAGTATATGTTTAGTTTTATGTATGTCTATTGTATCTTATTATTTGGTATACAATAGTATATTATTATTATTATACAAAATATAATATATTCATTTAGTTTATTTAGATCTTTGTGTGTAAGGTTATCATTCGCACCACCTACCGTTGTCCTAAATATTATAATATACAAGTTATTGTTTTATATATATATATATATATATATATGAATATATATATATATATATATATATATGTATATATAAAACAATAACTTGATTTATATGAAGAGCTTGGAACTAAATATGCATCACAGAGTTGTGTATCATACATTTCATCAATGAAACAATTTTTTTGACTCAATCCTTTTTGGATATAAAAGTACCTACTCTTTAAAAGTATTATGGTAAGACCCCATACCTTTTAATAATCCTTTAGCAAATAACAAAAATATATTGTCGAATTAAGATCTGTCGGTATGGGTATGCAGATGACTTGGCAAGCAGTATATGAGACAGAAAACCATATGAGATTCACACCCGGTTTCTGAAACACTGATCATTGTAGATGATAACTAATCAGCTGTCAAATGGCTTTTCAAGAGTTGCCAAAAGGATGGTTAAACTCTTCATTCATCAATCAGATCAATTCAGAGAGTATAAGCATCCTTCCTACCTAGTAATGTCACTTATGTGATGAAATGTGAAAGAATAATACTCTAACTTCACACTGATCTTCTTTGAGGCATTGGTACTTTTCCAGATGAACCTGCCCATTTATTCAATAGCTGAACCTGCTGCAATGGCCCTACCACAAAAAGTATAGTAAAGTAACAAAATTGTAACATCATATAGCAAGTAAAACTTTATTTATATGATTAGGTATAGTAGTATGAACTATTTCAAATTCATTAAACATTTATTCAAAGCATCTATTTCTTAAGATTAGACAAATAATTGAATCAACACCAACACTACAATAAATTGTGAATAAATACCAAGAAAATATCATGTGCATAACATTTTCACATTTATAATATACTGTCCCACTTATAACATAAATCAAGCATACATAATCTTGTAGATCAAACTATATATCAATATCATATTTTTCATCATCACTGTTAGGGACATATGTTTCTTCAGGGAGACGTACTTCACCACAAAACATGAGTTCTACATAATTGAAATAATCCAATGCAATATTAGTTAGTGCAGCTCCTGTTGCAATACCAAATATTGTACCAATAACTGGTCTCTGACCTACAGAGCTTCTTAGAATTGCCCATAAAAATATGGACCCTAAGGGCCAAAGACATCCACCCAAAAAGGCCCATGAAAAGCGTCTAGCTGGTGCAGCAGTGGCAATGTGTGGCCTTGCCCACAGCCAAAGTCCAGCTCCACTTCCAGCAGATAAGAACAACACATCAGTAATGTCACGCCGTGGGAATAATCTAAAACAATTAAAATACTATGTGTATATATAAATATAATAAATAATATATGTAATACGAGCAACTTATAATTAGCTGTAAAATGTCCTTGACGACATAAATAAAATATTAATAAAGTAGTCAAGCACTTACTGTCAATAATACAAATATTAAGTACACTTCAAGCATGCAATTAAATTTTAATAATGTAAGCTTCAGCAAGGTTTAATAAGAATGTTTGTAGAAATTATTATTGTCAAAGCATACAAATATATATTTTAACATAATGTTATATTACGGCCAACACAAATAAAAAAAAATTACTGATTCCTTTTAAAATATTACTCACCTAACCATCAAGTGAGGGTTCATCACACTCACTGACAAAGTTGTATAACTAACAAGACCTTGCAAAGGGAAATAGTAATATAAAACATTATCTTTGGTGAATGGTGGTATCCTTATTCTATTTACTGTTTTATTAAAATAGTCAATAGTTCTAGGGACCGTCACTGGTAAGCTGCAAACTTGCCGTTTGATATTACTGTAAATTTTGTCCAAATAATCCATTTTTATGTCACAAGTATTGCACTATATTTTTGATCTACATTAACAAGGTAACGTCGACGTACATTATTTGGCAAAGCCTTTGCAGTTATATATATTACTAAATTAACAATAATAGACGCGTACACTGTAATCTGTATGTCTAAAAGTCTAAATCTAATACAGTGTTGTCAATTAGTTATGCATGGGCAAAAATATCTACATATAAAATTATCGATATTTTTCCAAATAAGTATCGATGTATATCGATATTTTTATTCCCGATATATCGGTATTCGATATTTATTTTCGACTATCGAACTCGTATCAATTTCGATATATTTTTTAACGCAACTTTTTTTTTATTAAGGATTATATGGCCTGTTAACAAGACCTCTAAGCCAATACCATGAGAATACTATTAAAACATAAGTGTGAGACGTTTAAGACCCTGAAGTTAAAAAACAATTAATAATTTTTGGATCTTGTTTTCAACAAATCAAAAAGTTACAAAAAAAAAAATTACTTTAGAAATTATTTAGGAGGAGAAATTTTTTGGGAATCTTTTCAGGAATAAAATTTTATTTACATTTTTTTTTAAATTACACAATTTTAAACACAAAATATAATGTAATAGTATTGGCAGCATTGGCCTATGTAGTATTTTAAATTGTTCCGCCATAAACTCTTATTGTGAATATACGGTTACTCCTAGTATATTAAATTTAATAATATATAAAATGTCAAATGGTGAGAAAATTGCCATCGGATACGTTCAAAATTATGCAGCTAAGTGGGAAAAAGACAATGAATTTAAAGGTAAGTATGTTTCATTCAGATCTTTTATAATTGAATGATACTTATTCCCATTATTAATTTTCTGATTCTTAAAAATAATGAAAATGATTATAACGTCACAATAAAATGTATTTAATTTGTATGAATATTTTTCAAGTCAATGAACAATGTTCAAGGTCAAGTATATTAATTAAGTTAATTTTTAAATAAAATAGTTTTGATTACCCAGATAATTAATTTTTCCGATAATTAAAAAAAAGGTGACTTTTTTATTTAGGAAGTTTTTTTTTGAAAACAGTGGATTTTAGGAGGTTTTTGAATTTCTTTAGAAGTTTTTTATTCAAAAGTTGGTAACACTGAACTGCGGCCGGTTATTATTAATTTATTTTAATCGGTTATGTTTCATTATTCATCATTTTATTTTGTTATACGTCACTACAAAACATTAATATTGTATTTACAGGTAAAGACTGCAACGCAAATTTGTATTCTTTTCCTCACCTGAAAATGATAGTGAACAGACATGGATTCAATTGATTGGAGGAAGTTTACTGATTTTGGATAGCCAAAAATAATTTAAGGTAATTAATTTACTATGCGAAACCAAACTCATAATCATTCATAACAATGATTATAAAAAAAATAGCGAGTGAATATTATAATTTGTTGAATATTAAAACGAAATAAAGTTCGCATAACACATTTCTGTATTTTATTTACTTTATCCAAAAATAACATCTAGCAAGCTTGTATCCAATTACAGTTTTCTATAAAATGTTATCAAATATAAATTAAATAAATTTCACAATCAATCAACAAAAAATATAGTGTATCTATATAGAAAACTGTAGTTGAATACAGCTCTCAACTGTAAAAACAAGTTATATACATCTGAACTTGTAGTTCGGTCCCGCATCAAGATATGGCGCTATCTCACGAGGAGACTGAGGACTCTATTAATAATTTACTCTTTGGTGGCTCTGTGCTTTGAACTTGAAGTTGCGAAACAGCGAAATGCGATCATATAACATAAATCATCGTAATCAAACATAATCGAAAATATAGACACTCACGATAATCACTAAAATTTTCCAATTTATTTTACAGTTAAAACACACTGATAAAGTCCGTAGTTTCAGTAATTTCATGCGTCTTAGAGTAAGATTATTTGATAGATTGAAAATTATCTATAAGAAACGGAACAAGTATAGTAAACGTAAGGATCTATTGTTGTAATTATAATTTAATTCAAAATATTTCGGATACCTTTTCACCATAATGCACATCTCCTTAATATACATCGCGGGAAGAGGTAATTTGCCTAAGCTTTTAAATAGTGGCTTACAGCTGTCGATAGATTTCGCTCCGCAAATGGCTCTAATACATTTTTTTTGAATTAAGAAGGCTTTTGTTGCATGCGCTGAGTTACGCCAAATTATTAATCCATATGATAACGCCGAAAACTCATAACCGTAGTATGTGCTTAATGCTGCTTCTTTAGACACAGTTCGTCTAAGCTGACGCAGTGCATATACAAACTTATCTAATCTTGCCATTGCCTGTTGTTTCAGGTCCCTAAAAGTCCGTTGATTATTTATCCTTCAGTATCTATCCTAAACCCCATCGGACAAGGCACAGCACCTACACCGAATGCAAAGTCCCTGGTTCGAAATAGACCTGAACGGGTCAAAGGCAGTTAAGTCCACTCGCGCTTAAGCCACATTAATAACACTCATATATATTATACAACACACAAATGGCTCAACGCGTTCGCCTGCAAATGCGAGGTCACCAATTGGCAGATAACACAGTATCCTCGTATGTATGGCCGCTTTTGAACCACTTACATCGTGTTTGAATTGTTGTTTAATAGTGAGTTACATTCCGGTCGCTCGTTATTAATGTAATTAAATCCTAAGTTGTAAATTGATTATTTTCTTGTATTTTAGGGAAACCGTTTAATCGTCATTAACTAATTGTTGTTATAAATTAATTTTCGTAAAGCGATCGTTTCGAGTAAAACGCGTAATTTTACCGGATTACTTCCTCCGCATACTCGAAACCATCTGAGCTGGTCTCCCAGCTCCTTGGATTATTTCACGGTGTCATGCCCTGTTGATTTTCTTTTTCCTGTTATTTCTTTTTGGTCAATGATAGCATGATATTGATACTGATTTTTTTGGCCTTGATGAGCCACTGTTGGCCTTAGGGCCCTTTATAGTTTCGCCGGACTTGAGGTGGCAGGGCGCTCGGGGCGCCTAGCCTCGGCGTATTATTATTACGCGTTATGGTGACTAAGCGAGGGCTGCCGGGTGTGCCTCGGCTCGGGCCGTCACGCTATGATTATCACCGGTTTGGGAGGTCGCCAAGCTCTTAGGGCTCTTTGGCGGACGCTCCATGTAGTGACTAGGCTCAAGGGTCTCCGAGAGGGGACCTCGGCTCAAGCTGTCACTCAAGACGCGTTTAGCATTCCGATTCGAGGGTTCCCGAGAGGGCCAGACCTTGGCTCGATCGGTAGCTATTATCGGACTGGGGGAATTTCTAGATCTAACATTACTACCACTTTGAAAAGCGTTGGCGTTGGGAGAATAAGTGGCGGAATAAACTCCAGCAACGCTTCTATCATTAATTGAGGAGAACCTGCCAGGTACGTAGCGGAACCTGGTATATGTTTGTCGCACTCGCGGGCGAGTGCGGTGTGTGTTGGTGTTGTGTTTGCGTAGTTTTTTAATCCTTTCCATGGTGATAATCGTCTCATCGTCAGGGAAGTCGAGAACGTGTCGCGGTATACGGTGATTGCGGCGGAACGTACCTAGGCGTGGGTCTGTAGGTGGCGGCGGATTAGCGGATAGGCCTGATACTGACCTACGAAAGGTAAATTTATATATATTTGAAAAATCGATTATTGGATTGTCGATTTAAATCAGTGATTATAAAATGTCGGTTTCGGCAATGGTATCGATATTCTAACATGGTAAGTAGGGATGTCAAAATTGAAGAAGTACATCGATTTATCGAAGTATCGATGCAGTATTTCAATATCGGCCCCGATAAATCGAAGTGAGACCTACTCCCACCCACTATTGCACGTCCTATGAATGTTAGTTGTTTGTTAACTCTTGTCTACGCATCGTTCATTAAAACTCTAGTTAAGTTCATAGAAATTAACAATATACGGCTTTAAGCTGGTTTATAAGATTTTTGTTTTCCGCCACTTTTGTTCCTGTCCTTTTTTTCTCTTTTTATTTGTGTATGGCTGATGTCTCATTACTAAAGACCGTGTGTTACTAATTACTAATGAGGTGTTTTGTTCCTCTCTTTACAGGTACGTAACTGAAGGTGGTTTAATACAGTAGGTTATTATTGTCGTGTCCTCAGCCTAGTCAATCTCCAAGTACCAAGTCATTGGCAAAATAACTGAAGTATCAGAGGAGCCATAGTAGGGAAAAAAAATCGAAATGAAAATATCAATATATCAGACATACACTACCACCACAATTATTTAATATTTATCGGACTCTGTGCTGGATTCGAATTTGAAAAATATTACGTTTTTGATACAATATTCGATAATGAATACTTTGTATCGATAAATCGATACATCGATACTTCTTCGGCATCTCCAATTATATATGCAAATTGCAGTAATATTTTTTTATTTTATTTTTTATTCAAATGTCTCCTTTAAGTAGGTTTTTAGTGGTTTAATTTCATACGTTAGTAATAGTTTTATTATGCTCCCTACTTTACGCTTAATTAACCGTGTGCATAGTTTTTCAATAAGATATCAATGCTTTTCGATGGGAAAATTTTTACTTACGTGTAAAAGAAAATATTCAGATAACCTCATACTTGGATTAGAAACGTCTTGCGACGATACTGGTTGTGCAATTTTAAACAGTAATGGTGATTTATTAGCAGAGTCTTTATATTCACAAAATTTAATGCATTTGCGAAATGGAGGCATAATTCCAGATATTGCGCGAGACTTACATAGCAAGTTTGTGCAACCAGTTGTTACAGAAACTTTAAAAAAGGCTAAGGTGTCGATGGAGGCTATTGAAGCTATAGCAGTAACTGTAAAACCAGGTCTTCCACTAAGTCTTGCAGTTGGAATGAAGTATGCAAAACATTTAGCTCGTAGGCATAATAAACCCATAATTCCTATACATCACATGGAAGCTCATGCATTAGCTGCTAGAATGCAACATAATATACATTTTCCATACTTAACTTTGTTGATATCTGGTGGGCATTGCTTATTAGCTGTTGTGGAAGATGTAACAGCCTTCAAACTACTTGGTGAGAGCATGGATATGGCTCCTGGCGAGATGTTCGACAAAGTAGCAAGAAGAATGAAATTAAGAAATGTGCCTGAATTTTCCAAGATTTGTGGAGGACAGGCCGTTGAAATAGCTGCATCCAAAGCTACTAATCCACACTTATTTAAACTACCGTTGCCTCTAGCAGATTACAAAGATTGCAATTTTAGTTTTAATGGTCTTAAAACATCAGTTTTATTGCAACTACACAGAAAAGAAAGGGAACACCAAATCACGGCTGACAAATTAATACCAGAAGCAAATGATTTGTGTGCTGCAATGTTGATGGCCACATCTAGACATTTAGTTCATAGAACACAGAGAGCTATGGAGTTTTGCCAACAAATTAATCTTATACCTGATAATAAAAAGCAATTTGTTGTATCAGGTGGAGTTGCATGCAATAATTATATTTTTAATGCTCTTACAATGCTGTGCCATGAATTTAATTATAAGATATTTAGGCCAACACCTAATTTATGCACAGATAATGGTGTTATGATAGCTTGGAATGGTCTAGAAAAGTGGAGAAAAGGAATAGATATTATCTGTGATGTAAGTCAAGTAGACATTGAAAGTACTAGTCAATTAGGTTTAAGTCTAAAATCAAAAGTTGCTGCAGCAAGGATACCTATAAAGTTATTGAAAATAAAATCAAGATGTTGATATTTGTATTATTTTTTAATATTTACCTCAATAATGCTTTCTAAAAAAAGTCTCATTCTACTTTTTGGATGCAGCCAATAGAATAGGTTTATATTTTGATATCTCTTATTTTTTGGATAATGTACAGCCTGCCTCAAAGATTTAATAGGGCAATGGTCGTAAATATTGAGTTGGAAGATTGAACTTTTGTGCATGCATTGTTTAAGAATATTGCATGCAAGTGGAGTCATATGGGGATATGTTACAGGCACTGTAATGTTTATATGATCTTAATCATGTGTAAGCGCATTGTTATGGACAGAAAGATATTTATTTTATATATACTTTTATATTATATATGTATTTTCCAACATTTTTTACCATACTGAAATAATAACTACCGTTAACTAGAACTCGAAAGTTTTGTGATTTTTGTGGCCGCTATGACTGATAGTTACTAGAATTAAAAACTGGCATTAAGTAGGTACATGATGTTGTCTTCATTCCTGCCCCTAATTTTTCGAAGCATCAAGAATATTCAAAATATATTTATTTGTCTTTATATTTTTAAAATCTCATCATATTAATAAAGAAGTGTAAGTTGAAATTTGAGGTATAATTTTTTTCTAGTAAGAGCTCTGGAAGAGTTCAAATATTATATAAAGCTCTATTGCTAAGTGTCGCTGCCACAGTTATTACCGGTAGAAATTTCCGATTTTGATGCAAGGAGATATCTAGTTTTGTTAATCACGGCTTGAGAAATGTTTTAATAGGATCATAATCATCACTAAAGTCAAGGCCAAAATTAAGAGAAACTCGTTTATTTGAGTATAATATTCGACAAAACTTTAAACTAAATAGAATGTATATGGGTTTTTTTATTCCATTTGGATCATTAAGCTGGCTAATTATTTTTAAAATTATGTTACATACAGTATTAACGCATTTTTCACGCATATTTAATATTTCAGACGTATTGATTTGACAAAGAGCTGACCATGCGAGCGATCGAAAGCTTGCTCACTTTTAGTTTACAAAAAAATGATTTTATTCATGGGATAAAACTTCTATCCAGTGGTATCAAGCACGCTTGTAGCGTACGGTGTATTAGTATTCAGTTACCTGGACTCGATCTGTGTTTTTTTTTTCCGTTTCTTTAGTTATGTGCATCTTATTACGACTCGACGTTATTCTGTAATCAGATAGCCAGTGAGGTTTGGTTCCTCGTGCGGTACGTCGGTATTTGTAGTTTTAATAAATCTTAACATGTTTAAAATAAGAAAGATTAATGAGTTTAAAAGTCATATCAGAAATAAATGTATCAGGGTAATTTCAAGTGTCGGACTGAGGTCTTTAAACAAACAAAGCGTAACCAATGAAAATACGATGAATTTTAACGATATCCCCGGTCCCAAGAGCTATCCTATTCTCGGAACATTATACAAATATTGGCCATTGGTTGGTAAGTTATTCTTATAGTAAAATACGCAAAAATTATACGGTAAAGCATCTATACATACTAGCTGGCATTCTAAATTTTGTATTTAATTATTCGTTGTACAAAATACGATATTGTTTTTTATATTTTTGGTACGGTCGTTGTACGGCCCTTTAACCTTGGTTGGGTTATTCTAAGGTAATGTGAGCTTATTTACTTCTTTATTTTTTTATTGAAAAGGAGGCAAACGAGCAGGCGGGCCATCTGGTGGTAAGTGCTCACAGCCGTCAAAGGACTCTTCAGGCGCAACACCGGAGGTGTTACAAATTTTGTGGTATTTGAGGTAGGAATAGGATCTCTTTTTGAAGGTTACTTTTGATGTTTGAAAGATCAAATTAATTACAGGAGAATATAATGCTGAAGCACTAGATAAGAATGCGTGGTTAAATTGGCGTCGTTACGGAGGCCTTGTGAGGGAAGTTCCCGGTGTGAAGTTACTCCACATTTTCGAACCAGATGTGATTGAAGCAGTGTTTCGACAAAATGATCGATACCCAGCTAGACGGAGCCACGTCGCAATGCTCCATTATCGCTTGAATAAGCCGAGCGTGTACAACACCGGTGGATTGCTTTCCACGTAATGCTTTTTTCTCTATTTCATTAAATTTATATATAACCATAAATGTAGTGTTACAGGCGGATTTTAATATAGATATATTTATTTTATTTTATTTATTTTTAAGGCACATAAATAAAGTACAAAGGCGGACTTAATGCCATAGGCATTATCTCCCAGTAAACCTTAGGGTGGTACAGAATGTACATATTTGTATAGGTACAACCCGAGTTCGATGGCTAGTTGATGGGCTGTTAACATGAAATAAAGTGTTGGATATCCATAACGGACATTCCAGGAGTAGCAGTAGTGATGCTGACCTTAAGGTGGTTGCGCCTTGCTCCCTTCCTAACCAGACAAAATGCAAAAGTATAAAAACTTCAACTTAATATGGCTCATCGTGCGATTCACGCAAAAGCAATTCGCTAACTCCACAGAAGAGCTCGTTATATAGGGATCCATATTTTTTTTGCTTAAGTATTTTTTGGGCGAAGTATAAGGTTACTGAATTAAAATATATACTATTCTAAAATTTGATTGGAATTGGATCGGAAATATTGTAAAAAAGGATCAGCAAACAGAACTGACTGTCGTTATGAAAAAAAGTTTCTCTGGTGGCAAATAGAGGTACAGGTTTTACTATAACTTTAATTTATTTAATTGAGTATTAGTTAACTTGGTTCTACCTAACATTGGTATAGAGAAGTTTAGCTAAAATATTAAGAATAGTGGTTCTAGAACTTTAATGAACGATGTTAGACGGCTGTCAGAGTTAGATTAGGGCTAAGTGCACCAAGTATAATTAAGATTTTATAGCTTTAATTTGCTTATACCACCTAAATCTATACAACAGCGCTGGCTAACTCTCGTTAACCCTTATTGTAGTTTAGTTGACGCCGTGAAGTGTCTTATGTGTCTATTTTAATGATATTATTAATGAATATTCCATTGTTTTGGGGTACTTACCTATAAATTGACTGGGTGATTCAATATTTGACAACAAAATATTTCATTGTTATTTATGTTACTCTTGTCATTCCATAGATGCTACTTAATTTAACATGCCACTGGCCAGGAAGCAAGAATAAAAATAATGCAAATTAAAGTTAAAAAATAAAGTAACAAATTATATATGCCCCACAGCTGGGCAAATGCCTCTTCTGTACAGACGCCAATGTCAAGTTGTTCTTAAAATTCTCAATTTTATAATATTCACATTAAAATTGTAATAGGCAAATAAAAACTTCAAAAATCCATCATGGTGGATCCGTCTAAAAAAAAAAAAAAAAAATCATTTTTGTTGTTATTTCTAAAATATGCAGGTTTCCTCACGATGTTTTCCTTCACCGCTGAGCACGTGCTATTCAACATTTAAAATTAACAATTTCATTCGTGCCCCAACTGGGGATTGCTCGAGTGTATTGATTTAAAAGCGAGCGTCTGGACATTAAGCTATCATTGCTATTATATAGATACGAGCTGTCTCGGCAAACGTTGTTTTGCTATATAAATTATTTCTAGAGGAATCAGAACGCACGCATAAAGTGTTTGACAGGTTACACATACATAGTTGACAGGTTGACAGGTACAGTTTGTATGTGAAAATAAAATTGTTACTATTTCGATTTTCCATGCAATTTTTCCATAGTTTCTCATCGCTTAAACCTTCCCTGGTCTGCTCAAATTAGCCAAATCGGTCCAGCCGTTCTCGAGTTTTATAGCGATACTAACGAACAGCAATTCATCTAATATATAAAATTCTCGTGTCATGGTGTTTGTAATTGAACTCCTCCGAAACGGCTTGACCGATTTTTGTTAAATTTTGTGTGCATATCGGCCAGGGTGGAGAATCGGACAATATCGTCATCGTCATTTTTCATCCCCCTAAATGTTAAGGGTGGTCCACCCCAAACATTTTTTTCTACCCTACAAATAATTTATATGGCAAAACAACGTTTGTCAGGACAGCTAGTTTTTATGGTATATAAATATTGATGATACTAATTTGAGATGCCTCTTTTATTATTCACTAGTGACCCGCCCCGGCTCCGCACGGGTATTATGCATATAAAACCTCCCCATGAATCACTCTTATTTGCGTAGTTTTAAAGATCTAAGCATACATAGGGACAGACAGGCAGCGGGACGACTTTGTTTTATACTATGTAGTGATAAGTTTTATTTGGCATCTTTGATGAATCCGAAGCCCTTTAAAATTAAGATGGTAAACATGGTAAAAACTGCCGTAAAATCACACGAATACATTGTTTTTACATCACAAACAAAAATAACTTTAGTTATTTATTATTACTATACTCCTGTCAATTGCGTCTGTTTGTTATGCTGGGCTGATTGTCACATAATTTTATTTATTAGTACCAACTGCGTACATTTTAGCAATGTACGCAGTTGGTTAAAAAGGTACTCAGAAAGCGATAAGATGCTCAATTTCGACGTCAACGGCTCAAATAACTATTTTTAATAGTTGCTCTTAAGTGATAAATCATTCTTAGTCGACGTTTTTATATAACCCATGGTGTTAAGCCACTCATCAACCACAGTAATTCTGCTTGAAGTAGAGCTGAGTTTTAACACCTTTGTACCAGTAGGTACTCCACAGCATTTCTGTAAACGTTACCTGTATCGCATCTTTTGTGGGCACATAGAGGGTATTAGGGCATTGTCCACCCAACCCCACCGTGGGTTCTAAATATTTTTTTTTATTATTTCGAAAATATGTAAATTCCCTCACGATGTTTTTCCTTCGCCGCTGATCACCTAATAAGTCATCACTTAAAATTGCAACTAAAAATTTCATTGGCGCCGGAATTAGAACTCGGGTTGCTCGAGTATATTTAATTAAAAGTGAGCTATGAGGGTTTAAGATGGCATAGCTGCTCAAATTTTTAATTAAATAAAACTTTATTATTAATTTGAACTGCCTGCTAAACATCAAGCTGGCAGAGTGATATGAAATAATAATTGAATGAAAAATAAAACTGCATTAAAACATAAGTGTTTATCGGTGCTTTTGAGGTGTAAATATCGCTGGCATTTTTTTACATTTACTTCTCAACATATTTTCTGTTTTAAAATATTTTAGCAATGGGCCAAACTGGTGGCGGCTGCGAAGTACATTTCAAAAAAATTTTACGGGCTCACAAAACGCCAAGCAATATGTGGATGTTACGGACGCGGTGGTAATTGAGTTTGTGAAGTGGATTAAGGATCGCAAGGTGTCTCAAGACGAAGATTTTTTAATATATCTTAACAGGCTTAATCTCGAAGGTATCTAGTATGAACCTATAAAAAAATAAAAAAAAGCTGTCAAGGTTGTACCGAAGATAGTTAGATCCTTTAGGAGCTGATGAGACGGTTGTTGCTATCGTCACAGGTTGTATGGGAATGATTTGTCAATTGTGATTCGCCAATTAACAATGTTTTTTAGTGATTGGGGCGGTTACGGTTGACGATACGTAGATATGCATGTTACGGCAAATTTCTTTTGGGCTGCCGCGTGCTACCTGATAGTAGAATGGTAACGTCGTTAAAACCACTCATGCCTTCAAGACATTATCTAAAGTAAAAGAAGTGACGAATACGGAATAATTGACGTGGGCGGATTGTGTTGTGCTACACTTTTGAGTGCACATTAAGAACGTGTTTGTCAGAATAGAATTAATTCATACAATTCCGTAATATGTATCCTAGGGAAGCACAAACGAGTTATGTTACGGATTGCGGCAGGCAATTCTACAATTCTGTGAGTGAGGCTGTTTGGCTGATTGGAAACCATAGGCGTATATAGCGGGGGGGCCAGGTGGGCCGTGCCCACCCCAATATGGTCTAGTGCCCACCTCAGGATTTTGGGTTACCAATTCGAAATTCTAGGCTGGACACCTATCCTTCATCGCCAAAAGCAGATTGAAGCCGAGCGAGGCGAGCGATGTGCAATGTAGATATTGAATTACTCGAATTTTCTCTACTATAATATGCATATATACTACATGTAAACCTTCCACTTGAATAATATCTATTGCTGAAACAGTGTTCGATTTTTTGTAGTAAGGGCCCAGGCCCACCCTGAAAAATAGCCCTAGAACCACCAAACAATGTTGGAAACTATTTATTATTTTTAATTCCTTAGTTTCAATATATTAAATGTTACATACATTTGATACATACTGTGAATGTTCCGACGAAGTCTGTCTTTGATTATGATAGGACATCATTAATTCCTTTAAATGAGTTCATTTTGTATTTAAAAGTTTGAAGTAATTCAGTTAACTCCACTTCAAAGCGTTTTCACAAAAAATCTACTTTCTAGCACTTCTATTTTACCTTTATAAATTTTTAGTGATTGGGGCGGTTGCGTTTAACGAAAAGTTCAATAGTTTTACATACCAAGAGCAAGCATCGGATTCGCGTAGCAGCAAAGTGATTGCGGCTGCATTCGGTTCAAACAGCGGTATAATGAAACTTGACAAGGGAATTATGTGGAAGATTTTCAAAACTCCGCTCTACACAAGACTTGTTGAATCACAAAATTATTTGGAAAAGTTAGTATAACGTTCATTACAATAAGTTACTGAAATATATTATTAGTAGTAAGCCCGTAGTCTAGAAAATCTAGATAAACCGATGATGTAGGACGTTTTACACCCGTAAATGTTATTATTATATACGCCTATATTTGGAAGAATTCATTGCGTGTCAATGAATTATTAATTGTTCCCATTGAATATGATTTGTACCTATACAGGGTGGCTTTTCTAAAGGTGCCCAAATTCACACAGGAGGTTCAGACTCGGTAGTATGCATACAATAAAATTATAGATTAATAAAAATAACAATGTAGATAAAAGACGTTAAGATTATCGTCGGTGTGGCAATCAGCCGTATAGCTTAGGGGCTAAAGCGCCAGGCCGCGAATTCCGAAGACGTGGGTTCGATTCCCACAGCGGCGGCAAACTCTTCGTACTTTTTCTACAAGTTTTAAAATAATTTTGTTTCTTTTAGAATCGCTATGGACATTTTGTTAAACAAAATAAGCTTTTTTGAAACAGAAAGCGAAGATAAATCTAACTCACTATTAGATTCCTTTCTACAGCAACCCAACTTGGATGTCAAAGATATTATTGGAATGATGGTTGATATTTTGATGGCGTCTATTGACACGGTATAAACGCATTAAATGTATAATATAGTATATAATACTTTTAATATTTCATATTATTGAATTTGTTTTTCAGACCGCGTACGCCACCAGTTTTTTATTGTACCATCTTGCGCGCAATCCTGCGTGTCAACAGAAGTTATACAAAGAAGTTGTTGATCTTCTGCCTACAAAAGATTCCTTGTTAACATCAGAGACATTGTCGAAGGCAGTTTACGTTCGTAATTGTGTCAAAGAAAGTCTACGGCTCAATCCAGTTTCAATTGGCGTTGGTCGTTTGTTACAAAAGGACATAATACTGAAGGGGTACCTGATTCCTGAGGGGGTAAGTTTTGACCTCAAGAAAAACTTAAGATTTTAATGATCATTTTGATACGCATCATGATAATCTTAAGTTTATTGGAGTCTATAAAGAAAACAGATTAAATGAGATATCGCTATATTTTTTTTTAGTAATTGCCAAATGTCTAAAATTTAACTTCGTAGAATTGTTTGAAATCGTAGTTCGTCGACGCGCACCACGGCTTCTAACATTTTATGAAAGTAGATTAAAATTATGGGTGTTTGTAACTTAATGATACTTACATTTCTGCTTGATTTAAAATTAGATTTTATTCAGACAGTTATTGTTACGCAAAACATGGTGGCTTCCCGCTTACCTCAATACGTGCGGGAGCCAATGGTCTTCAAGCCAGAGCGATGGATGAGGGGGTCTGCCGAATATGAGAGCATACATCCCTTCCTAAGCCTTCCATTTGGTTTTGGCCCTCGGTCGTGTATTGCCCGGAGACTGGCTGAACAAAATATGTGCATCACGATTATGAGAGTAAGATCTATCTTTATATAGATACATATATAATTCTTCTGTACGTGTGTATGTCACTGAACTGTGTGTCTAAAGGTCGATTCACGAATAGTTTAGAATCATATTTGGTTTTTTTTATTTATAAATTGTAGTTGGATTTAAGACGCGTGTACAGGACAACGTCTGTTGGGTCCATATAAAAGGATGAACTGATTGACTGGTTGACGTGCTTATTAACAGCTGAGGAACTGGGGTTATAGATTCATAATGCAGACTACTCAGTCTGCATTATGAGTCTATAACCCCATTGGGAACACACAAAGTTCAATAATTTTTACTTTTCCTTTTTTTATGTGAAAACGTGGCAAGCGTGGGGTTCACCTGATGTTAAGTGATACCCGCCGCCCATGAATATTTGGACACCCATAGGGTTGCAGAGGAGTTGCCACCTTTTAATAAAGTGGGTCCCGGATATCTCGCTCACCTAAACTAAGCTCACCTAAACTAAACGCAAAATTACCACTACACGCCGGTCTTCTGTGAGGTCGTTGTGTTTACCCGAACGGACCTGCCTATTCGTGCAACAGCCGAAGCTTTTCCTTGGTCTTACACAGTTAATAATAATAGTAATTTGTTTCAGTTGGTGCAAGAATTTAAAATTATGTGGGCGGGCGGGGAGCTGGGCATAAGAACTTTACTCATTAACAAGCCGGATAAGCCCATATCATTATCGTTTGTACCAAGATGTGGGAAATGAAAATAATTCGGACCTATTTAATAAAATTTTCGACTTGTGCGTACTTAATTATAAATGATAAATTAAAAAAAAATCGGTAAATAATACCCAAGGTTTCAAGTTATATTTCGTGTAATCATTTGAAGTATAATAAGTCAAATAAGTCATTTTATTTTTTTCTAACTAAACGTACAACAAAGTTAATAACTTATTTCATTAGTAACTAATAAAACGGTTATAATAATTTACGTTAACAACATCTCGCCCTGAGGAAGTCTACATTAAATGTTATTTTTTAAATCGTCCCATTTCAAGTTGCTGCAACAAGTCGCCATTAAAGCTTTCAAATTTTTGAGTTTGACGACGTTTTGATTAATGACAAATTATTCGCATCAACTTTTACTTGTTTCATTAACACCATACCATGAACGTGAAATAAATATTTATCAGCTCGTACGGTTACAACAAAGATCCCATCTGAACCTTTTATAGGTGTGGGAGGACATAAACCGAACATATTAAGATAGATAAAATTTCTAAAAAGGCGCATAGAAATACAAATATGGCCATGTTAATGATGTACACTATTTAGTATATAAAGATAAATCAGACCGCGACAGCAATAAGGCGCCCCACATTAGGACACGCGTTCTGATTTGCTACGGCGATATATCAAGTTCAACGCCCTTTTAGAAATGTTGAATCGCCTAGTCAAATTGCGTACCTAATTTATAGTTACTTTGCGGACTATTGCCGTATTGAGAACTTATGAGGCTTAGCAGCAAAAGCGACATAAATAGTTAATAAGGTTACATTATAAAATAACAATTAGTTGACATAAGTTGTGTGTGAATAATATTTTGTCAGTATCACTCCAATATTAACGTCAACAGAATGGCACTGATTCAATCCTGATGCCATGATTGCGAACATCAATTTATATATGATTATCAAGCATAAGACAAAATAATAAGTAAATGGATTCCACTCGTATCGTAAACATAGATAATATAATACTATGGCTAAGAAATATCGTTCGAGATTCAATCGTTTTGTCTTCATGTACATGAAAAATTTTGTAACGTATAAATACTGATATGCTAGAGGTAACTTTGACTCATATCTATAACGTAATGACTTGAAATCACTGAAGGGGCCTGGGATCGTAAGGGGTCGCGTCGTGGCCTACGTATCTGTTGTTTTTTCGTATTTGGAATCCCTCGCCGGGTGAAGTGTTGTAATATATGACGCGGCGGATGCCGAACGGGTCCACGTAGCCGAAGCTCCCTATCCTCTCGTCCGCATTTTGGGTCGCCTCCTCGTGGTACTGTTTCGGGAGGTAGTAGCGGAACCCGCTCCCCTTGTTGGCGCTGCCATCGTACAGGGGAAACTGCGGCGTGTAGCCGTCGCCGAACCGCCCGCCGGACTGGTACCTACGAGACCATTCGTCTGCATGCCTGTACGAGTTGGGATTGTACACGTCGTAACGTCTGTAGGGTGTGCTGTCGCTGGCGTAGTAATTGTCTTCGATGGTGTTTGTGTTTTCGTAGTCGTGGGGGTGTGAGGGCGGGGTGTCTGCTGTTGTTGTAGGAACGGTCGGTCCGAAGTGCGCCGTCGATGCGTCTATTGAGTTTGGGGATACTTCGACGTGAGGGGTCGAGGTGGAGTGATCGTATGAGGGTGTAGTTGCTATAGAGATTTCATCGGTGTATGATAGCGGGCGCGTGGTGGTAGATGTCGCTGGACGTTGGGTGGTGGTTCCATGGGCCGGTGCACTTGTTCGGTGTACTGGAGGAGCAGGCGTTATACCTAATCCAGAATCGGTTGGTGCCGTTTTTGCGATATTCATTGACTCCTGTAAAGAAGACAAAGCAAAATGAGGTGAATCATTCTTTCTATTTTGCATTTATTTCTCGACTTAGGACTGTAACAAGTCAATCATTACCTATGATAACCGTAATTATTGAATCTTCATGCTATGCAGTTTATTAATATTTTCGCTTAAGGACTTGAGGTTGTCCCATGAAACGTATTTTTTTTATGTGAAAAGTTGCTATGTGAGCAGGCGGTTCACTTGATTGTAAGTGAATACCGCCGACCATGGACATCTGCTACACCCGAGGGTTGCCAACCCAATCCAACCATGCGTTGGATAACCTTTTGAAAATTGGACTCCGGCCACTTCACTCACCAGATGAAACGCGAAAGTATTATACTTTCACTTTACAAAGGTCCTCTGTGAGGTCGTGGTACTTACCCGGACGAGCCTGCCCATTCGTGCAACAGCCGAGACTGCTGCGTTGCTCTACCACCGTAAAATAGTATATTAATTAATAGTATATTAATAGAATGTGCCAATCCAGCTCGTAGAAGCACTAACTTCACCGGTAAATAATGCAAAACACTGAATGAAAATTAGGTTAATGAAATCTCCGAGTGAACTTAGATAGTTGCGATTCTGTCTGGTACTACGTATGTTACTCGTATTACACGTGTTACACATCATACTTTATTTTACATTGTATTTCTATTAGATAGTATATCTACATTATACAGCGTGTCGTTACCATTGCGACAATAAATGAACACAAATCTAACGCTACGTGCCAATAATCATAAAAAAATATTAACGTTAAACAAAATCCATAATTAAAAAAAAATATTTTTCAAACAAACTAATTAAGTAAAAAAGGAACAAAATTTGTAACATCATATACAACTCGCGCCACAGCGTCGTATTACAAGCCTCTCCTTCTAACAGTATGTTTTGTCTCTTTTAAATTCATTCAACTCATTCATATGCTTTGTGACCTTTACAAATGAACTTACGTTACACTTTTATAGGTAAGGGTGTTCTAAAATTCTTTGTTTTGGAAAATTTAATAACTCTGTAAATATTGATGTTTAAAGAATTTAAATGTTTAATACAACTTTAAAAACTTATCCCCTATATGTGTGTTAATTTATTGTCGCGATGGTAACGACACACTGTATAACATTATATTATGTACATTATATTCTATTCACAGTTAATTTGTGGCTAGCATTTTAATTTATAACTAATCCCCGAGTATACATACCGAGATTGGTCGATTCAATCCTACGTAAACAGTTTTCGACTTATAGATCCTGTACCCTTGGTCGTCAGCGATGTAGTCTTGTAATCGCAGGAAACCGTCAGCGCCTACCCAACCCGTCGTACCTGAAAATTCGAGGAAATGATTTCATTGCGACTTATTTATTTCTTACTTTGGATAAACTTTAAAGTCGTACTTATGACAATTGATTGTTGAATTAAACGGTGAAAGGTTTTCGCTTACTTTAATCGTTTTACTTTTACGATGTAATTAACTGAGCAAAATTAATGTGTGTGTGAAAAATCGTCTGGGGTAAGAAAAAAAAAAAAACGATGAGAACGATTCGGTAACGGCGGATCACTCATACCTTCTTCCTAATAATAATTTCAGCCTACGATCCATGACGTGTAAAAATGTTTGCTCTCTTAATAAAAATCTTACGAATAAGGTTGCAGAAATGTGTTGTAATCATGTGGGCCTAATGTCTGATATTACTTAAATCTACACGTTACGTCACCCGATTGTGTTGCTAATGCAAAAAGTTGGCAAGCGAGCAGGCGGTTCACCTAATGTTCAATGATTACCGCCGTCCATAACCATCTACAAGCTGAGGGGTTGCAAATGTGTAGCTTCCTTTTAAAAGTGTGGGCCCCGGTTATCTGGCCCTACCGTTATTCACCACGCAATCACACTGTGGATCGGCGGACTTCAATATCTACAAAATATTTATTTCGAAAATATGCAGTTCTCCTCACGATGTTTTCCGTAAATCTTATACTTAATTCAATATACTTAATCAACAATTTCATTGGTGCCGGCACTGGGGATCGAACTTGTTACTCAAGTATATTGAATTAAAAGCGAGTGCCCGGCCAATGAGATATCACGACTATATGCGCATAAGCTTTCCTTTGAAGTATAAACTATATACCTGTTAAACAGGTAAATCAAGAAAATCAAACTTTATGACCCGATTTTAAAACTGGATGTTTGTTATTACTCATAATTTTTACCAATCATTAAGAATGTCTTCACTTTTGAGTGTCGTCAAAAGTACAATAATATTCGTTATAATAATTTTTGGCTTAAAGTTTTTGATTGAAATTTCTGAAAATTTTGTTCTGATATGAATTAGTGACTTTGAATGAGCGGGGATTTTAATAAAATAAACTAGTATTTTTAACACAGTTTGGATACACATATTAGTATATAAGTGAATTTAACAAATACAACATATGATAAGAAAATAAAAACTGAAATTTGTGTGGCCGCGAAACGTTAAGTTTCTGTTCGTGACTTTAAACAAGAAAAAAATTAATAGTTACAAATAGTCAATAATAAGATCATCTAAAGCTAAAGATATTATATACAAATAAGAGGTAGATATGGCAGTAGCGCACTGGAACAGATGCACTCAAATTACGCCAATTGATGTAATTACATTGCAACTTTATAAACTACTGTCTCTTTCCATATCATACGTTCTATATCATCTGCCACATGCATTTATATATGCCATATAATGTAAATCGGAACATTTTTAAACGCCGCGCAGTATGGACATGCGTCATCTTTATTAAAACATCATTGATATACAGGCATCTCAAAAGATATTTAGGTTACTATTGTTGCTATCGGATGTTAGCCTACGGTTATCTCAAAATTTTAAAATATGACATTGCCCGAATACAAATAACCTTACCCAGTAACAGTAACTGGGAATAAAGAAAAGAAAAAACTCGGCAAAGCTTGGTGGCCCAGGCACTATGCAACGTAATAAGTTATTTTCCATGAGAATAAATTTATAAACCAAATGATTCACTTTGTGTTGGTTCTACGTCATTGTTTTCAATTGTGAACTTATTTGACTGACTCTACTTAAAATTTATTTGTAATATAAAATGTTTATAGAGCATACGTTCTGAATGATCAAATATTTATAACTAACCGTTTAATAAGATATTAGAGAACTCAATTGTCCAAGAAGTCTATATTTAATTTACGCTGAAATGTCATTCTATCCATTTTCTTGGTAAATTTTTGACAATATCAAAGTGTCTTACCAACGACAGAGCCATCTTTCAGCCTTCTCTCTTTGCGATACTGCCCGTTGTGAGTTTGGTATAAGAAGTAACGTTCATCGTCCTCGTCGGTCTGGATATGGAACTGCTCAGGGTCCTGTTGCTGACTGTACCCGTCCAATGCAGCCAGAGCACTGCATGACCATATCTGTTAAATAAAAAATACACTTATGAATTGCATACATTAAATATAAAAGCCCGAATTTTGGCATACATATTAAGGAAAATTATAAAGTACTAACGACCCTCCCCGGCTTCGCACGGGTGCAATGTATTATACATATCAACCTTCCTCTTGAATCACTCTATCTAGTAAAAAAAATACATCAAGATCCGTTGTGTACTTTTAAAGATCTAAGCATACATAGGGACAGACAGACAGCGGGACGATTTTGTTTTATACTATTTAGTGATGCACAGCAAAGAGACGTTTACATTTCAAGTGACATTTTACTACAGTCACTCACTTGTTTTGCCTTCCCGGAACCCCTCCACTAACACTTAAACTTTATGGTATGGTATTGAAGTTCAAATTGACTTTTAAGTATAATTACGAAATTTTTGTACGGGAATATAGAAAGTGTTGTTTTTAGACTTTTTCAGGCAATTTTTTAATTTTTTTCTTACGTAAGAGCCTACTCCTGATAATAACAAACAGAACAAAAAAATCGGTCCAGCCGCTCATGCGTGATGGCGGGACCAAGGGAAATAGGGATACATTTTTATATACAGCGTGTCGTTACAACCGCGACAATAAATTAACACACATATAGAGGATAACTTTTTAAAATTGTGTTAAACATTTACATTCTTTAAACATCAATATTCACTGAGTTATTAAATTTTCTAAAACAAAGAATTTAAGAACACCCTTACGTATAAAACAGTAACGTAAAGTTCATTTGTTGTAAAGGTCACAAAGCATATGAATGGGTTGAATGAATTTAAAAGAGATAGATTTTTGGGCTGTCACCGCCGCGTACATCAACCGGGCTGGTAGCGGTGCAGCAGTGAGTTCATATTTATATATATATGTATTTTATTATTATTATTATTATTATTTCATACATATATATAAAATAATTAATATATATATATATATATATATTTTTGATCTGCACTTAGTAATGAGGTTCCTCTAGCGGAGAAGAAACAGTCGAAAGAAACTCCGTAGGTATCCTCTTTTTTGTAATTCATTTTTTTTTCTTAAAAAAAAGAATTTAAATATTAAACAACTGTTTTTTTTCCTTCTTTTTCCCTCTTGTGTAGATATATCACGTAGGTATACTTTGCATTGATTGCATTGTAGTCGTCATTTTGATTAGAATTAACTAAGATTACGGTGGTAGGGCCACGCAGCAGCCTCGGCTGTTGCACGAATGGGCAGGCCCGTCCGGGTAAGTACCATGACCTCACAGAAGACCAGTGTAAAGTGGAAGTATGACAAATACTTTCGCGTTTCGTCTGGTGAATGAGGTAGCCGGAGCCCAATTTTCAAAAGGTTGTCAACGCATCTGTAACCCTCGGGTGTAGATGTCCATGGGCGATGGTATTTACTTAACATCAGGTGACCCGTCTGCTCGCTTGGCAACTTTTCACATAAAAAAAAGATAACTCACGGGACTGCATAAGACGTCTTTTTTTTTTAAAATCATTCATAATTATGTATCAAATACACTAGGTAGGTAGACGGTTTAAAACGATGCTGGGAGGTATGACTTGTTATTTGAGTGTATAAGCCTGTCAAGGTTTATGTATTAATATATTATAAAATATAGGGGCAAATAGACTTTAATGAACGCTGTCTTTTCGTATAACTTTGAGCCAAGACATGGTGTGCAGAGTTGATAGTGCTTTGGTTTTATGAATAACGGGCTGTACGTGCGTGGGAGTGAAAGATCAGATCAAGAACCATGAACTAAATACGATTGTCCTTCGAAATGTAACCAAAGGCTAACCTGTTTTTTATTTTTTTTATATGTAAAGATGCTAAGTGAGCAGGCGGCTTACCTGATGTAAAGTCATTACCGACGTCCATGTACACCTACAACACCCGCGGGCTTAATTAATTTTGATATAAACATGCATTGGCATACATACATATCAAAATATAGGTCATTATAATTTTCGTTCTTTTATATGAGTAGGTGGCATACGAGCTGGCAGTTTACGCCTACCCCAGTCACCTGACGAACGCAGAAGTATAACACTTCCACCTCACACCAGTCTTCTGTGACGTCGCTGTCCTTACTCGGACGGATCTACCTGGCCAACATTCATTAAACAGCGAAAACTTGCGTGTACCTACTCGTAGCACAGTCAACAAAATTTAGTTCCAAAATTTACTGGCAAATCCAAATCATTTTTAAGTTATTATAAATATTTTAGGAGTTAATAGAGTTTCAGTCCTGAATTGTTATCTGGAATTTATTTTCACAACAATTACTATTTTTAGAGGGCTGAGTCAAGTGAATGTCACGACTCTTGAATGAATTCACAAGTAAACTGTAAAATATCAGTGGTTTGAATGCAGCGAGATTGTTTCCCATTTCTTTTTTAATGAGACCTCGTTACGAATTTTGAATAATGTTCTCGTTTAAAACAGCGACATTTTAAGGTGGTCCCGATTCACTCATATTTGGTCTGTGACCATTTTATATGACATAAAAAATAAAAAGTATGTGTTTATTCAAATGTTTCTATTTCTTTTAATTATAGCGTCAATTTAAATAGTGTTTCCCATGTCCTTCAATAAGCACTGTACATATTTATAAGTTAGTGCCATGAAAAAATTGGCTTGGAAAAAATTAATTACCAGCCACATAATTACTGAATACACTTTGATTATGATAATTTGACAACCCGAACGCCTTGGTCTTCTTCATTGTCGCCTTTTTTATGGGTGTCGCGTTTTTAGTTGTTACTCGATGCGCATTACCCGTAAAATCGGTCAGCGTGTAGGAGACAATGGTGTTGCCTCGAATTAGAGACGGAACGAGCAAATTACGGAACAATGGCTCGATACCAACCAGTCGACGAAGGTCGTTTTCAGAGAATCTGGACAATTCTGTTAACGAAATTAACTATTTCCCTCGTCCTGTTAAGTTACAAATGACATTATCGCCATCGTTAGGAGACTATGAGTAATTTATAACTTGACATTAAAACATATGTATTCATTGGCATGGTATGGGTCATCATTTTCTTGGAGTTACATAATTTAGTTTTGATATTTTCGGCAAAATAATATACTCGTAATTATAAATTTATGAATATAAACAAATTACAAGAGTTAATAGATCTTAATTTTCTAAACAGTCTGTTTTCTAAAGTAAAGTATCTATACGATTGTTGTGTGAATTCACAAACAAGGGTGACCTAGTAAAATACACAATGACAATTATGAAATAGACGCAATTATAAGTGCTTTCTTTCTATTAAGCTCGATTTTCGGTTAAATGTTATGAATAAAAAGTGATCTAATTATTTTTCTCCAATAGTAAGGTTTGCTGTAGTATAATAATAGTAATTTTGTTAAAACTACTTGCTTATAATACATTATATGTTCGTTTAACGAAAGAACGAAATCACCCAGTTTACAAAGGAGACTACTTAGTTTCTTAACTCCTTTAGGACACGTTATCAGACGCACAAGGAAACGCCGGTAACAATAGTCACACATGCCTCATTTACAACTAGGCTCCTAGAATATTAATTCAGGTAGTCATAAACAGCAAGTTGCAAGGTTGATGTTGTCACAGCCTCGGGAACGAACGTGGGCTGCTAGCAAAGGATCTACGCGGAAACGATTTACATTCACGTCGGATGTACACCAATCAAAAACTATATAGTTTGTGCATGAAATCGAAAACAGATAAACTTGCAGTATTTCGAGTAGTTTTGCATACTGTTTATGTACACCATTTGAATTTTAAAATTTTTTTTATTAAATGGAAGTAGTTTTGATTTTAAGAAAGACAAAATGATGTCTTATATTTGTGAAAATATTCCAAATTATATTAATGCTTATGTCAATAAAAGTGGCTTTATTTATTGGTTTCATATTTAAATTATGTGCCGCCGAAAAACGGAATTATTTTTTAATTAAACATCTAATGAAGAAATTCGATGCATTTTAAAATTTTACTACAAAAAAGCAAAAAAAAAAAAACGCAACGCAAGTCGCGAAGCTTGTTGTATTTATGGACCTTTTTTTTGTGGGGAAATCCGTTATGGATACCTGGCTAGAGAAGAACCAAGTTATGTCGGACTCGCACCGACTAAAACCCCACGGTGGTAGCCATCTGTTCTGATGAGGGGTCACGGGATCTCCATTCGGAACGCTACCGCGGCCCCTCCTTAGCTAGCCTATGATAGGCTCGTTCAGGGACAGCATTACGCTGGCCCCACCATGCCCGCGGTGACTACATTAAGCCACCGATCTCCATGGGAGCTTTACTGGGCAATTAAGGGCTTCGCCCTAATTGCTCAGGACCCCTGAGGCCCCGTTTCTGGTAGGGGAACACCATTTCTATTCGGAGGGCCGTGACGAGGCGCATTGGCGCGTCGGTGGCCCCGTCTCCGAGTGGGATCTGTTCTCTCTCGATCCTGCTCAACAGCCTCTTTCTGGACCATTACTGTCTCACAGAAAGACGCTACGGCGCTCCACGCTGCCTCTCCTCTCATCATCGCTGACACGACTGCAGGCAGATCGAGGTTTCGCCCTATGTGGCCCATCAAGATACTCCGCTCCGCATCCCAGGCAGGGCACACCGCCAAGGTATGCGTTGCAGAGTCTTCGTTGTTCCCACCACAGTGGAAGCAGATTGCCGTCGCCTCAAATCCAATCTTCCACAGATAATCACTAAAGCATCCATGCCCTGTGATTATCTGTGTTAGCCTGTAGGTGACGAAGACCGGCAGGAAGGCTTCAATTACACGCTTATGCAGGTATTGCTTTTGACTGAGCCGAGAGCGCCATGTCGCGAAAGCTCTCCGTTGTTCCTGCCGTTTTATCGATTCAAGCGCCTCTTCTGGCTCACCATCACCACTGTGACGGAGGGCGCGTTTTCTGTGGTAAACCCGCGCATCCATTTCCGTCAGTATATCTAGGGGTGGGAAGCGAGCCAAGACAGTTGCCGCCTCGAATGATATGGTTCTATATCCACGTACGACCTGTATAGCTATCCGTCTCTGAACGCTATAGACCTTAGATCTACAGCGTCGAATAGAATGCCTCTTTGCCCAAATGGGTGCCCCGTACAAAGCTACGGATCGTACAACCCCTGCGTAGAGGCGGCGAACTTCCTCCCTCGGTCCCCCAAGATTAGGTAGCAGTCTGTGCATTGCACCCGCTACCTTCTCGATCCGGGTGACTAGGCGTTCGAAATGTTCTTCGAATCCCCAGCGGCTATCCAAGTGTAGGCCCAGGTACTTCATGTATTTGCTCACCCTGACCTCGGACCCACCTACACGGATGCACGAGTCGCGTGGTTCTCTGCCTCGTGCATTGTATGGAACCATAGAGCCACGGTCTTGTGTGCCGCTATCTCTAGACCCAACTCGCGGATCTTGCCGAGGACAATGTATTTATGGACCTAGTGCAGTGTCTGTGAGAGTAGCCCGGGTTATCTCGCAGCAAGGTAATGCTGTGTGTTTGGTGGGGGTTGGAAGGGCATTATTCATTATGAGCTGTTACCGTCAGGCAGGACCATTGATTTTGAACTCTACTGCGAATAACTGATGAGATTAATGCAAGAAGTTGAGAGAAAGCGGCCGCAATTAATCAACAGAAGGGGTGTGATTCTTCATCATGATAACGCTAGACCTCACACATCTTTAGCCACTCAGCAAAAATTAAGAGAGTTTGACTGGGAGGTGTTAATGCATCCGCCGTATAGTCCTGACCTTGCACCTTCAGATTTGTACTTGTTTCGGTCTCTTCAGAATTCTTTAGGCAGTGTCGGGTTACCATCACGAGAGGAAAGAAAAGATGGAAAACCACTTGTCGCGGTTTTTATCAGAAGCTCCAGAATTTCTATAGCAACCTATAATATTAACGTTGTTTTCAAGTTATATTTGTAAGTAATACAAGGCTTAACTGTACGATCGACTATTGTTTGTTTTCCATTTGGGGCTTTCGGTCAGTAAGGTGCTCGTATTGTTTTGTTAATAATATGTCATTGTTAGTATGACTAACTGTATGTAATGACGTGACAAATATGCGTTGCCTCAATTTTGGAAAAATATAAACATCTTTTTTCAAAGGAGACTTTGTTAAATGTAATGCATATTTTGGTATAAATCAGGTACGTGGTAGGGAAGTAATTGCTCAGATTGCATTCGTTAATCAAACATTAGTTATAAGAATAAAATAATGTATTTTTTAATTTGTAAGTACCTAGTCAATTCGTCAAATGTTTATTGTGTTATTCGCCTTAGCATGTCAAATTGAAGACCTTAAATTCTAAAGGTTGTTTAGCTGTTAGGGTTGTGCAGGAAAACACATCGTTTTCCTATTATTAGAAGTAGTGTTGTTGAACGAATTTTATAGTCTCTTACATTCATGAAACAAACTTATTACAAATGTTTAATCTGTATTTCAATGGAGATTTGTAGTGAAACACAAAATTTCATTATTTAATATAGCCTTATTTTAAGCTCTTATTGAATGACAAAAAACAACAATCGGTTCACAAAACTAGACCTGTTCAGGGAAGAATTGGCAAGAAAATGTCACACGTTTGAGAACCTTCTCGAACTTAGAATGTATCTGGAAAAAATACCAAAGGGCAAGAAAGTGAGGTTAAATTTTTTAAAATAATAATCGAGTAGACATAAACAACTAAATTGAGTGCAGCTTGCGTATACACACACTTGAGGAACTCTTTATTCATTAAGATTAATACGTTGATTTTATTCTTTACTGTGGGATAGCATTATTCTGCGTTGAAAGTTTAGGAACAATTATTTTTGATGCACATAAATAGTTATCCCGTGCGGGAATTGAACATACGACTCATGGTGCCAAAACCAATAACCAATAACTTAGCCTATGCGATACGATCAAGCCAGTATTCTTACGATTATAAGATATTTTAAGTTTATGATGAACACCATGCGTTCCTATTAAAAAAAAATGTGTGAAATTGTATCATACACAAAGGGGATTTAAAAATGGTAATTAGTGTTATTTTTAAAATCATGAGGAAGTTATAAATAGTTTTTTTTAACTTCAAAAGCAGAAAAACTCTCATTAGTGTTTGTACTTAAAATGCATTCACATATAGAATTTTTGCCGTAATTAAGCATTTAACTTCGTGACACAAAACAGGAAAATGAACAAACTCCAAAGGAATTTATTAAAATAACTTGTTCATATGTGAAATCCTAAAATACACCGAATTTCGTAATAACAACTAAAAGCAATCTTCAATCGAATCAATCAATATTTTCTGATACCCTATGGGTCTTTCTTAGGTTGATATTGGAAATGCATCGCCATAGCCAAGCTAGCTTGCCGTGCAGGCGGACAAGTTCCTGTATCTGACGTCAATTCTCATTTTAGTATCTATGTGGGTGTATGTTTAATTTGTGAGGTGACTCTTGCGAACTTCCTTTTATGTAGAAAATACCACATGGCAGGAAATTCTCACCAGTAAACTTATCTCCAAAAGATTAAATTGTCTTGCAAGTACCAGAGAAATTAAGTTAAAAAGTAACAGAAATTACAAAAAAAAATCAGGGGTAGCGAAAAATGTTTTTGATTCAAGTAGAGTGCATTGATGGACCAAATACAGCGAGCATCTGATTTGAATAGGTCAG